TTTCTATAACTTCAGGAAGGACCCTATACGTTTTGATGATCATCAGTGTGTGAGTGTATAAGTAACGATATCGGAATTTTTTCGATATCCATGACATCAAAAATATATCATTGCACAGCTATTAATTAGAACTTTGTATATTTAATAAGTTCGTTACTTGAATGACATGCCGAAAATTTGATGTATCTAATATAACCCAAGCAAAAATTATGAGGGTGAAGATATCCGTCGAAGCTTTTCTGGAAAAAGTAGGTAGAGCTCTGGTTTGTCTTGACGGGCCACCAATTTTGGATGCACATAATTAATATATATATTAATATTTATAATAAATAAAATGCTTATAAATCTCAAATTTAGCACCTGGAACTGGAAAATTTACTTAAAGATGGTCATTTAAATAAATCGAACTTTATAATGACCACAATAGTGATGAGCGAATTAATTCTGTTCCAAGAAAAGCTCTTATTACATATTTAGGGGTATATCCCCTAAATACAAGGTTTCATGTATCACAACTCTATACCTACAACAGTTTATTTACATCCCATTAGACCCTTATGCGAATGGACTTGACCTGCGTTTGCATAATTATATAAGTATCAGTAGACTGTTCAAATTAAGGACATTAAATAAAACATGAAATAGTGCCATCGCAGTATTGAACCTTTATTTTATTATTATGGATATTACACAATCATATTGTAAATGTATGTATGTATTGGTGTTAATACAAAAGATGATGATAAATTCAATTGTATCAGAAAACTAATTAGTATCTACATTTTCATAAACTATGTTATTGCGGATATTTTCACAGATGATGTATATCTGGCACTATGAGATGGAACTCAAACCCTTTGACTTGACCTTTCGCAATCCGAGCGACTACTCTAACCACTGACTTACTCAGGACCTAACAAGACTGACGAATTTTTCAAGCACTTGTTACTTTTTCGCTACTACAGAGATTTTTTAAACATTTTTACTAAGAATATTTATTTTATTTTTACTCAGGACCTAACAAGACTGAATTTTGCCTCCAATTACCCCATAGACTGACTCTCATTGTCCGCATATGTGGGAAATTGGAGACAATATATTGTATCGTACTCTGTAATTTAGAAAAAATATTTATGCTCTAGTAGCATAAACATTTTCGTTTTAGATTGTACGAGTATATCTAGATACAGGATTAATTCTAAATAACAATTAATAATAATTTGTGATTTTAAAATGAGTTTTCTTTAGGTGTCTCCCATTTCTCCCGTCCACACTAGTAGTTGAGATTTTACTGAGATGTGTTTTTTTGTAAACATTATCAGTATTGGCCTGCAGAACATTAAGTTAAAACTGCGACTCCGACATAAATTATTTTAAAAGAGATGCATTTTGTCATCGATATGACCTGAAAAGTTTCGAAACTTAAAGCTTAACATTATGAGGATAAATAATATTTGTTATTCTATAAAATGTGTTGTGATAGTTCTGTAATGTTGATAGCGGCCGACAGGGGTAATTAGTCTGGGTACTGGAGTGAAGACGATACTTGTGGTTGTGTAACAAAGAAGAAGAAGGTAAGAAATAACAAGAAGCATATGGAATAGGAATAAGCAGCAAGCGTTTGATAAAAGTGCCTACATTATGTCATTTTGATCCAAAACAAAAAAAAAGATTATATCACCTGATGGTAGTTCATATGGGTTAGGGGCAATTCTTTTACAAGTGGATAAGTTAGGGTATAGAAAAGTGGTTTCATATGCTAGTAGGCCATTGAACTCTACAGAAAAAAATATGCTCAAATAGAGAAGGAGTGTTTAACATTAGCTTGGCCAGTGAAAAAATTTAGAGATTTTATCGTAGTAATTGAAATCATTTTAGAAACCGATCATAAACCCCTCCTACAAATATTACAGACAACTTAACACCTCCATTAAGGTTTAGATTACAGTTAATAAGTTACAACTATAAAGTTATCTATGTTCCAGGAAAAAATTCAAATACTTATTTAGAGGACCACAAATTGAAAATCATTAAAACTACTATTAAAAATATTTACTCTGTCAGAGTGGCTAAATAACAATAAAATATCAGGGGAGGCTCAAAAATATTATCAATTTAGATACAACTATTCATTTCAAGAAGATTTCTTATTGTTTCCAAATTCTGTACAAAAATATATTTTAGATGACATACACGCAGGTTATCTGAGTATAAAAAAAATGTAGAAAAAGAGATAAACAGTCAATTTGGTGGTAAGGGTTGTCAACACAAATCAAAGTAGTATTTGAAAATTGTTCACAGTGTATTCAAGAGAAAACAAATAACAGAAAACCATTAGTGATAGAGGATATACCAAGTAAGGTATGGCAGTAAAAAGGTATAGATCCCACAATTCACATATTTCTAAATAAGTTTTCAAGATATTTAGAAATATGTGAATCTCACATAAACTACTTATATAATAATAAAACATTGTAAGGAAACATTTGCGCGTTTTGGAATTCCAGAGATAATAAGAACAAATTATGGTACACAGTTATAAGGAAAATTCACATAATTTGCTCAGTCATATAATTTTATTCCCATTACAAGTAGTCTCTATTTTGTACAAAGTAATGGCTGTACAGAAGCGGGGGTTAAAATCAATAAAAATCTTTTAAATAAAAATACAAATATTTATTTATTTATTTGGTTTATATAAATACACCTGGAGAGACAGGGTTAAGTCACAGTGATTTGTTGTTTAGTACAAAGTCAAGAGAACTATTACTTGTTCACCCATGCAAATAAGAAGCTAATGATAGAATGTAGATTACAAAAAAAAATCTAGAAAAAAAAGTAAAATATCATAAACAAAATGGCAGAATTATAATAAAAGACAGAATGGTCAAGTTAAGTGATTTAAAAATAGATGATCATGTGTGGGTTAGTGATTTAAAAAAAATATGCCTCCATCGTAAGAAAGGCAAAGGAGCCAAGGTACAGAAGGCATTTGGCCCCTGTGCCTTTCCAAGATAAAAAACAAAATAATAATATGTTTGTGCAATTCATAGTGAGCCAGCAAGAGAAATAGTCTTAGAGGAGGTTCCAGTAGTATCAAATCTTTCTAAATAAAGAATTTTTATTATTACTTTTATAACATTTATTCAGATATTATTAGATTTTTGGTAAAGATATTAGAAAAACTTCCTGACATGTAAGAGGTAATTGTTGTAGGCCATTCGGACCTCCACCGGAATCGTCCATATTTAGCAAAACTTAACTACAAAAAGATAACAACTAAAACAAAACTATAAGAAAACGAAATAATACAATAACAACTCAATCCCGGAATACCTACGGTAAAACAACAAGAAAGGGAGAGCCACGCTTCGGCATGAATGGGCTGGCTCGACCGGAGTGATACCACGGCCTCACAGAAAACCGACGTGAAGCATCGCTTGCGTTGTGTTTCGTCGTGTGAGTGAGGGTACCGGAGGCCCAACCCCTGCTTATTCCCTTCACTCTACCCCTCAACCCTTCCCTCCAAGACCGGCAGCGCGCTTGTAGCCCCTCTGGTGTTGCAGGTGTCCATGGGCGACGGTAATCACTTACCATCAGGTGATCCGTCTGCTCGTCTGCCCCCTATCACATTAAAAAAAAAAAAAAACATTCACAATTAATGAGAATCGCAGATTATGTATTTTGACTATTATGAATACATCATAATCTGACAAAATTAAAAAGCTGTACTACCGAAACGTTTGAAGGGATTAGGCAACGTTTTAAATTTGGTAGAGTTATAGTGACATGAGAATCGTGCCAAGACTATCCAACCCTGCTTCTCTAGGTTCTTTAAGATTAACACTTTTTATTGTAAGAGTTATTAAATCTTTTAAGTTAGTTAAATACTCATAATTTTGTTTAACAGATAGCTTAAACGACAACTGTTAAGTATAGCAGCTGATATTTAAGTGGATATGTAGCAAATAAGCCGTCAGAATTAAGAGTAACATGATTGTTAATATTTTGTCACAAAGTATACCATAAAAAGAATCTTATTTAACTTCTGTCTAATGCTATAATGAATGGAGTATAAATGGTTATCTGATTATGTTATTGTTTAAGTTTTGTTGATTGTATATTTATTTTAAAATCTTAATAAGGGGGATGTTGTGATAGTCTGTGATGTTGACTGCGGCTGACAAAGATAATTAATCTGGCTACTGGAGTGAAGATGATACTTGTGATTGTGTAACTAAAAAAGTTTATTAAAGAAGATAATACATTACAAGAACGATTAATTATGAACTATCCCTTGGCCTTTAAAAAGCTCTTTAAAAGCTGTCTATAGGACTCAAGAGGCCTTGCTCCTCACGTGGTTCTGAGATATCGCTTTCGCATCTACAAAACACGATCAAGTTCTACACAGTTCCCCCAAATGACCAATCTGTACCGCAAGTTTTATCATATACATATATCCATCCATGTTACACCATCAGGATAGTCTTCCGATCGCTTTGGCTTGTCAATCGACATAGACCAAAAACGAAACGATTAATCTTTTTACAAACTGAGTCAGCATGTTGTCTGTTACGATAATAAATTAGCATCTATTGTTATGCCAAGAAAGTTACTTGAAGTGCTTTTTACTATCTGTTTGCCCTAATAACCCACTGAGAGAAACTGAGTCTTTCCGTTGTTGATCTTTAGTATAACATTTTAGTTTTTGTATTTTAGAATAATTCGTTTCCTTCATGGATAATTTAAAAATTCATATTACTTGAATGTTCCGTGAATGCTGGAATCGTTAGTCTATAATATTAGAGCTCTGGAAAAGGTCTATGTTAATTGTGATAACTTGTCATTACTGTAAAATATATTTTTCATAAAACAATGTAAACAATATTTGTGTTAACTTCGATGATATAATACACTCAGGTTAGATCTTTGTTTTGTGATTTTCATAAGTATTGCATACTTAATTAAATAATTAGGAGATGTTTTGTCAAATTTAGTATTTAATTCAAACAGCAAGATAAGAGTAAGATGAATAAACCAAGTACAAAATTAGAAAGCCCTAATGAATATCCAAAAGAACTAGATGACATTAATGAACAATAACAATCTTTAATTACGGAGTCGCTATAATAAGTTTTTAAATCATGCAGTATATCATAAATAGTCTTTTCTTTGATCATTAATTTTTTATCCTTTCTATCTTTATTAATTTCGGGGGTTCCTATATTCTCGCCTTTTTTACTAGTATCTAATATTATGCCGGTGTGGCGCGACTGATCTCTAGACTTATTGTCATCTATAAAATCTTCATAGCTATCTTTATCGTTTTCGTCTATTTGGCCTTTTAAAATTTCTATTTCATCGTCGTAATATAAATCGTCATCATTATTATTACGTGTAGTTGTTTTTCTATGTTTTTTTCTTTTTGGTAATTTCATCTGATTTACTACATCGGGATGATAGTATAATACATTAGAAGGTTGAGTTATACCAATAAAGAAAGGTTGGTACGTAACGTAAAATGCTGTGGAGTAAAATGTTTCACCCCGCGTGCATTCTTTGTGTGTACATAATTGTGAATTACTTTCAGAACATGAACCACTTTGAGTACATAAGTGCACATCACTTTGAGTTACTAATTCTGTACCACCGCAGAGGTTTATGTTTTGAGTGCATAAGGTTGAACTACATCTACTGCATTGATCTAAGCTACTTTTAGTGCATATAGATCGACTTCTACAAGTACCGGGTGTACTTGTCATGCCTGTAAAAAGATGCTTCACGCAAGTGCACCTTTTCGTCTCATGATGTAAATAAATGGGATGAGGAAAATGTGGTGTTGCTTCAGGCAAACTTCTGAGTTCAAGAATTTTATTTTGATTCTTGTTTGTTTTGTATTGTTTACTATCTCTCGATGTTACATTGTTCATCCCGTCAGTTTGATAACTTTCATCATCATCATTTAATTTCGTGTTAAAATCTCCAAAGGGCCATTTTTGCTTGACTTCAAGAGTAGGCGTAGCCAATTTGCCTTTTGAGGTCATGGCGACAGTTGAGGTTTTTTTATCTTGTTCATAAAAGTGATATTTAATTGACAGCATTTCATCTGATAACATTTTGTCGAAGACATTCGACTTTAAGTCAGCACTCCTCGCCTTAGTAAGATTTTTAATTATTTGAAATAAAGGAATATGTGTTGTAAAACTGGTTTCATTTTTTAGCCTCTCATCTGTAATTTTAAGAGAAACATACCGAATTATATTAAATCATAATTTTTGTCTTATTTCCACATAATTTTAAAAACTCTTTCTAATATGAATGTAATTGTACTTTACCTTCAATTTCGATATTTGTCTGCGTACTTTTTAAATATATATAATTTTTAGTTTCGGATTTACTTCTAATAACTAGGCTATTTTCGTGATCCAGTGAAAATATAACTAGTAAAAGTATTTGAACAATGAAAATCATAACAAAATGATATCAGTGTCCCCATTTTAACGACCCCACAATGTTGTTGTGTACTTAAGGTATACGTCTCTGGCACAATCTAGAGAGTCACGATTTCCCTTATTTGATTTTTATCCATGTCATTTATGTTTGATATATTTTGTAATTTATTATGATAAATGTGAAATTCGTTGTATTGTTCTTATGTTTCGGTATCGTTTTAAGCTCTAATCTTTCTAATAGATATTGTAAAATATGCCATAATCATACACTTTGCAAGTACACGGTAAGTTTATAATGAAATAAATTAAACGGTTTACAACATTTGTCGACATCATCAGAAATTTCCTAATAAAATATTTTATCTGACAATATTTATTTTTACGTAAACAAATATGTAATTATTATGTATTATATACCACAGAAAACACAAATTTACGTTCACTGCATTAATCTCAAATAATCTAAAGTCCATGTTCGTGTAATATTATTTTAGTTAATAGTCATTCATTCAACTACATTTCTAAAGCAGGAAATCGGAGATAGGACTAGATACCAAATTCGATAATATCTTTTGAATTGTATATTGTCTATATTTCAGATGTCTGGTCCAAATACTTCTTGTGATAATTACGACGAAAAAGCCTTGATTACGAAAGATGATATCGTTAAAATAGTTAGTAGGATCAACGAGCGAAGGAATTTTGTAGCTAATGGATTGGCAAAACTGCTACCCTACGCTGCCAACATGAATAAAATTGTAAGTTAATCAGCATAGTTATTCTGTAATAACTCTTAAAATAATTATATTAAGAAATATAATAGGTCTCATCAAGAACTGTATTTTGTATTTATTTTTTTAGTTTTCTCTTTGCTATATTAATCACAAAGTTATTATTTACCATTGTCGTAAACAAGTTATACATATTTATATCATCAAAAAAGTATTCACTTGAGAGAAATGTCCTGTCATTCCGTCTGAAGAACACCATAACGCCCCATGTCGACCACCGAGCGGTTGGTTGCCAGTTTTATCGGATCCCCTGATTGATACTCGGTCGGGTCAATGTAAAGAATTTGATTTGCCTCGGATGTTGTGGTACATTTGTTATAAGTACTTATATGATGTTATTCAATATGTTATTATTGTCCAATATTGTTTGAAGTCCTTCACTACGATGTAAAGTCTTCATAACAACGTGTGATATGAAGAAATAAATCAAGTAATAAAAAAATCTCTACTTTAGTCGCTTACTGCTTAGTGTCCAATACAATATAATGATGTTTTTATGGTTGTCCTTATATTTTTAAGCGTTGGTCTGAAGAGCTGGCGATTTTCGCTCAAAGATGGGTGGACCAATGCGATCCAGACATACACCCTGATAAAGAAGACGATTGCAGAGATTTAAGTAACAAAAATATTTTCTAACACAATAAATTATATTTATATACCTACACGCGGTTGTTAATAAAACGCTAAGCATTGCTAAGCATGGTAGTAGTTAGTCGTATCTGTAGTTTCAATGTGTAAATTTTAATCCAGAATAAAGTAGACTAAACATAAATACGTAATAAATTTATCTTAAATAATCTTTAATCAGGATTATACTTCGCCCATCTCTGTGCCGCAACCCGTCACGTAATGAACTAAGAAGATTGAAGTTCAAACTTTTGTTATGTATTACACGACCGATCTTAATCCAACTAATATTATAAATGTTTGTGTAATATTATAAATGTAACAGATTGTTTGTTTACACTTGACATGAAATTTGATACAAAAAGATTGGCAGTACGTGTCAGTTTTATAAAGACAGCTATCTATATTAAACTGAAAAAAAAAACAAATGAAATATGTAAAATGTCCCTTAATTTTTTTTCTTTCCGTTCGCGGCTTCGCCCGCGTAGATGTCCTTTAAGCTTTTTTTTACGAAGTATCTTAAGTCCTTTCCCAAGGTCTACTCTATTTGTGTAGCAAATTGCATTAACATTCGTTCAGTAGTACCGTTTAGACGTGAAACGGTAACAAACACATATACAGAGTTACTTTCGTATGTATAATATTCATCATCAGCTCTTTTAGGTCCCCACTGCAGGGACTCAGGCCTAACTTATGGACGATTAAGGAGGACGGGGCAGCACCCTCCATGTTGGCCGAATGCGGATTGGAGGGTATTAACTGCTGCAAATACGTATAAATTAACGTGCCTTCTAAAGCACGGAGTAGCTCGAGATAATATTTTTTTGGACTGAGCTTATCCACTATAATATTAGTGTGGATTAATAATTTGATAGACAATATGCAAATGGGTAAGCGTAAAAATTATCGGAAATAAAATCTGACCGTCATCCCTACATCTGATTAAAGAAATTCTTCCCAAACTCATCTATCATTTTAGGGGACACCAAGGTCGGCCAAAGCATAGCCACCGTGGTCGGACCGACCCCGGGGATGTATATTCAGAGCCTCGTTGATATATGGTTCACTATGAGTTTGGACTATAAGGGTAGTGCATCATATTATAACCAGTAAGTATTTTTATATCGAAAACATTCTTCTAAATTAGACCTTTAGAAACTTTTTCTTATTATGAGACTTTTGATTAGGCACTGTTAGAGGAGTATGACGAAAGTCGTTCCAACTTTCACAAGTGTCTGCTAGAGACTTCGATAAATTATCTTGAATGTATTTTTGTTTTCTTTACATTATAATAATTTCAGTTCAACTCAATAATAGATTCAAAAAAAAAATTTTTAAGCTATACCTACCAGAGGCTCCACTCTACTATTAACGTAATTGTAAAGTGTAAGTGGCGTTTCAATTAAAGATTTTTGACATATTTCTTGCCACTAAACACAAAATAATATTATCTATCATTATTGATAATCAAGATACATTACGCCAATAATATTTAGGTGAATAATGCATTGGGAAAATGCAAAGATCATTGAAGTGCCATTATGTCATTAACACTAGCAGATTCGAGGCCTTCTCTGCTATGTCAAAATGATTACCTCCTTTATTAAAACAAAATATGAATAAGGCTTAACATCGAAAACATTACATATTCACGTCCAGACTAAACCTTCCAGAAGCGTTTATATAAAATCTTTCCTCTTCTTACGAATTACAAGCAAAATGAATTCTATGCATTGTAATTCTTCTTATAATTCAAAATAAATAAGTAAAATAAACTACATCACGTTGTCAACAGGTAAATTACTTATTTCAGGTCGCGAGACTGGAAGACAAATTACTTTACTCAATTAATTTGGGCTGATACAGATAAAGTGGGATGCGGCAAAGCCAGGTTCTTCGTAAGTAAACATCATTAAAACATTTCTTAATTACGTTCTAATTGCAGTATGTGGTTCTAAGACTAAAACACAAAAATAAGTGAAACTTAAACGATTATTTTTATTAAAAATCAAGTATCAACAAAGAACCGCTCTGTTCCCATTGATCAGATTTTGTTTCATGAGAATAAATAATACCTACATATTTTTATGTATAAATCTAAACCGAATCGTGCACAGATTCTAATAAATAATAAATCACCGATTTATCTCCTCCGCTAAACTACTTAGATATCGTTTAGCTCCAAAGCTATTTGTCTCGACGTCAAACGTTTTTGTTGAAAAAACGTTAACAAAAAAATATGAAATTCCCTTACAAATTCGGATGGAAACGGTCAACCGGAAGCGCGAAAAGCAACTTCTTAAATGTTTTACCAGGTTACAAGAAACTTTGCAGAAAGTAATACTTAACTACTAAAATAATCATGTACTTACTAAGATTGATACTCCTGTATATTTCTAAAGGCATTTCAATTCATTCACAGTCTTTACTAATCTCAGATATTACATAAATCTTATCATCAGATATTACATAAAAATTCATATTTTTTGAACAGCGAAATCTAAGTCTAGATAGACTTCATAATGTTACTGCACTATTTATAACTTCTCAAACTTTCTTCATGTGGGACTTACACTTTGCTGTTTTTTTTTTTGCTTGAACGCTTTATGGTCGATAGTAATATTGATTAAATTTTGTAATGCCACTTGAGTTAAATACAAAGATTACTATTTACCCCTACCACTTTGTCCGCAATCACCCTATATGCTTTTCAACAATTCACAACCTAAAAAAATTGGTAACTTACGACCCGAGTTAAGTTATGATTTCACTTTTTTACAGTTTAATTACACTTTAATCCGTAACTAATAATACTTTTTAGTAAAAGAAAATGCAAATATCGTATGCACGCAATATATAATCAACAAGAATTTTTAAAATTTACCCAAATATATTTAATTGATCTTATCTTAAAACACGTTGCGGGTTCCAACGGTGACGACTGACCAGGCACTAAATATGGCGGATATTTAAATGAAAATTGGCATAATGTACAACATTGAATAACGATATATAATCGATATATAAAGAAGAATATTTTTATTGACATTCACAACATCTTAACAGAAAAAAGTACAGACAATAACTTACAAAAGTTTTAATTTCTTTCATAAAAGACGGCGAACGTCTTACATTACTTACAATCACCAAACAACTAACAAAAAAGAGAAAATGTACCGAAATAAGCATACGTTATTTTTTCATAGATCAAAGTACGACTTCATCATTTCTAAGGTGGTTGAATAGCTCTTGGCATGAGCACGTCCTCAGTATTATTATCCGATACGACATCAAGATACAAAAAAAACTCTTATTTGAACTTATTTCCTTACAAAGCAGTCATCTTTATTTGCGTTGGAATAACTATAGTTTTACTGAAATAAAATATTACACCAGTCATGTTACTAGGATTACTTTAAGATCAATAGGCAATAACCGCGCAAATCTTTCTACTAATAGATTTTGTATTATGTTTTTGATTTGCTAATGAATCGGAACATAAGAAATACGTCGACTTATATGTACTTAATTAATGACCGCGAACGAAAGAATATGTTTCTACTATACTAATATTACTAATTTTCTGATGAACAAAATGTTAAGAACTGTTTTAGTATAAACTTAGATCACTTAGTATAACTTGACCCGATATCCAGTTGACAGATATGAGATAATAAAATTAAGTCAAAACACAACTCACCTCTTTTAGTTGTCATGGAAAATCATCAGTATTTCCAGGTAGTTTTCCATCCTCTCATCTACCCCTATTTATAAACAGGGACAGTTTTTGGCTTTAATCCCCCAATCAAGTTTTAGTTGAAAGGCGGAATAATCCTTAAGCTACTTTTTTGCGCGTAACATTCATAATTATTTCCCTTTAATCACAGTGTTATTCTTAGCGAAATTTGATAAATATTAGGCTTTACAAAGTAATTGAGAAATATGCTGCAGGGTGAGATTGAGAAATATTACATATAATTAACGTAATGGTTCGCAAGTAATCCATCAATTTTTGATGCTCTCTTTGACTGGCTTGTTTGGTATTTGCCTATAAATGCTTTCAAAGTTTAGGTTGTTCTTATACACATTGCAAGGGGACCCGAACACGTTAAATCAAATGTATGTTGCGTTTTGACAGACTTTATTATTAGGATGGAGATGTTAACACTAAATGTAGATTTACTAGATAAACCGTAAGTCGCTAATAGCGAAAATGTGGTTTTCGCTACTAGTGAGCCTAGTTTTATTTCTGTACAGATTTTTTTTATTCTTGAATTAAGAAATTCTGTAAATTTGTTGTTCTATTTGCGTAATATTCACAATATTTATATAAAAGTTTCATTTTTAAATAAAAGTACAAGAACCTCATAACTGCGCTCTCAATTTGGCAGCCCCTCATTTTTCCTACTGTGGGCAATTTCCTGGCTCGCTCCCCTTAATATACTCTATCAACATAAATACTCTTATACAACATGACATTTAATTGACCGAATATATTGGTTAATTGAGAAATATATTGTACATTACATCAAAGTGACGACAACGTATTTGAGCGTCAATAACTCGCGTTTATATTTTGGTTAGATTTTCTAGGATTCCGTACCCACAGGTTAAAACAAAAACCCTATTACTAAGACTAGCTGTCTGTCACCAGGCTGTAATTCATAAGAACTGTAGATGTTGTATTTCTGTTGCCACTTCAATAACAAATACTTAAAAAACTAGAATAAAATAAATATTTAATTTAATAAAAAAATTAATAAATAATAAAATAAACACAAAGTAATAGTAAAACATTTAACTGTAGATCTAGTTATTTTATTTATAGAATACCTTAAAGATATAATATCTATTAAGAGAGGTTGTGAATAGGGATGATGACTAATTTTTGTTTGTTTGTCCGTCAGGTAGAGCGTTAAAAATATTAAACAAGTACTTTTTTATTTTTTTCGTAATCATAAAATTACGGCGTTACATGGAGTTGAAATTCCGCATGACGTCACGTTATGGTACGTTTTCTAGTCAACTGTGACGTAGCGAGCCCCCACTCCTCAACTTTAATGCCTGTTATCTAAGCTATTTCTTGTTAAATTGAATAAAAAAAAAATACGTCTCTGATATTTTTCTATTATCTGACTGACGGACTAAATAGAAATCCTTTTTTTTTACCCAGTCGTCATCCCTGTTGATCAAATATTATGATTAGGAAACATTTTCATTGTCATTGAATGAAAGTTTAAAATGTCTATTGGCTGTTTAGGTGGGTTGCCTGAGCATTTATGAAAATTATTCACTTGCAGTGAAAGTAACAAATGCTTAAGAAATTGAGAAATAGCTCAGTGATTAAAGCAATTGCCCAGATAACAAAAATTCATGGGGTAGAGAAAGAGATAGAGTAACTGATGAAGGCGTTTTTGTCTAAGATAATTTTTTCGATTGATGTTTTTTTCTTTCAAAAAATTATAGTGTCTAAACGAAATATACCTATTATTATTAACTAACACGCTTGAATACATCTACCTACACCCAACAAAACACACTAGGACCGCCTGGCGGTTTATGGTCAATCATTATCCTTGTTCCTATAGATTATTATCTACATGGACGGACAATCCTTACATTAAGAATATTTCTAGGCTAATGATGTGCTAATTAATCTGCTATATATTTCAAATATCTACTTTCCAAATAATCTTTTGTAGGTGGAAAACAAAAATAAAATTATCGAGAGACTGATTTGCAATTTCGCGCCCAAAGGGAATAACCACGGAAAGCCCGTGTACGCCATAGGTTACCCAGCAACACAGTGCAAAAACAATATGGTATCAGATAAAGAATTTCATGGACTATGTTCTCTTGGGACACAAAACAATGGTAAATTATTTGACTAAGTTACTCCATAATAACCTTTTATTATAGTATTTTTAATATTACTAGTAGTACTCTTTATCTACCCACGATCACCTGACGAATGAATTAAATAAATATTAATTTTCAGTAAGAAAATTTACACTCAACAAACCTCCAGTAAGCAGCTTATTGAGGATTCTCAATTTGTCGAATAATTCAGTGAGGCAAGAAATAGATCCTGTTCGCAATAAATTAAGTCAAGCAAAATTTGATTACAATTTCACCAATGAGCAAAGAAATCAGAAAATCAGACACGTCTTCTTCAATAATAGCTACGGTAAAAAACTTGTCTGTCTCTTATTTTTTTTAGTTTCCCATCGTTTGTATTCTGTTAATTTGTATTTTTCAGTAGCAAGAAAAAATATTCCATCCATGCAAACATACAATAAATGGCCTAGTCCAGAGAATTTTTCAAGAAATCAGCAAATCCAAAAATATCAGCAAGAGAGAGGACATTCAAGAGTCTACCATGGACACGAATTACACGATCATAACTTTGGATCGGAAAATAAGCTAGGAACCTATCAAAGCTCTACAAATATTGCCCACTCTACTGATTCGACTGATGTACCCAATGAAGCAAAAGAAACAAACTTCAGGAAATACTATCAAAACCACGACTGTACTAGACATCAATCTTTCAAAAAATTGGTAACACCATATATTAAAAATGACTGCAGGAATTGCGATACTAGAGCCAATGTTTGTACACGTGAACATACATCAGATAATTGTGCAAAAATTGCAGCTTCTTGTCATGAAACTACAAATCTATGTCTGCAAAATGAGAAACCTGAATGTTCCTGTATACCAACTACAACTTGCGCTCCACTGCCACCAAAATGTGGCTGTAATATCAATTGCCCGTGCATAAAAACAGATTGCATTCCAACCCAATGCCCACCAGCCCAAGGGTTTAGAAGAAATCATAAACTTAAAGAGGACTCCAGTACACCTTTAGAATTTCATTATTATGATTTACTTCCTAACATGGAAATCCGAAGTGGTGATAATGACAATAAGAAATTACACCCTAAAGAATCTTCATCGAAAAGTCCGTGGGTGGATTACACAACGTTCGGTAATAATTTGAAATCACTTCCTTATACTCCCCACTATAACGAAAATCACGATTATGTAAAAGATTTAACTTCATCAGAAAAAACTAATAAACTAAATTCTGATTACATTTACGATTTCTCTGATTCCAGAGAAAGAAAAAGACGTAATCTAGGAGATGAAATGACATTTAAGCCGTTTTGGCAAATGGACGAGTTCAATCACCAAAGACCAGAATTGCTAAAGTCTATAAAATACACTACATTACAAAAAAGGAAGACTAAACGAACTACTCTTGGAAAAATTGCACAAACCACAGAAATCATTACAATAAAATTAAAAGAGAGTGCCGATAGCATTCCCAAACAGAAAAAAAATATGATAGAAAAATACTTATCATTTGATGAATTAATGCATCTTAGAAAGTTTGGTTCTACTGAACCAAATACTATTATAAATGCAAGAAGAGCCGATAGTAATACTACTAGTACTACTACTAGTAAAGCTACATCTGAATACACAACTAATACACCATTTAAAAGGAAAAAGCATTGCACAAGAAAATTAACATGTACATGGACCGCGGTAACTATAACCGATGCCAACGGTAGTGTAATTGGTGGCGGAGGTTATGGAGGAGATGGAGATCGTGGTTCCAGAACTCCACCTGGTTATGTTGATGGTTGCACCCGTACCTCTACATGTACCCGTGATTATATGGATAGAAATAAGTTTTCTACTCTTTCAGATTCTAGTGATTCCACTGTGTCGCAACTAGAAGATGAAGACTACTGTGAAAGAAGAGCGTTAAATGTTCATAGAAGAGATTCTTATCGAGACAGTTCTATACTAAATAATGATCGAGTCACAACAGTATTGTATCATATGAATAACAATGCTGACAGTACTTATATTTCGTATTCTTCGACAGAAAGTTGTCTTTGTATAGATGATAAACTAAGAATAAAAAGAAACGAAAAGAATAATTCAGTACTATTTAATAACAGCAATATTTTTGAAGGTGAAAGAGACAAACGCTCCTATGAAATTTTATCATATGGAAATTTATATTATTTGCTTTTACAAAAAATTATAGACACATGGAAAAGGAGTCATCGTTCCGCCAATTGTTTCTGCAATGCTGGTACTGTTCTTATCAAAGGATCTATTTTATTCATTGCGCTTACATTTATGTTTAATTTATTATTAAATAATTACAAATGAAATGTATTGAATTTTATAGAGTATATTTATTTACACCTATATTGATTTACAAAGTATGATTCCTCGCATCAAAGCAAAATGATTATTACAAATGTTTTCCATGCTAAAAAAATGCAGTATTAAATTGCATGGTATAGTGATGATAAGTTGCATGTTATAATTCGATTAAAAATTACAGTGATGCTTCTGAATTAAAGAAAAAATAAATATTATTTTTCTTTTGGTTTATTGAAAGAACAATGAAATCTTTCATTTAGTTTCAATGGTTTTAAGTCTGCAGCTATCGTTTTCAATAAATCATCATACTTTATAAACATTTCTTGGTCATCTTTTTTTCGGTAATTGGATTGAGTTTTTTTTTCGGAATAATCTAAATCCTGTTCATTTTTTAAAAATGCTCCTCGTTTCCGTTTCTCTAATTGACCTGAAAAGAAACATTCATAACAATCACTCGTGTAAATATACCATCAAAATCATTTATAATAATAGTGACATACTTTCTGTTACATAATCAGAATCTATAATGTCATCCAAAAAGTCTTTTGTCCTCTCGGTTCTTTTTAAATTTTGTATTTCCAATACCACATCTGACACTGGAATTCCAGATGTATCGTCATATGAATCTATCGTGTCTGTGCTTGATACTTCAGTGTTATCTTCGGGAAAGAAATAATGGCCTGTAAAATCATGATTCAATTTAACTTCTGCAAGTTCCGCCTGGACTTTCACTGGACTCACCTCCATAAGAGACTGTCTTATGTCGTCTAGTTGCTGTGCAAGTGTAGTTTTTTCTGTAACACATAACATACGCATAATTAAATTAAACTTTTATTGTAGTGTAGATAAGTAAACAACAATTAAATAGCTGCAAAACAAGCTAATGTAGCTGGGCTAAGTTATTCAAAATGGTTATCAGACTTTATTAAAATCAATGTCCCAGCAGATGTAGAACGAAGTTGTCACAAAACTAAACAATGAAAGATTTGCATATTTCTTTAATTCAAGTTCCGTAGGACGAATCTCGTTAAAGTATTTGAAATTTAGAATAACAAATACGACTATAATCTCATAATGCGTTTATTATTCAAAAGAGAATTACACAAATGGCACGCATTTACCAAAGACAGTCGTGTAGTGAATATTTTATAAATCTAAAGATATAAATTAAAACTTTACATTTTAGTTTAAAAGAAAGAAAGACAGGATTTAGCTCATACATAATGGATCTAAAGTTACAGATTCAGTGGCGGACTATCCTCAGTCCGGAGGCCCGGAGCGATAGGCCGTGATCGACAACTTTTTCCAACCAAGGCAGAAACTTGGTATTACGTCAAGTTATTTATTTTTATTTCGGATTGATATATGATTTCAATAAAATATGGGATTAATATAAACTTACATATTTTTATTTATGTTTCAACTTGTTTTTGAATGTTTATCAATATATTTTATATAATTTTAGTTTTTAAAATACCTTATAATGACATAGGCCTAAATACATAGTACATACCGCCACTTCTGAATATAACAGCCTCCACCAAATCGACAAGCAAAGTGGAATTCACATATTCCTGTTCAGGTAACTTAGTGGTAGTTGTTGGTACTTTCTTACTATATATCTTACTTACAAATACTGCTACATTTGGATCAGTTATAGCAAAATCATTATTTCCATTCAGCATTAAATTTGTAGTCGACTGAAGTATGTCTTTAAATAGTGGATCATTACTCAATTTCTTTTTTAATAGTTCGATAAATTCGTCTACCGCTAATTCGCCTTTACATAAACTAGAACTTTGTATCGAAGGCGTGGTAAGCTTTTGCCGCGAAAAATCAAAATACTGAGATATATAGTCAAAAGTCGCAGTTTCATCTTCTGTCATAGTATCGGAAGCTGTTGAATTTTCGGTTATTAATTGAAAATTATCTTTAGAAGTATCATCTGTTCCAACATCGAACGCTGATTTTTTTCCTATTCTTTTTATATTATCTTGTTTAATATCTGAAAATTTCATATGCATTAACGTAATAATAAACTACGGAAACAAAGTACGTGTAAGAAGTTTCAATGAATTTAAAATTTTAATACTAACTGCATAATGATGTATATTCAATATCGCAAACACCGCCAACGGGACATCTTGAACAAGGTGGTCCACTAGTATAAACAGTTTCCCCTACTACATTACCACCTACTGCGAAGTTACAGACCAGCCTATTGACTGTCCTGTTTTTAATGCTGCGGTCACCTTCTAGATGTTCCTAGAAAAATAATGATATACTATTACAATTAAGTAAAAGCTTAACAAATATAAAAATAGATGATAACAAAAAGCTGACCATGAAAATCATAGGACATATTTTTCAAATTAAATAAAACGTGAAGTTAACAATATATGCATCATACTTATTCAGTTTTGTTTTAATGACAATGTCAAAATGACTAATATCTATTAGTTATCAGTAAGTAAGTGACATTTTAGTGAGCCCCTATTAGTAAGTAGGTACTAATATTGTGCTAATATTATTAAAAAATATATATGAAGTTCATCATCATTATCAGCCCTTTTACGTCCCCACTGCAGGGGCTCAGGCCTTCTTTATGCATGGTTAATGAGGATAGGCCATGACCCTCCACGCTGGCTCAATGGGATTGGAGAGTATTAATGACTGCAGATGCAGCAGATGAAATATGTTTTAGTCCTATCCTGTGACCATTGCGAAAGTTGCTTAACAACAACGAACGCGAGCAGCGGCGCTTATTCACTACGTCACCGAGCTACTCGCTAATGAATTCATTAAGTACTTACTTTAAATTTTACAGCACCACAGCCAACTTCGCTCGAGCGAGCCCATACTAATTGCGTGAAATAATCGTAATGCGAGAACCCATTACTGACTGATCTGAAATAAACTTTTAAAAGATTTAGTCGCATATACAAACCTAATCCAACTTTAATTCCACTTGTATTTTATTTAAGTATATCATGCTGCATTCATACGATTACCGATGTGATAAATTAATTATCATATACCTACTCGTCGTTTAATAGACTTTATTCAGATACATTAATATGGCTTATTAAAAGATTACGGTCCTATTCCTTGATGCTTTATATTTTAATAGAGTTTTAACGGTACCCCTACTTGTTAATAAGATTCTATTGATGTAATCTAGGATATTACTGAAAAAATATCAATTGCTGTTACATACGTAAACATTGAAATTACTCTGCAATGCTCACGGTGTCTGCAACGGTATGACAATGCAGGCGGGTACGAATTCCTTTAGATTTTCTTTCAACTCTGAGCACTATTTTGTGTGATGTGTTTGCGCAGTTTTATCGCAGGCCGAACTAATAGTGGATTTTATCAGCAAGTTGAGTAAGATTGTACTTAAATCGGCATATTTTAGGAGCACCAAAAAAGGCAAATTTCTTGTTTCTCAAGTAGTAACATTAGTTCTTGGAAAGAAATCTGTAGGTAGTCATGTGTTTACGGTGGTTATGGGAGAATTTTTCGGCAACAACTGTCATCATTATTTTGCATTACACAGGTTAGAATTTGACTGCACGGTTGGTCGGTGGTCGAGCGGTATAGTTGCCGCCATGCAACTGCCCACGGATCGAGTGTTGTGGTTCGATCTCCACAAAGGGCAAGTTTTCGTGTGATTTACAAATAATTGTTCTTAGTCTGGGTGTACTTTGTCCTTCACAGCACAGGACATGCATAAAAAAAATTTTACAAAAGATATGAACTAAACAACTGAAGATCTATGAATAAAACTTTATTTGAATTGTCAAAGCCTCACGTATTTTTTTAAAGGAATGTAATAAACAATATTGAACTTAATATATAGGTAATAGAAGTCAATTTTGCTGATAATATATCATAATGGATAATAACTCATAACAAATCCAAGCACAAAATAAAATAAAGGGAATCCCCGTAAGTCAGTATAGATGGTATTGCCATTTGCTACAAAATATAATTTAAAGAAAAAGTATTCTCCGAATTCGTCACAGAATAAGTAATGAAAAATTCCGTGCTCTTTTTATTCGGTTCGTATTTATAGCTGCGTTAAAAATATGAATGGGTTTATATATTTAAAAAATATATTTTATTGTTTACTGTGAAATTTTAAAAGTGCCCCACCCCCACTACGCAACACCACTGCTACTGACGGCAAATGTATTTGAGGTACATCCACCAATGAGGCAGCAATAGGTAACTTTTCGCCTTTATTGCATGGTTTATAAAGCTCACCATAATACGTCTACTTACGGTTCATAACGATAAATAACCGAAACATTTGCGTTCAACAGCTCAGTGTACCATACATCCACCAAGGCTAAAGGAGACAATCCCGGTGCTTCCCCATATACAGTTGCTATATTCTGTCCAACCGATAACTCTCCTTGGAAATACAAAAAATGAAATTTTTATAGCTGCGGATATTATGTTATCTGCGATTGTATTAATCCCAGGCAAATCAATAAGATTAAGATAATTTTGACTTAATTCAATTCGAAATCAAATTAATGTCGCTACGGTACTTTGTCAACCCTTTTCCTTTGGCTTTCTTTTATGTATAAAAGTAAATTAATTTTCAAAACTCATTAAACAACTCATATTCTATTTGTACTTTTTCGTATTTGTATTGATATCTAAGTTTCGAACTTTGCAAATTCCAATTTTTAATATGTTAATTAAAAGAAACGGTAATGACTATATTTGGTCCATTTGTTCCCTGAAAAAAATCAACTTTTGGTAGAGGTGCTTTTCTAATGCCTTCCTTTTTGTTATATACTTCCTCATTAGCATTCAACTCTTTCGTTTGATATTTCTCAAACATCAATCGCAAACACCGTCATATGTCATATAGTTGTGGCGTGAAGTTCGTGGATATTTTACGAATGTTAATGAAAATGATTGCGATAAATTTTAAAATTATCCAATTAGGCCCCCTGGTCATGTGCGGGCTGACACTTCGCGGATGGACTAAATTTGAATTGCCACCCGATATTCTTTGTTAAAAAATCTTTTTTTATCATCATCCACTAAAGTCCCTAATGCTGGAGCTCAGGCCTCAGGCTTTCCCTATGGATGGAATCAAATCGAATAGGGAAATGAGCTATGCAAGATCCACCAGGCAGGCCCAGTGTGAATTTGGTGGGTATTAACGACTACAGATGCAGCCGAGATCAACGGCTTAACGTGCCTTCTGAAGCATGGAGGAGCTCTAAATAGAGAATATATTTTGGTCACCCATCTTATCACCGTCTATTGCGAAAGTTGTTTAACAACTGTAGCGCAGACCGAGTGCGCTAACCACTATGCCATCGAGCTTTTCAACTATTTTTAATCTAGCACTAATTTACCCCCAAAAATATCCACCGTGCCACATAATTCATACTTACATTAATTTATTTATACCTAATAGCCATCTGTGGGTCGCAATTCTGTACCCAATTTCGATTCTGCCAGTCCAAAATGCTAGGTTTTGATATAATAGACAGACAAACCAAACGACAGAGATACATATACACATATAGGTAATCGTATTTAGGGTTACTTATTTGAATTCTTTATCATATGGAAATCTCAAAAGGGTACGCTGAGATTATTTACCTAAATCACGACATGTATCTTTCTGATCTGATAAACTGATTTGTTTTACACATTGATCAGCCCACCTTTGGGCCGATTTTTCTAATTCTTCATTCCAGGTCTAAAAAGGAATAAATGTAATAATATTGTCAGTGTTTTATAAGATTATTCGTAAATAAAAAAAAATACAAAAAAGTTTAGTTCAATTACCAATTTCAACATGCTGTCCGCTGAAGGATATGAACGAACATCACCGGCTGCTATTTTGTTCCTTCTTTCATTAATTTTGTTAAGAAGTGCAATTTTTTCTTGAGAAGTTGTTATAGTTCTCGCGTAATCAATACAGTGTTTATCTGGTTCCGGAGACTATAATACAAAATAGAGAATGAGAAATACATAGGAAGTAATACAGAAAACATGTAACTAACCCAATAACACACAAGAACACTATTCGCAAATCTTTATTCTAGTGATTGACACCTATATTTTTCTCTATGATGAATTCTGTTAAAGAAACAGTTATAAAATATAGATAATGATGTCAGACAGGCGTTTTATAATGTTATGACTCTCTAAGTAATAAAATTTCTTAATCTATTATAAAATAGACCTAGATTTTCATTTTAGTACAGAAGAAGCTTCTTATTGGCGGAGGATACATTCCTTAAATATGCTGCGAATACAGAAAACGCGGATACGGGATAGCATTTAGTATAGACAAATAGTGGATACATTAAGAAGTTGCTAAATAAAAGCAATATGTATGTCAAAATAAATACAATTAAGATAAGATTATTGAAGAACTGCCAATTAAAGTCACTCTTTATTGTTAGTTTTTAAAAATCTTTAATTTCAGATTCATGACTAAGTAACTGTAGCGTTCATAATGTAGCTTTTTTAAAAGTATTTTATGAATGCTACAACGACATATGCCCGAAGTTATTTAAAAGATGGCGATGCGTTAATAAACGTCTCTGAATTCTTTTATGTTACCGATTGTACCCGCGAATACACAGATTTTAGCCGCGAGTACAGAAATTCGGTTACAAATTTTTCACCCGCGAATAATGAAAACGCGTTTAATGAAGCCGCGAATAAGGAGCTTCTACTGTATTTATTTGTGGTAAGTATATATTGGACCCTGAGCGTTTCTCGCCGGACCCCGGTTCTTTCCCGACCCTCTCCCTTTCTCTAAAGCCTAAAAATTGCATTTTCCCTGCGTTAAAGAAATGGTGGATACATATTATTTTATTTAGGTACCCTGTAAGGCACTCATAGGCGATTATAAACATTACTTAGATACCTGGAATTTGCAGAGCGTATGCTGTTTAGTATTATTACACACATTAGGGGCACAAAAACTTAAAGGATATGCATATTTTATAAAATTAAATGCTGTAAAAAGAAAAGAAAATATTAAATTTATTAACATATTTCAATTTAAAGAAATCTTCAGTGATCGCGATGGCTTCGAAAGGAGTGTTAATAATTATGATGCAGGTAAGTACACACCGCTGCACGTTATGTTACCACAAAACGTCAAATATTTCCAGTAGATTTTAAACTCTACGCACATAATATTAAGGTTTAAAATCATATATATTTTTATTTTTAACGTATGAAGATGATATACAAAGAAGTTGAACGTATCAATATGACACCTGGCTTGAATGACTTTTGTGCAAAGTATATTGAACAGCTTGTCAAACGAAATCAATAATTCGACATATCGTCGCTGCGCCTGCATGATTTTTTCAATTTTTTTTTTTTATATAATTTTGATCCTTATTTCATTGAAAGTAAGGTGCAAAAACAGTTTTTTAATAAAACTACTAATAACTAAGTTATAAGAAATAGTTGTGTGACGTTCATACATCAACTGCGCCTGTTGTGTCAGTTCGACACATAGCGATATTTTTGTACGCGATCGGACATGTTTGTTCGTGCACCGCTCTGGTCAATTATCACATATCTTACCTAATTTTTCTATGAGATGGTTCAGTTTTGTTTGAACAGTTTACAAGATCACACGTTCAAGCGAAACGAGTTTGTATTTACAATGGGCGAGACTGTTTTTACGAGTCGGGATCATTACAAGTAAGTAAATCAATAATTTGTTTCATATTATTTTTTTTATTGAGGTTAATTTTGGGTTGTTTTAATTTAATTGGTGAATGGCTTACAACGGCAATATACTGGTACTGGTTACAATAATTGTTTTAAGTGACTAGTTTACGCTCGTAGCTTTGCTTGTGTTAGAAACTACTTCCCACCCAGGGGTTTACTGAGATTAAAATATTTTTTTAATCTTATTTATTAATCATAACGGAGTGCCTTGTTTTCTTAGCGCCTTATAACTTCTAGTATTATAATTTATAGTATAAAAAAAGCATAAGACGTTTTACCTAACGCTAATTGCTTATCTAACGCTTTATTTTTGCTCTTTTAGGATTAACAACAAGAATAGCTAAGTTTTGGAGAAGTAAACTGCAAGTCTTGTGTCGTTATGCAAAGATCATAAACAGTCGATACATGACCTGGCTTTAGAGCTGGAAGAAGAATCGTCTATGTTTTTTCCACCTACTACAACAGTCCAAAGGGAGAGCGTATGGGAAAATACAGATTATGCTATTAATACTATTGCCGATCTCATTAATATTATTACGACAGCAAGTCAGGAATCAAACACAGGAATAACAGGTACAACTCAAAGTGTAGTAACCACAACAGCTCTGAGGAAATATTTAAAAATAAAAATTAGTTCTTGAAATCATACTAGATGTCACTCGCGATGTTTGGATTTTGTTTATAATATTCTAAACAAAATCCAGGCTGTTACATATTACTTGTGAAAGTCGAAAACTTTGCCAATGGTCCGCAAAACTAAGATCGGCATGAAACTCAGGAAGGGCTGCTTTTTTAATTTCAACTAAACCTAACGCACACGACACCTACCGCAGAGATTTTAAGAGAGCATGACTACTCTAGGTACTAAGTAAATAATATATTTCAATAAAACTGATTTCTAGAGTAGGTTGTGTAGTTAGTCAATCTATTATTAACAATATTATTGTAAGAACCAAAAAACATATACCCACCGTACGAATTAACTTAGCACATGGCTCGACGTCAGCCGTGGACATGCAAGATCAGTAGCAATAGTATAATAACTGTACGTGGCTTTGGGATTTTGAAATTTAAAGTTATAATCTTGCTGTTCGTTTAGAACAGACGTTTCTTGTTGATTGCTGAATGTTTATTATGAATGTTTTTTTGTACGAATACATAGTATATTTGATACATAAGTATATACATAATAAACGATTTTTTATTATAGTTATCGTTTTTACGACTTTTGTTGCTGATTAATCCATTCACCATACATAATATAAAAATATTATTGAGACTTGATATGGTTTTATTGTTGTAAGTTCAACAAACTAACGTACCTAGTTGTTATTGTTTTCAGAACTTTGTTAAATATTATAATGAAAAATTCCTAGACCTACTATGGCATAAGTATTATATTTATAAAAACTATTTGGCGGTAATATTATTGTATACCGTAGCTAAATGCCACTTTTAATTATATCACAGCATTAATTCAATTGATTTCCATAAATTTAAAAAACCTCTGTGCTCACTTCCATTATGTTAGTTTCCATTTTCCTCTATACAAATAAAAAAGAAATTTATTCAAAGATTACTTTGTATTAATCGAGTTGCGTTTGCATAACTCGAACTAATTAAATTTCAACTCGATATTAATCCGAGTTATCAGATCCATAACAACACTGACAATTCTATTCTCTTTGGTTTAACGTCATGAAATGACGTTTGGATCCAACAATTTGAGCTGCCATCTAGTGACATAAATTTTTGTAGTTTCTTTACTTTTTTTAAATACTTCCTCATTGATACTGAATCTTGCTTAGAACTATAAACTATGAGCCATGTTATATTACCACACCGGATTCTGAACGATAAAACTGGTTGTTTTGAACCTATAATTGAAAAGGAAAACAATTACAGTAGGAACCATTCAGGAAGATCTCGTGGTTCTGGGGAAAAAAAAAGAGAATGAAAAATCAAGAATTGAGGCTTTTAGGGAAGCATTATTCAGATCATAAAGTTACGAAAGTCGACGAGAATACAGTAATAAAAGAAGTGTCTAAACCAGGTAGACAAATGTGACTTAAATCTTGTGGACATGGAGCTGCTTAAAAAACGAACAGAAGCTATTCTTGTCCTGCTATTAATGAAGAAACACGGACCGATATTTTTCGATATTATTGGCAATTAGCCTCATGGGAAGCAAAAAAGTCTTACTTAAGTGGACTTATCCAGGCTCAAAACATTAGAAAAGCGTTTTAAATTTAAAGCACCTATTTTTTCTCCATCTGACTATGACTCTCGAATGAGACAAGCAAGACCGCCACAGCCGTACATAGTAAATAACCTTGACTTTACTTTTTTTTAATTACGAGGCAGTGCCTGGTAACTTTTTTACTATAAGACCTGGTAGAAGAGTTGGTGATGCAACTGTGACAGATTTAAGAGGACTTATTTATGTCAATGGTGAACTGCAATATAAATTACGCCATTCCGATGACTGGGAGACTTTGCAACGAAGACGAATAAACACATCGCTTACAACGAAACCAGCAAGGGTGTACAACGGTCAATTGAAAATCGATGCCACTAAATATAAACATTTACTAAGCCTTTAACAACACATGCATCGTGATTACCACCCATTCTTTGATAATTTATCTGGTATAGTTAATTAATCTCATTCTGAAATCAAAGTACAAAAATTGTAATTAGGTACGTAAAATGATTAGGTTTGACTGATTTTAGAACTAATATTTGTTTTGTTTTTTGAATTTGTTAAAAAATATGTTCTATTTCTAATTTTTCATTTGTATCCCTCAAGTACTTAATGAACGTTTTGTATAACTAAACAAGTTAGTTTAATCAAATAGCTATGTGATACAAGATAGGGCAAATTATAATAATTCCGTAAGTAATCCGTTTAAAAGTAGCTATTTATTCTTCAGGCACATGACGACTATTTATGACAGATTAAATTAACGCTATGTGTAAATTCTAAACATTCAGTTTTTCTAGAAAACTTACTTTACATGTAATTTTAATGAGAACGGTCTTAAACTATGTTAATAAATTATTAAATTTACAGACAAAAATAATTATGTTATCTCGAAAACATTCAGGATAAACTAGTTTTTTGTTGTTCCTGACGTACACATAACGATTTGTGATAGGACAGCGACGATATTATGTCAGTGTGATGTGCGGCCGGGGGTACATTGTGCAAAAATGTTGTTATTTCCAGCTTATTAATATATTTTATTTAAATACTCTAAAACCTTAATATACCTTATGTTAGCAATAAATTCTCTCTTAAGAAAAAATTTAAAAAAATAAAAAAGGACTGTTATATTATGTGTAATCTGAAGTAGTTAGTTTTTAACTAACTTCAAATAGAAAAGGAGAAGGTTATGTCCGACAGCGATGATTTTTTTTAACTTATTAATCAATGTCGGTTGACAAACTTTTATTAAAACCAAAAAGGAAGATACGCCATACTCATAGTTGCATTGATTAAAAAATGATACTGATAAAATTACGTATGTAAAATAACTCACACACACGGTATTCCCCGAGCAATAAATATGAGACATAAGTATAGCGTGAAGGAGACAGGAACTTACATTATCGGTAGCATGACATTTGGGCGAGTGAGATAGCAATCCATTTTTTACATATATATTTAAAAAAAAACAATCATTGATAGATATTTCAAGACTCGATGTTCAGCGTCAGCAGTTGAAAAATATACAGTTAAATAAAAGTAATTGAAATAAAATACAACCTTAGCACGTATTACCGAAGTCGTCACCGGGTGTGCATCACCCCTTGCACCCCCGGCGGCTGAAGACGGTCCTGCCTACAGTTGCTTTTATTTTTCAATTATTTTTTCGTTCTATAATGACGAACTTTGCAAATTCCATTTTTTTAATATGTTACTTAAAAGGAACGGAAATGACCATCTTTGGTCCATTCGTTTCCTGCAAAAATCAACAACCGACTTGTACAGTGCATTTTAGTGCTTCTTTTTTTTAAATACTTCCTATAATCATTGATTCGAAAGTATCGATAAAAAAACGATTACGTGATAATAAAACTTTGCTTTGTATATCTTTTCTTTTTCTATATGCATACTATTTGTATTATCTTTAACAATCAGATAGACGCGCTCAGAGCTTTTCTTTATTGTTTTATCTATAACCCCAAAAATCAAAATTGTCATATTTTATTATTGTTTCTTTACGTGTAAACACCACAAACGTAACATTGGCGGAATTGTGTAAACGCAAATAGGCAATGAATTAAAAAAGAAGAATCCTTATTTATTTCAACCAAACAATGCAGTTTTTAGGTTATCCGAATTATTAAGTTAGGAGCTTTTGTTAGTTTCTTTATTTTCTCTGTCGAACTGTCCTTATCAAAGAAAGGTTATAAGTAGTCATTACTGGCTAAGAACTCTGAATACTAAAATTTCATTAAAACTGCGATGAGTCGTCTAAGGGCACTTATTGGACCGTCAATTTTAAATGCGGATCTCTCTCAGTTATATGAAGAATCTCAAAAACTTCTCAACAATGGTGCTGATTATCTACACTTGGACGTGATGGACGGTCACTTTGTGCCTAATTTAACTTTTGGACATCCTATTGTAAAATGTTTACGGTCCAAAATAAAAGAAGCATTTTTTGAAACACACATGATGGTTCAAAATCCTGAACAAGTAGGCATTATTTTTAACGTAACTAATGTGTAACAAATTCTTATTTTTCAAGATCAAAGTATGTGCACTAGTAATTTAAAAAATACCCATTTTAAATATATTCTGATAAACATTGTTATTTGACCTTGTTCAAGTTATTAAAGGTCACATCTAAATCATTGCTTCTATATATTTATGTTTGCCTTAATACATTAATTCATATTTAATTTAATTTTTAGTTTCTTATAAATAAATAAAATTTAAAATAAGTTCATATGTCAGGACTTACATTTTTTTTTTACTTTAGTGGATAGTTCCAATGGCCGATGCTGGAGTTGATCAATACACTTTTCATATTGAGCCTGTTAGAAATGTTGAAGATGTGTGTAGAAAAATTAAGGAAAATGGGATGAAGGTGGGTAGGTTCTCTATCAGACCATGAAGTTAAAAATACGTAATCCTTTTATTGTCAATTTTTGTTTTCTAGATTAGAATAGATAATATTCTTTAAATTATTATTTCCAATTTTAGGTTGGTGTAGCAATCAAACCTGGTACCCCTGTTTCAGATGTTGAAAAGTACATAGATCTATCTGACATGGTATTAATAATGACTGTGGAGCCTGGTTTCGGAGGGCAGCAGTTTATGAAAAACCAAATGGCTAAAGTGCAGTACCTTAGGGAACAATATCCATTATTAAATATTGAGGTAGATGGAGGTGTAGGGCCTTTAACTATTAGTTGCTGTGCTGATGTAAGTACAATTTTTAGACAAAGAACTGATGAAACGAGTAAGAATAAAATTTAAAAATAAACATTATACTTATTTTTAGGCTGGGGCTAATATGATTGTGTCTGGTACAGCTGTAATCGGAGCCACAGATCAAGCTTCAACTATCAAACTACTTCGTGATACAGTACAAACTTCTATTGATAAGCATGAACAAAAGTAATACTAAGTAAATGATAAACAATAATGAGGTATCATTCCTAACCCAGTGAAAAATGTCTTCCATTTTTATAATAAAACTATTGAAGTAAAAAGGTTTAATTTTATATTTTAGTCAAATTTACTTAAATCTAAAGTACATTCAGTTCCTGAATTTTCAGAAACTTCTGGTTTTACAGCAAAGATCGAACTAGTTGCTATGCCAGATTCCTTGAATAACATTGGAGGATTGTTTGCTTTAAATTTATTTCGTAATCCTGAAAGTGTTATAAGCACAGCTTCTTCTGTACGAATTGTTCTTGAACCTTGATTAGGTAACACATTGACATAGTGGTTAAAAAGTAAACTGGCTTCGTCTACTTGCAATTGTTCATCACTTTCTAAAGCTGCTTCTATACCATGTAATCCTCCAAAAACTATTAAGGCATGATTGTAATTTAGTTCTTTATCAGGTATATCATCCATAGATGTTCCTCTATCCGAAGTACCAATGGTTAGATCATATCTGTGCAATAAATAAATCTATATAATATAATAAAGTAATACTATAATTTAATCAAAACTAAAGAGATTATATAACATACCCATCCTTATACGGTGATTGTGTAAAAACTTGACTTAAATTATTTGCAATTCTAACAGTGTATCCCCAATATACACCTGTTTCGGCTCTTGGTGTGGTAAGGCTAACAATTTTACCCTTAAGCTTTTTACAACCTTCTGGAGTTGGCAACATTCGAACTGTAACTCGAATGCCTGGATTAAGTAATTTGTCTGTTGAAACATCTTGAAGAAGACCAACATTCACTTGTGATCCTCTACCAGGTTTCACTTTTTTGTTCATTGTTATACCTTCCCTAAAAATAAAAATTAGAGGTGTATGGAAATGTTAATAATATATGGCGTAGTTTTTGACTTTCACAAGTGCTCTGTAAATGCCTAAAATTAATAAACAATTTTGATTTAATATACATTTGATTTGAAATATGTACTGCTTTAATAGTTACCTGAATTTGAAGTCGTTCGACATTCTTAAATGATGTGGTGCATCCAATGGATTCAAGAGACCAGCAAATTCTAAGTCTTTATGCAGTGGAAAAAAATGTTTCCTTAAATATTGTGGGCATTCCAAGTATTGCAATATACGTGCCAATTGTACACAACTCTTTCTAGCAAGTTTGACTCCATCAACTTCTTCTACCTTAGACTTTTTAGTATTTACCTTGTCTCCAATGTCATCGTAAACTATTACTTCATCCACACAGAATACACATGCAGCTCTCGATATCTGACCAGCAAGATATGTTCGAAGCTCAGCAGACTGAGCATTTTCTAATATAGAACCCGGTATAGCTATGCTGATCGTTGAAATCTCTGAATATTTTTTTTCTTTTTCAACCTCTTCTTGTATCTTTTTTTCTACTTCAACTTGCAGGGCAACACGCTTTTCCTGTTTCAATATCTTCTCTTCATTTCGCTGCCGTTTTAAGGCTTTTCTCTCTTGATTAATTTCTCTCCAGCTCTTTCCAGGAGGTTTCGTCGTAACTTGAGTTTGAGACATAACCTCAAAGTTTCGACTCGAAGACTATTAGTACTTCATTTCGTAAAAAAAGTTTTGCTTTTACATTCACAGCAACAGCATTCAAAATAACTATAACGTATATCTATTTTTTTATATTTATTACTTTCTGACAAAAATAAAAAAAACTCTGCTTCGCTCTCCGTGGGATAATTTCAGTGTTGCCAATTGCCAACTGCAAGCGAAGCGAAGGCTTGCTAGAATTTTACTTTAGTTGCTTGATTGAGTAATTTTTCGATTTCAAAAGTCGCTAGAAATAGCTAAATTTTTCCGTTTATTGTATTTAAAACGCATAAAACAAAATAAAACACAAATCATCTTATTTATATTATTTCCAAAAGCAGTGTTATTTCTATAACAGTATGAACTTAATATTATATAACTACTCAATTGACTATTTAAAAAAGAAACACAATCTCAATTAAGTACTAGAGGAAGATGTAGAAGGTTGTGAACTGTGGGACGGTAATGATAAATCTGGTGCAGCTGAATTAGCTCTAATTGATTTTGAATATTTTGCTACAGTACCCATTTTATCAAGTACGTACTTGGGAAGAACGTAATTGTTGCATTGGCCGCTTTTCCTGACTGTTTTTACTTGCTGGTTATAAGTTATAACCAGCAAGTAAAAACAGTCAGGAAAAGTTATAACTTATAACCAACCTTTGAACCCATCCATATTTTAGAAATTTATACAGGTAAAGTATACTTCCTGGCGTAAAGTATAGAATAAAATTGAAATAAAACAAACACCTATCTATGAAAGTAGCAAAAAGGGAATCCTGTTCCATACTTTCGATACCTACCGAGCAGATTTCGATATTTTGAATAGCACTACTCGACACTACAGCATGCCAAGTACTCATAAAAATTTCCGGTATTGAGTATTGCTTGATGCGGCTTATTTACAGTTGGCATTTGGCTTCTATGGCTGAATTTAATAAATCGATGGAAGTATAAGTCTGTGGCTTTTATATTTTCATTTTTTTTATTAATTTATTTCCTGGGCTCAATACAGTATACTTAAAGGTCATTTAAGCGTATACATTATATAAAATATATATTTAAGAAAAAAACCCTAGTAATAAATAAAAAAATTAATAAAACAAAGAATAAATATATATCAGAAAAGTAAATTAGAATCTTCTTACAATGTTTAAATATTTTGTATAGTTTCATTTCAGCGTTGCTATTGCTACGGCAATGTGAAAGTTTTTGAATAATAAAAATTAGTAAATTAAGTATCAAAAATTGATAAATATGACAAAAGAAAAGCAGTTCATTTGCATCTATACTCCATTCATTATAACATTAGAAAAAAGAGGGTCATAGAAGCAGCAGTGCAGAACATTTTATTTTCAATATAAATTTAAAAAATAAATATTAGAGTTTTGTTGAAACTTTGAATGTTAGGCAGTCTAAAAGAGCTGAGCAATTGTCCATTTTTTACGATACCTCGGGGTTGAGTTGAGGCCAGAATTTTCTTTTAATTTCTAATTTAGTTTTCCATGTTGGCTTGGGAGTAAATTCATCTTTTACTCTCTATCAATTGTTTTAATAAATTCTTTTTCAAATTGCATATAATTAAAATAGAAGTTAGTTATATCTATGCCCAGGAAAGAAAGGTACACATAATGATTTTTTTACGAGTATTATTTCTTTTAGGTTCACACGCATAGGTTTACACACAAAAGTTCTACCGATACCGATATATAGGTATATAAACAATGGTTGTAAAATGTTCATTTAGATAAGAGGAATCACTGACTTCCAAAAAACAGATTTAATTCTAGTTTGGGGGTCAGGGGCTCACAATAATTTAGGTACTAATTTGTAACCAAAAATGCAAGATTATTAATTTATATATATAAAAAAATGTTATGTTTTGGTTTGAATAAAGATTATTATTATTATTATTATTATTATTTAGGATAAAATTTACTCTTCCCGACCCCTCGACAATTCGAGGGGGGGAGGATTCCCCCCGGCAGAGGAGGCCAGACGGCCGGGGGTCAGGGCGACAAAGAGAGAACAATTATTATTATTATTATTATTATTGGTATTATTATAACATTTATTCAGACATTAGACTATTGATGACGACATTGAAAAAATTTCCTGAAATGTCAAAGGTTGAGGGTACGTATGGGGGCCACTCGGGCCTGCACCGGCATCGTCCATATTTAACAAAACTTAATAACAAAAATAAAACAATAACAACTTAATCACGGAAAACCGCAAAACAACAAGAACAACACAATCGATGACAATCCCAGATTACGTATTTTCACAATTATGAATACATTATCGTCTGACAAAATTAAAAAGTTGTACTGCCAAAACGTTTGAAGGGATTAGGCAACGTTTTAAATTTGGTAGAGTTATAGTGACATGAAAATCGTGCCTAAACTATTCAACCCTGTTTCTTTAGGTTCTTTAAGATAAACACTTTTTATTGTAATAGTTATTAAATCATTTAAGTAAGTCAAATACTCATTAATTTGTTTAATATATAGCTTAAACGACAACGGTTAAGTATAGCAGCTGGTATTTAATTGGATATGTAGCAAATTAGCCGTCAGACTTAAGAATAACATGACTATCGATATTTTGTCACAAAGTTTACCATAAAAAGAACCTTATTTAACTTCTGTCTAATGCTATAATGAATGGAGTATAGGTAATCTGAATATTATATCTGTTGGCGAAGCGTGGAACGTTCTTGGCAAAATGATATTCATTGTATTGAATATTACAACAAGACATCGACTAGTCACTACAGGAAGATTTGTAATACATGGAGAATTCAAGATTTTCATAATGCACTTATGTGTTGCTACTTAAATTATAAAATAACCATCAAATAATGTTCAAATCAGAAAATAAACATTTTGGCGGCGACTAAAAATATATTAAAATGATGATGTGTAAGGTTTATTTACCCTCTATCGATTAATATATACTTTATGCTTGGTTAGAGATCATTTGAATAAATTACCAGCCTCCGTGCAAAAAAAAAAGGTCTCCTTTGTATAAACTTTTGGAAATAGACAAATCACCTAACAAAATCCCGCATTCCCTTCAAGAAATTATTACTAACCAAGCTATATTTACACATATATTTAAATACTTGAAAGCTATAAGCATGCTATAAGACATGCTCCATAAATAAAAGAAAATAGTAAATAAGACATAATAAGTTCAACATTAACGGCAAGGCTGCATGGTCATCAGAACTTTTTCATCAAAAGAAAAAAAAATCTTGTGTTTTCTTTTTATTTTCTGTGTTGTGTTTGCGTATTTTAGATTTTCTGTAATTCAATGGTATTTTAGGCTCGTTTCTGCATTTCTCGTCAATTATTTCCTCAGCTTCATATAAAAGCCAAAGGTATTCATTTTATATTATTCTTCAATAGCACATCTGAAGCAATGTGATTTTTTTAAACTATTTCAAATCTTATTACGTTAGGATTAAGTTCAGAATAGATTTTGAGAAACATCGTTTGCGGTAACCTACATTTAAAATTAAAAGAAACTTAAAATAAGTATTCGATTTCCTCTTATTGAAATCATCTCCATGTAATAGGTGTAATCCTTAGTGAGTAACTATGTGACTGCAAATTGAGTGAATGCGTACATTTTATAGACGGTACAGAGTCACGCAGAGAAGTCTCTCCCATCCTTCTTGGCGAGAAGAAATTTAAAAGAATAAGAAGGGGAGAAACATATCACATTCACGAGTAATATGTAATAATATGTGGTAGATTTTAAGGTTTCGCCATCTCATAGGTACTGGGTTTGATTCCCGGTCATGTCAATATTGAAAACGGACTTTTCTATATTATCTCTTGTCTAAGTGTCGTGATAGGTACTTTCGTTACATTCTTACCTTGAGCATGCTCAGACTTGTTTTGCTGAGTGTACTCTGACCCAATTTGATGAAGGTGTGAGAGTCTCCATTTGAGCCACTCATTGGTGTGCTCTATAGACACAATATTGGCAATAAGTATGTCTGAACTTCAGTGGCAAAAAGGATAAAAAAGTTAAGGTCTAAAATCAAATTTCTCTACTCCTTTTTTCATTTTAGAGTATCATAATGTTAATCGCCAAATTATGCTAATTTTGTTTCCTTGCTTTTGCACTGTGTAGTAATAGTAATGTAGGAGGTAGGAATACAAGTTACACAAAATTGACCAAGTTTGTATTATTATATTTTTGAGTGGATATTGTTGATCCAATGACCAGTAATGATCAATAAACATTATCAAATGTATCATCCACAGTAACAGTCAAAGTATTTACATCATATCATTAATAATAATATGTTTAGAAGATGAGGGCTGTCACTAACATTAATTTATAATTGGTGTCAAGTATTTATCTACATATGATTGATTTCTTCTAGTACTATACTAAATATAGAATTTATAATAATAAATCATACTAAAGTAGGAGAGCCCCAGGAGTTTTAAAAGAGAGGTGAGTTGAAACAATCCCGATTTCTTAAAATTTACAAACCATTAGAAAGTTTTTTAATTTCAAGAAATCAGAAATGTTTCAACCACCGAACACAAGAGTTCTGTGACTATATTATTTCCAGTCCATAGTCAGGTAGATTATTAAAAAAATTAAACATGTATATTTTTTATGTAATCAATAAATAATGGCAATACATTGAGTCGAAGTGTCATATTTATTTTGATTTTCTACATAGTTGTAAATCTTTATTGAATCAACTCAGTGTGCCGGCTCATCAAAATGATGTACTGATCTGGATCTCAAAGTTTGCTCCAAATGGATCAGTGTATAAGTGGCGATCACTGACATGAATGAACAAAAGAATGAACTGAGTAAAACTGAGCGACTGTTCGGAAAGATTCAGGCGACATAGAGTCCCGTGTCGGTATTAAATGAGAGCACTTGTCAGCCAGTCAGCTATATTTTGTTTATTTACTAGGTTTGCTCGATACTTGATTATTTACTACTTTTTTGGAATCATATATTACGATTGAGATTCGGATCTAAGATTTATATCAGGGTTGTTGCGAATATCAGCATTGTTTTTAATATCAGTATCAGCATCCGCATTAGCAACAGTTGATGCTTATTTTAATGCAAGTCATAACGCATTAGTTGAAGGCAAGAACGAGCGCAACTCACGTGGAGAGTGTTTAAAAAACAATCTGGCACAAGCTCGCTCATTAGTTTGTTTTGTCAACCAAATTTGCTTGAGGCTGTCAATGTCAATGGGGGTGATGACTAATTTTTGTGTATCTGTCCATCAGGTAGATTTTTATTTTTTTTCGTAATCAATAAATTATGCCGATACATGAGTTCAAATATCGCGCGATGTCACACCTATGTACATTTTCTACATAGTTGTGACATAGCGAGCCCCACTCCTCCTAATTTAATGCGAAATCTTACCCTCTAAGGTTTAAAACATTATAATACTTGTAAAGAAAAATTGAACAATTTTTTTAATATGGATTAATTAAATAAAATCGTTTTAATTATTATATTTGATCAGTTTCGCATTCACAATGTTATTCTGGAAAATATTCTCAATGAAAACGCTTAAAACATCCACTTGGTCCCTGGCACCCTGAGATGGGATTCGAACCCATGACTTAAACCCGCATTAGTAACTACCCTGGTTTATATGTATAATACAAGACCATACATACGGTCGAAGTCGCTGGCGGAAAGCTAATATATAAAATGAAAACAAAACTTGTAATATTGGACACAACCCTATTATGTAATTTCTTTACAAACGACGTGGTATATTTATCAGGAACCCCTGCATAAGGTCAAGATTGATATACATATTTGTCCATAATAATAATAAAGACTATTTGGGACGTCAGTTCATCTCTGATAGTGCATAGAATCAGACATGGCCGCCAATGGAAAGTTAGGTAAGTTACCAAATTATAAAAAAGTAAATATATGTATATTAGCCTCATAAAAATTAGTTGGTATAAAATTTTTAAGCCAATCCACTACCCAATGGTCATGTATGATATAATAATTGTTATAACGGCAATCGATGTTCTCACATAGAAATCACCATAATACATTATGGAACTAACTATTGTAAAATTATTGGTTTTAATATTTAATTACACACGTATTTTTCTAACGTATTTATTATTTCGAAACAATATAATAATAAAACTATATAATAAAAGGAATATATCCTTTTTTTTTCTAGCTCTTCTTAGCGTGTCTGATAAGACTGGTTTAGTGCCTCTTGCCAGATGTTTGTCAGAGATTGGCCTAGGCCTTGTTGGCAGCGGAGGAACGGCTACAGCACTCCGTAATGCCGGTCTCAAAGTACTTGACGTATCAGATATTACTGGAGCACCTGAGATGCTTGGAGGACGAGTAAAATCTTTACATCCAGCTGTACATGCTGGTATATTAGCTAGGTAATTAGAAATACATTCTAGTGCATGTGAATAAATAACTTATGTTGGTGTTTCTTATTTTTCGCATTTTGTTGAGTTATTAAATGGTTATAAAATCTACAGAATCACAGACTCTGACCAGGCTGACATGAAGCGGCAGAAGTTTGATATGATCAGCGTTGTCGTATGCAACCTGTACCCTTTCGTGGAAACAGTATCAAAACCTGAGGTGACCATCGCCGATGCTGTAGAGAACATCGATATTGGAGGTGTGACATTGTTGCGAGCAGCCGCTAAGAATCACGAAAGAGTTACCGTCGTGTGTGATCCTAGCGATTATGATAAGGTCATTGAAGAGCTCAAACAAACTCGTGACCATCAAACGTCTTTGGAGACAAGGTATAAATAACAGTAGTACTTACACATAAATCTTTCTACTGCTGTAGGAAATAGGATCGGTCCTTGCAGGTAGGCAAAGAGGACAAGGAAAATGGGTATTATATTTTATACTTTCTAAGTCAATATTGCACCACCGAGCTGTAATAAAATTTGAAAGGCCTTATGCAGTTACCTGACGTGTAGAATATACATATGAGAATGAATCTACCATATATTTTACCATCATGAATTAAAAATAATAATACCACTAATTATATTATTCTAGGCAAAAATTAGCGTTAAAAGCTTTCACACATACTTCCGAATACGATGTAGCCATTTCGGACTATTTCCGTAAGCAGTATTCCGCCGGTCAATCTCAACTGACTCTGAGATATGGTAAGATATTTTTTTATTTGGAGAACCAATTGCCGTCCCTATTAATATTAAAAAAAAAAAAAAAAATCTAATTCGCTTCATAACCAATGCAATAAGAAATTATTTAACAGAACATGTACAATCACATAAGACAATACAAATTACAAACGTAATGTAAATGTTTATTGAATATGGTAAATAATGCTACTTGGTTATTCTTTTTGCAATTTTAACTACTAAATGAAGTGATAAAAGCCGAATCCGAAAAATTAGCAATATTACCAACAACCAATCTCGTTATAATGTAATAACTTGGTTTTGTACAGGTATGAATCCCCATCAGAAGCCAGCTCAGGTTTTCACGACTCGGGACGCTTTGCCCCTGACGACCTTAAATGGATCACCCGGCTTCATCAATCTTTGCGATGCCCTTAATGCATGGCAACTAGTCAAAGAACTAAAGGAAGCGTTAGGTCTTCCTGCTGCCACTAGTTTCAAACATGTGTCGCCAGCGGGAGCTGCTGTCGGATTGCCTTTAACAGAAGAAGAGGTAATTACAATGAAAATATAGTATAACTTGTAATTTTTTACATAATATTGTCAATGAACAAGATATCACTAAATCGAGATAATTATAACTTAATTTTCGGAAGGAATGTAACGAAAGGTTCAAGTTCATTGTAATAATATTTATTTAAAATATATAATTTGTGGCATACTTATGAAACGGTAATTGCTATTTTTATAGATCTCAATCGATTTATTGACTAGACACAAGATTTAGATCAAATATAATAAAAAATAAGAACATTTAAATATTTAGCCTTTACATTGATAAATATATTCTCACTACTAGCGAAATTAAAAAGTTTATGGAGAGTCTGATAAACGAATAGGACGTATTACTCTAACTTTCTGTCATGAGAAAGCAGCACTATCACATGTAGCAAACAGTTTTTATATAAACGTCAAACGTCATTCACAGAGACGTGAACAAAGAGTAAAGTAATAGTGATCATAGTAGAAATTTAATATTTTTGAACTTTTATTTAGAAATAATGTAATTCATCCAATCCAATTATTCTTGCGAATTTGGATGCAAGAAGGATTGGAGTCATTCTATACCAAAAAATAAAATATTCGAGATTTGTTTGTTTAGTACACACGGCTGCACGTCAGACTATACATTATAGACTTAGTACCGATCGCGCTTCATATAAAACTTCCCTACTAACACAGATCTGTTTACGGTGGTGGTGGGCAGCGTAACGTGCGGCAGTGCGTACATATGCTAATGGTAGAGCAACCGCCAGATTGGATAAAGATTATGGATTAGAATCCCGTCTCTAGAACAAAAGATATAGTTTACCATCTGCAGGGGCTCAGGCCTTCCTTAAGGTGGTTAAGGAGGATGGGCCATAACCATCCACGCTGAGTCAATGCGGTTAGAGGGTATTAACGACTGCAAATGCAGTCGTGCCCAACGTCTTAACGTGTCTTCCGAAGCACGGAGTAGCTTGAGATATTTTTTTGTCACCCATCCCGTGACTGACCCTTGCGAAAGTTCAGCGCTTATTAGACTAAATATGTGGTTAAAAACTCATAATTCTTGGTAATATGAATATATCGTTATCACTGCATATTTATTTAAAAAAATAGTAGTTTAGTGGATTTGGTAGTGAAAAATAAGTCACGAAATTGCACAAAAACTAAAGTTTAATAGAGATTCTTATATTAAGTCTTCAAATTGCACGATTATCTTTTATTTGACATGAAAATCTGATTTAAGTCTGATCGCTATTATTCAATTCATGTTACTAAAAGCGCATTCTTAACTGAAGAATGAAAGTTTTTTAAGCAGGTTTTAGTTTTATTTTGCATTCTTGGTGGCACATCACAAAGTTTTAGATAGCCTAACTCTTAATCTTCATGAGACTTCAAATAATAAAGACCAATCAAAATAGGTATACTATTGGGACGTATCCTGTACTACAATGACCGATTATTATTAGTCAATAAACCTTCAGTTTGTGTACTATATAAATAAATATTGCACAAAAACTAAAATTTACATCGTAATAGAGATTCTTATAATAAGTCTTAATATCACACGATTATATTTTTATCTTAAAATTAAAGTCGTGATTTTTTTGTCTGTTTAACTTGAAACACGACCCGCCATTGTTTGACGCACGGTGGCGACAACTGTCAGATTAGTCACAAACATGTGCTTAATAATTATAGACGCATTTCCTAGATGTCGCTGGAAATTGATTTATATCATAGCTTATTTATTTCTTTCTTTTTCGAAATTGATCGTTAGCATTGTTCTTGTTTTATTGGCATCTTTTAATCTTCTACTCTATGCATCTGTTTTGTATTATATATCACAATGTTATAAATATTATTAAAAAAAATATTTCGTTTTAAGAAAACGTGTTTATTTTACCGAAATAAAAGGTTTTTTTAAATTAAAAAGTTTTTTATTGCTTACAGGCTAAAGTATGCATGGTGGTTGATCTGCTTCCTAAGCTTACACCAGTGGCCAGTGCGTACGCAAGGGCCAGAGGTGCTGACCGTATGAGTTCCTTTGGAGATTTCATTGCTTTATCTGATGTTTGCGATGAAATCACCGCTAAGATCATATCTAGAGAGGTATCCGATGGAATCGTTGCCCCTGGCTACACGAAGGAAGCTCTGGAGATACTGAAAAAGAAGAAAGGTGGCAATTACTGCGTGCTACAAGTGAGTACTTATCACCATTGTTTTACCTCTCAATATAATTATATATTTTAATACTATCGGATACCCAAAGCTGGACATCAAGTCACATTAGATATGGACATAAATATACCTATGACATCATAAGCTAGTAAACTGTAAGTGACAAGGACATATAGCGCTCTCACCATATTATTATTGTTTTTTCTAGACTGATTTTTAAATCTAAATTTACATCTGTAGTGTAATAGACAAAATATTTTTACTCATGATAAGTGTTATTTTATAGATGGATCCCAACTATGAACCAGACCTTTTAGAAAAGAAAACCATCTTTGGTCTCACCTTGGAACAGAGACGGAATGATGCAAAGATAACTCGAGAATTATTCAAAAATATTGTCACTCAGAAGAAGGACATGCCAGAGAATGCTATCAGGGACCTGATAGTAGCCACTATTGCGTTGAAATACACACAAAGCAACTCAGTCTGCTATGCTAGAGATGGACAGGTTAATGCCCTATTTTATTTTGATTCTTTATACTCTTATATAAAAATTTATTATACATATTTTATTAAAAAACATCAATTCTAAAGTTTACAATTTTTTTAATTTTCAATTATAAATCGAATAGTCTGATACATGGGGCTTGTTAAATATCTGATTTAAGTCTGATCGCTATTATTCAATTCATGCTACTACAAGCACATTTTTAACTAAAGAATGAAAATTTTTTAAGCAGGTTTTACAGTTTTTTTTTTGCGTTCTTGGTGGCATACATCACAGTTTCAGATAGCCCTACGATCTTAATCTGTGTGAGACTCTTTTGAGAACTTTTCAAATAAATGGACTAGTCAAAATAGGTATACAATTCGGACGTATCCTGTACAACAATGACCGATTATTGTCAATAAACCTTCAAATTTAATATAAAAATGTAAAAATATATATAAAAATGTTAATTATTAATATTGAGGGCCGAAAGGCTAATAGGCTACATGACTTGGGAAAAGTATTTCAAAACTTTCATATGATCATATTAAACCACTATCAGATTTATTATTCTTTAAAAAGTATTAGTAAATAAAAGAAAAAACATTTTTTCTACATAAAAATTGACCTACGAAAACAATCAGCCACGTGGCAGTTCGAGCCGTGATGTCAATAAACATTAGTACTTCTTGAAATGTGACGTCACTCGATGCGCCGTCATATCCATCCGCGTTTTGGTTCTTGTTATCCACATATAAATCCTGAGTTAACTTTGCAAATATAAAATATACTTGCCGTTTATTTAAAACAAAAAAAATGCATCATTATTTTGTAGAGTTAAAGAAAATAAATACTTTCTTTTCGAGTAGTTTTAAATATAATTACCGATAATCACACTTTTATGCTTGTTATATTTATAATATTGCTTAAATTAATTATGAAAAAACAAATATTTTATACTCGTTGTCACATGACCGCAAACAGTGCGTCCCGTCACTCTCCTTATATATAATCAACCTTATGCATACATGGAACGATATTATTTTCAGAGAACTATGACGTTATATCGACGCCATAACAGAAGTGGCGTTTTCGCGGGAAATTTTGAAAATAAAATTTATTTTTAGATTTTAACTTATTATTTTAATGATATTTGTTTATATATATTTTATGTATCATGTAAAAATATTGAAAAAAAAAGTTGTTTACATCCTTATTGTGCACTTATTAAAAATTAATCGTGTATATGTCAGGTGATAGGTATAGGAGCGGGGCAACAGTCTCGCATCCATTGCACTCGTTTAGCGGGCGGTAAAGCGGCTCTATGGTGGGCGCGTAGACATCCGCGCGTTACCAACATGAAGTTCCGTACCGGAGTGACGCGCGCAATCATATCTAACGCCATAGACAACTACGTCAGCGGCACTGTAGGTAAGAGACTAAAATTAATTTTAAATTAAAATTAAAAAAAAGGAATATAGATGCGGCATGTATACTCATTGTTGAATTGACCAAAAAATAGCATTGATAAAATTACATAAGTAGTAAACTCACTAACACACTTACATGGTATTCCCCGAGAAGATACAGCTGATGAGTTCTAAGTATAGCGTGAGCGAAACAGGACCTCGCGTTATCGGTAGCATGTAAATCGGTCGAGACGGCAATGAAATTCAATACTAGCAAGAGCAAGACAGGAACTTGTGATCGTTACATGCGACAGCGTTGTAAAAAAGCAGTAAAAATATATGAGTATTTAAAAGAAATAAGTTACGCAATTTCACATAAACCTAAGTGTTTATTGAAATAAACATAAAATATATAATGTATCACGTGATACTGATACACAGATAAAAAACTACTTTAAAATTTAATTTAATAACACAATCATGCGGTTTTATGTTTGTTTCAATGTAAACTTCAGTTTTTTTTATTGAAATAAACATCGTTTTTAGGGTTTACATCACGTGATGTGAAACACGATCCGCCATGCTGTGATGTCTTATCGGTGGGAATATTTCTGCATCGGTCACATTAGTCGCAAACAGCTGCCTCTTAAGAGCCCTAGATGGATGTTATCTTATTTTATTTTGTAGCAAAATCATTATTTGTGACTGTTATTATGTGCTTCAAATCTTTAACGAGTAGTGATATATAACGAAATTCAAACGTCATTAATACGGCGGAAAGCGTATACACGGGTAGGTTTTTTTTTTTAAATTTTGATTAAAGTTTACGCGTCTTGCGTAAACTTGATAAACGTGATTATTTTCCGAAATATTTGATTTTAATTTAAATATGAGACTTATCTAAATTAAAATTAGCACATACAAGTCGTGTCCGAACAAAACTGGTTTTTCCAACTAAAAATGAATTTTGGCAACGGTCTCAGTTTCGGCCGAAACTTCCTTACAAAGATCATATTTTGAAGCAAAATTAAAGAAAACGTTTTTGTAATCAATTTTTCTTTATTTTCTTATTTTTTTATTTATTTAGGAAAACAAACAGTAGTTTACAATTTACATACAAACAAAACTTATTTAACGAATAGACCTGACAGTTTCATTACTAAATTATCTTTAAATCACAAAGCTATCCAGTCTTAGACATTTTAATAGTTATATTATTTATAATTAGTCAATCTTTGTTTTCTTATCTTTAAATCACAAAGCTATTCAGTCTTAGACATTTTTATTTCAATATCACAATAAGCACTTACTTATTAAGTAAATATTTTTTATCTTAAAAACAAATTAACGTCTTCTAAACTAAATTCAACATTGTGTATAATACTTCGATAAAAAGAAATATGATTAATCACAGTGCGACAATTCAGTTTCGGTAAGTTTGCCACCGAAACCGAAACTCTTTTGCTGAAACTCGATCGAAACCGAACTTTCGGCCTGACACTACATACAAGTGCTTTGTCAAATAGTGAAAAATATTCTGTTGCGCAAACTATAAAATACAAAACAATTATTGACTGAGTTTTAATACTGTCAAACGTTTACAAATTCCACCGGTAGTTCGCAGACTAGTTCGGGACCACTACCATAAAATAAGTTGTTCTAATTATTATCCATAGGTTCGGATTTGCCACTAGATCAATGGAACACACTTTTCGAAGGCGAACCTCCGGCACTGTTAACTGAACAAGAACGCGAAGAATGGCTCCGTACGATGGACAAAGTGGCACTCGCCTCAGATGCCTTCTTCCCATTCAGAGACAATATCGACCGAGCCGTCCAGGTTTGTTTCTTAATATTTCATTTTAATTAATAATAAATAAATTTTACCTTCAAATATAATATAGTTTAAAGGTAAGAAATAAACTAATCGCTTGTAATGAAAAATCGTTTTTTTTAACAATAAATATAATTTGATAATTATCTACATAATTATAAGGCACTATATAAACGGTTTTTATAATTTAGGACTTGTTGTTAAAGGGGAATCATCTTTAATCAATATCAAAAATTGTCTAGGATAGACCTACAAAACAAAGAAAAAAGTTAGAAGCCCCCCCACCCCTTTTTTTAAAAAAAAAATTATTTACACAGTTGTTACAATATCCACTACATACAAAAGTGCAAGCATGTAATGACCTCGAACGGTTCCGGCGATGCAACGTGACCATTTTTGCTGACGGCGCGACCACCGTTCCACGAGGCAGCGCTTTACGCCAGCGAATGGAATTTTTATAATAATTATTATTCCATTCTGATTCTAACATCGATCGGAGTTAGTTATAAATTTAAATTGTAATTTTTTATCTTTAAATAAATATACTAAAAGTAATTTTGGTTTTTTTTGGATCCTCCGGCTGAGTCCTCTATAACTGGCGCAGTCGGTAGGATACTCGAGGCGTCTCGAGATAAAACTGGATAGGGTTTTCTCGCATCGAATCCCGTGTTCCGATAAATCGCTACCGTCGTCGCAAGCGATCGCGCGTCCGAGTATCCTGCAAAAGAACCTGAGGTTCCTGGTCGGGGGAAAAATCAAGACATCGACTCCAGAGGTACCAAAATGCAATTTATGTAAGTACACTGAAATCATTTCTGTGTTGCTTTCCTTTTTCCTTGTAAGTTTTTATAAGTCGTAAAAATTTTTTATCCTAGGCAAACTACTCCTAGAGGGCCTGCTCGTAGTAGGGAGGCTCGTAGAATAGATTTAGATGTATATAGAGAGTTAAGTGATTTTTTTAATAATACTGTCGAATCATTAGAGGGGTCAGATACTCCCGAACCCCGAAAAATGGCAGACGTGGATACCATTTTTAAAGCTTTACGTTTAGTGCCGGATTTCGATGGGAACCCACATATCCTGCCTAGATTTATTAACATATGCGATCAGATAGTGTCGGAATATATTAGTAATAACGAATTAAATAAAGTGTGTCTTATTAATGGAATTTTAAATAAGATTACTGGACCAGCTGCGCGAATAATCAATTCAAACGGGATAACCGAGAATTGGGAGTGTATTAGAACCACACTCATAAATAATTTTTCCGATCAAAGAGATGAGACCGCTCTTTATAACGATCTTATGTTAGCCACTCAAGGAAATAGTTCGCCACAGGAATTTTATGACCGCTGTGTTAACTTATTCAGCACTATCATGACCTATGTTAGACTCCATGAAATTATAGAAACAACTGTTGAGGCGAAACGTTCCTTATATAAAAAGTTAACAATGCAGGCATTTGTGCGCGGTTTGAAAGAGCCATTAGGCTCTCGTATACGATGCATGCGTCCTGATAGTGTTGAGAAAGCCTTAGAGTTCGTGCAAGAGGAATTGAACGTTATGTATCTTCAAAATCGCGTTGATCCGTCATCAGATAGAAAGCCACAGGCTCCAAAGATTGTTCCAATGAACCCCGTCGCTATGCCTACTTTCAAACCGTTCAATTTCCCTTCACAACCTCCACCTAGAAGTTATAATAACTGGCAGCCATTTGCGCCACAACCCATGTGGAAACAAAATGTTCAAGTTCATGCACCACCTCAATTTAGGCCTCCTGGTATGCCTTCACGTACGCAACAAATGTTCAGGGCACCTCCACCAAATTATAACTCTTACCAGAACCGTTTCCAAATGCCACCTAGGAACGAAACCCAGGGTCAAGGTCCCAAACCAATGAGTGGCGTCAGTCATTACGTGGTTAAGGAACGACCACAACTGTCAGGGCATGATTGGCGTAAGCACGGCAACCCACCGCCGTCTAATTATTTTAAGAGTAGAGAAATGAATATGAACGAAATTTCCAATTATAATGATTTTTACAGTGACGAATATTATAACTATAATGAACCACATGATTATTATTATTACGCGGGGAATTTAGAATATTATAACTCCGAACCTTATTTCAATATATGTGAGCCGACGTATGAATATGATCCAGTCAATGAAGGCTCCTCGAGTACGGTAGATGATTCCGAACCTAGCACTAGTTCAGCTAGCGATCAGGATTTTCGGAAACGCGGAAAGTCAGACAAGTCAAAATAGAGTTAAATTTGCAATCTCAAAGACAACTCCCATATATACAGATAGCTGAGCCACCCCTAAAATTCTTAATCGATACCGGCGCAAACCAATCATTTCTAAGTCCGGATGCTGTAGAGCGTTTTTATAATAATACATCTTTAACTTTCGATCCGTTTGAGGTAACTAATGTGCACGCTACTACTCGTAATAATTACTCTATAACTATTCCTTGCTTTACAGAGTTTAATGAACCTGAACACACAAAATTTTTTATCTATAATTTTCACGAATATTTTGATGGACTTATTGGGCTAGATCTTTTACAAAAATGGGAAGCTAAAATCGATTTAAAAGATAAATTATTAATAACACGCAATTCCGAAAATCCTATTCACATGTATAACTCGCGAAACCTTAACTTATATGAAGATATGATCCCAGCGAACTCAACGAAATTAGTTAGATTACCTATTAACATGTATGATGGTGACGCTTTTATTGAAGAACAGATTATATCTAATTGCATTATTAATCAATGTTTAACTACCGTTAAAGATAACCGTGGACTCTTAGAAGTCACAAACCCAACCTCACATGATTTAATTTTTTGTATGGACCATGCTGTTAGGGCCGAACTGTTTAATGTTGAGTGCACACGTACCGAACAATCACATACGCGAGCGCAGGAAGTACTATCACGTTTACGGACTAGTCATCTTAACCCGGAAGAGCGCGCTAATTTAGAAGCTTTATGTGAAAAATATGCTGATGTATTTTATCTGGACGGTGAATCTTTGACATTTACAAATAAGATAAAACATAAAATTAGAACGACCGACGAGATCCCGGTATATAGTAAAAATTATAGATATCCATATATACACCGCGACGAAGTTAGGGACCAGATAAATAAGATGTTATCTCAAGGTATTATCAGACCTTCGGAGTCTGCATGGAGCTCACCTATATGGATAGTTCCAAAGAAGGCCGATGCTTCGGGTAAAACAAAATGGCGATTGGTAGTAGATTTCCGTAAACTCAACGAAAAAACATATGATGATAAGTATCCGATACCCAATATTAACGATGTTTTAGATAAGTTAGGAAACTGCCAATATTTCTCAACACTAGATCTCGCTAGCGGGTTCTACCAGGTAGAAATGGATCCGGTAGACATTTCAAAAACAGCTTTTAACGTAGAGCATGGCCATTACGAATTTTTACGTATGCCAATGGGTTTGAAAAATTCGCCCTCCACGTTCCAACGAGTAATGGATAACGTTCTCAAAGATCTTCAGAACGTTGTCTGTCTCGTATATTTAGATGATATAATTGTGTTCAGTACCTCCCTTCAGGAGCACATGATAAATCTGGAAAAGGTGTTCACGAAATTGAGAGAATCAAACTTTAAGGTCCAGATGGACAAGTCGGAATTTTTAAAGTTAGAAACAGCGTATCTCGGTCATGTTATAACCAAAGAGGGTATCAAACCAAATCCTGACAAAATTTCAGCGATACAAAATTATCCATTACCACGAACACCCAAAGAGATTAAACAGTTTCTTGGACTTGTTGGATATTACAGGAAATTTATACCAGATTTTGCACGCATTACTAAACCGCTTACTCAATGTCTAAAAAAGGGTAGAAAGATTATTATTAATTCAGATTATACTAACTGTTTCGAGAAATGTAAACATCTTTTAACCAATGATCCAATTTTACAATACCCAGATTTTAATAAAGATTTCATCTTAACTACCGATGCTTCAAATGTAGCAATAGGCGCAATATTATCTCAGGGTACTATAGGATTAGACAAACCGGTATGCTACGCATCTCGCACCTTGAATGAGAGTGAGATGAATTACAGTACAATCGAGAAAGAGCTTCTTGCAATTGTTTGGGCGACTAAGTATTTTCGACCATATTTATATGGAAGAAAATTTAAAATTGTAACAGATCATAAACCACTCCAGTGGGTTATGAATTTGAAGGAGCCAAATTCACGTTTAACTAGATGGAGACTTAAATTATCCGAATATGATTTTACTGTAGTATATAAAAATGGAAAATCTAATACCAATGCCGATGCTCTTTCTCGTATCGAGATTAACAATGAGGAGACCGATTCTTTGATAGTTAATGCATCTGAACGTACAGCATCCGTAGCTGGCTCTTCAACAGAAACCGTTCACACTAGTAATGAGAATCCGATTCTCGAAGTACCAATCGTTGCCGAACCTTTAAATAAATTTCACCGACAAATATCTATTACGGTAGTAGGGGACATTAAAAAGCGGCCTACAGCATCCAAGCCTTTCGTTACGCATACTAGAATCGCAGTACAAGTATCTCGATCAAACTTAGAAAACGATGTCATAAGTGTTATAAAAGAATATGTCAACCCTAAAGTGAAAACTGCGTTACTGATAACTCCACCGTTAGCGATGTATGATATAATCCCCATAATTCAAAGTAAATTTAAATGTTCAGCTATGAATTTAGTATTAGCAAAAACAGAACTCGAAAATGTAAAGGAATATCTTAAGCAACAAGAAATAATAAAAAACTATCATGAAGGCAAAACAAACCATCGCGGCGCGAACGAATGTCACTTGTCTCTATCACAGCGTTATTATTGGCCTAAAATGAAGGATGAAATAACTAAATACATTAATAATTGTACGGTTTGCGGTCAAGCAAAATACGATCGAAATCCAATTAGACCACAGTTCAACGTAGTTCCACCGGCCACAAAACCGTTTGAGATTGTGCACATTGACTTGCTAACTATACAAAGCGAAAAATATTTAACCATAGTTGACGTATTTTCTAAGTATGCACAGGCATATCATATACGCGACGGTACAGCTATCAGTATCTTACAATCCTTTTTAAAATTTTGCTCTCATCACGGTTTACCATTAACTATAATCTCAGATAATGGTACGGAATTCACTAATCAGCTTTTCACCGAGTTTGTTAATTTGCATAAGATAAATCACAATAGAACTCTTCCACATTCACCTAGTGATAATGGTATCGTGGAAAGATTCCATTCGACTCTTTTAGAACACTTGCGCATCCTAAAATTAACTCATAAAAATGAAGATACAGTTAACTTAATACCATACGCGATCCTAGCATACAACAGCGCAGTCCATAGTTTTACTAAGTGTAGACCGTACGATATTATAACTGGACATTTCGATCCGCGAGATCCATTCGACATTGATCTTAGCAAACATTTGATGCAGCAATATGTAGAAAATCACCGCGAACAAATGAAATTAGTATATAACGCGATTAACGAAAATAGCCTCGCCACCCGCACACATATAATAGAGAACCGTAATAAAAATCGCGAACCGGAAATAGATTATGAACCCCAACAACGAATATTTGTTAATAATCCCCTTGCTAGTCGTCAAAAATTAGCACCGAGATATAGTCAGGATACAGTCCTTGCAAACTTGCCTATACATATATATACTTCACGTAAACGTGGTCCTGTCGCTAAAAATCGTCTCAAGAGAATCCCTAAGAGTGCCCAATTGTTACAGGGTGCTACTGGTCCTGATTGCTCCTTTGATAACGTCCCAAGGGACGAATCAGGAGATAACACTTGAGAGCCTCGACGAAGGTCCAGGGTTACTCCCATTTCGCCTAGGCGAAACCAGACTCATCAAACACCATCATGCATTCATACAATTCATTGATATTAAAGATATAGAAGATAAAATTAAGATTTTACGGGATCAATTAGAAGGGTTTCAACGTCAATTACGTAACGATACTTACCAGCTTTATGAGCTGCAAATAGGTTATCTTAATAATAAGTTAGGTATAGTTATAGGATACTTAGATACATTAAAACCAAGGCGTATAAAGAGAGGTCTCGTAGACGGTCTAGGGTCACTTATAAGAGGTATTACCGGCAATCTAGATCACTCCGATGCTATTAAATACGATAATGCAATCAAAATTTTAGAGAATAATAATGAAGCTATAGCACAGGAATTTAATAACCATGTAAGTCTTAGTAAAGAGTGGATGGTCCAGCATTCTAATATAATCACTAAATTAGTTGAAGATCAAGTTAAGATAAATGATACTTTGCAATTATTATTAGATCGCGATGCCTACAAAGAGTCAAGTCTTATAAAATATGCTAAATTTGCCCAGCATCTTGCAATTATAACCGAAAATATAGATGATGTATTAAGAGAACTAAATAGAATAGAAAATATGTTAGCGTTTATACATTCCTCAAGCCCACACCATTCTATGATAAGTGTTGAGGTCTTAAATCATATGATCCATAGATTAATGACAATCTACGGCGAGAATAGCATTTTGGAATTAGAATTAAGGGAATATTATGATCTTATCAAACCCGGTTATTACTATTCAGGTAATTTAATTGTTATAGTATTTAAGCTCCCTATATTCTCTACAGATATTTATGAATTATATAAATTAGCAATGGCTCCTAATAAAAATAGGCAGGCCCTCATCCCTCCTTATCCCTTTATAGCAACTAACAGGAAAGGTTACGTGTACATAGAGGCTGAATGCCCGAAGTACAATAATTGGTATCTCTGCGAAGAGAAGATGGACCACCAGCTTCAACAAGGAACAGACTGTGTTCAGAATCTCATCACTGCCCAGCATCTCGACAAATCTTGTGATTCTGTTACAGTAATCTTGACAAAGACAGCTATGGAAGAATTAGATGAGAAACATTATATCATCTCGTTCCCTAATGCCACCAAGATACATACATTATGCGGAAAGGAAGATTACAAAACGCTCCGTGGAAGTTACTTAGTTATAATCCCAGTCGGCTGTTTTATCTACACATCGGAGTTCACACTAACCAACACTAATGATCACGTGCAGGGACGACCATTGAAGATAACTTCGCTTCCTTTAGATGACGAAAAGATATCCGAAGAACTACCACATGTCAATCTTAATACCATTGATCTCAGGAGATTACATGATGTACAACACAAATTGATTACGCAGCCTCCACTCCAATTGAAGCATACATCAGAATATTTATATCACACAACGATACCAATGTACATCATACTTATAGCATGTGTGATTGCTGGCAGCATCTTCATTATCTTACGACATTATAAGAAAAAACAATCATCTACAGAAATATCTCAAGAAGACAAAATTTATACTGAACCTGATAAATCTAGAAGTTTGAAATCTAACACAGCAATATTTTCTCAACTCAAACTTCAAAAATAATTGCTGATCTGAGGGGGGAGGTGTTACAATATCCACTACATACAAAAGTGCAAGCATGTAATGACCTCGAACGGTTCCGGCGATGCAACGTGACCATTTTTGCTGACGGCGCGACCACCGTTCCACGAGGCAGCGCTTTACGCCAGCGAATGGAATTTTTATAATAATTATTATTCCATTCTGATTCTAACATCGGTCGGAGTTAGTTATAAATTTAAATTGTAATTTTTTTATCTTTAAATAAATATACTAAGAGTAATTTTGGTTTTTTTTGGATCCTCCGGCTGAGTCCTCTATAACTCAGTTTTTTTTTTGTTTGTATATTTTTTATAATTTAAAACAACAAATAAATGTTTATTCACTTATGAATGCCTTTCTGTATTAAAAAAATGTTGCGGATAGTAATCCAAAAAAATAATTAACTTGATAATTACTAACCCTGTTTTTTGACAATATTTATGTTTATGTATCGATGTTAACTTTTTTTAACAACGACATTCTTAATCCCTATACGTGTACATATTCATCTCATCCACTCTAACATGTAGCATGGCGTTTGAATATTAATAATGTTGCAGTTTCGCAGTTACTTTTTAGTAATTATTTTCAAAACGAAAATGAACTAATTTTGAAAAATATTTATTTACATTCTAAAGCAATATTGATCGTAATAAAATATATTTAAACTTTTTTGGATTGTCAATTTCTCCACTTGATTTTAAACCTTAATTCGTTTCTGATAGATTTCATTGTGGCATTCCGACGTGGACATAATTAAACATAATTGAACCAAAGGGGGAGGCCTATGTTCAGCAGTGGATGTCTTCCGGCTGATGATGATGATGATGATGAACCTAAAACTAATGGAAAGTGTTAATGCTAACCAATAGTTGTAAAGAATTTAAGTTATCCTTCTACAAAGTTATAGGAAGTTAGAAACGCGTACGAAGGAAGATTTAATAAATACTCACTTGAATATTAATTAACATTTACTTGTATTTATTTTTTTCCAGTGTGGCGTGCAATACATTGGCAGTCCCGCTGGATCTAACAACGATAAAGAAGTGATAGATGCGTGTAACGAACACAAAATCACTCTAGCGCACACCAGTCTTAGACTTTTCCACCATTAATTACAAGCAATCTCATGAGCATAACATCAACGCAACTGAAAAATCTCCTTTTTAATATATGTATTATTATATATCTTAAGTTAATTCGCCGAGAACTGCGTTTACTCACTTTAAAACAAAAATTACTCAATAACAATTTTAAACACAATTATTATTCATTGAAAGTTGTTATTTGTATAAATATCTTAACATATTTTTAGAAAGAATATATAATGAGATTTGTATGTAAAAAAATAATCGTTCAAATAAGTAAATCATTCCTGTGCTTTTGTGATAAATTGTGATAAAAAAGTGTTTTAAAAAAACGTGAACGTGTCATTGTGCCTTATGAGAAAAGCGTAAAAAGTGTACTAAGGCGAGCGGGACCACAGGATAGTGAAACATTAGTCTTAGTGTATGTATTGATAATCTGGATCCGAAAATTGCAACGAGTACGTTACGTAAATTACATGGCTGTATTGAGAAAAATCAATCGAACCATTACTTTTTTTAATTATTTGTAACGATGCCACCCTCACTAGGGCCCTGTGTTAAGTTCTCGTAGAGTTTAGGCATGGACTATATTATTAGTCTATGGTTTAAGGGACCATTTTATACGGAATTGATATGCAAAAAAAATGTTATTGTAAATTTGTCATATAACTAATAAATGAACGTTTTGTTTCTTATTATCAAATTAAGTGACTTAGCATTTATTTATGTGGTCTTTAAATTTTGTACCCAGTACCACAGAAAAAAAAATAGATTTACTATTGGCTCTGAAATATTTTCTCAGGAAACGTGAACTGAAAAGTATTTATTTTAGTGCAATAATATTAAATATATTATCATTGGCAATTGAAATAAACGTGTTAAATAATGTTTAAACATAGATTTTGTCAAATCAAATCAAATTCAAATTATTTATTCAGTCTAGAAAGGCTGTTACAAGCACTTGTGAAAGTCTTTTAAATATATAGTAGAAGTGCTTTGAGAAATAACCGAAAAATATATATAGGTGGGTATTATATTAATGACACCAGCTCCCAGTTTCAAGGTGTTAACAGTTGCTTGACAACACATGTTCGCGATAAAACTAACAATATATCTATTTGTATTATTTTTAAGAATTATATGTAATTTTAAGTATATAAATGTTATGTTTAATTAATTATTTTTAAAATATCTATACATTTACGAGTTCGATGTTCTTGTTTCATTTTAAAACACTATCCAATGTCAACCCTTAGACGTCTATACCATGTATATAAGTATAGTCAGCTTGGTTCTGTGTTGGGCAGGTAGTTTTATGTAATGATGGTGTCTGAGACTTATATTTCAAAAGTATCTCAGTCTGTTGAACAATTAAATAAAAACCTATAAACTTATTAATTAGTAATTGATAGCCTACATAGAAAAATGAAGTCACGATCGTAAGCAGCATGGGAACGATTTTAGAGAGATGAAAAATTACTGTCTTATGTCAAATTTTTCAGTTGATTTCAAACTGCAGTCTCAAAGCATTAAAATTTAAAATCTAGTGGAGGAATTTTACACAATAATATAGCCTGACGAACTGTTGACTGTACGTGCGTGACAGCACTTATGGTTTGTTGCCGTTTATACATGTACACAGTAGGTTTTGAGAAAATGACTAGGCATAAACAACAGTAAAAAATAATATGGGAACCGGGTGTAGAAGTTGCTAGATATCATGGTTATAGTAATGGATTTCCGCATGATTCTACTAAATAAGATTGGATTGCTAAAAATTTACCAAACGCAAGCGGGCTGCTTTCTACGATTTTTGTGACCGTGCGAGTAAACTAAATATCTATATAAATTTTGAAACTTGTTCTTTTTGTAACCGTAAAGATAAACTGTTATATAATTATTTTTGCGTCACCCTAACACTGGCGCCTGGAGCTGCCCGGAGCAAATACCACCACTTTCCCACCTATAGAGAAAGATAATATACCGTGCCCACCCCTATGGTAACGGTGGTTGATATCAGATTTTCACGATATCGATTCCAAATATATTGATATTCGATCGGATTCTGAGACTATATATTTGTTGAAACTATATACTTATGTGTGAATCGACCTGTATTAGGTAACATTTAATCTATGACAATGTGTTCGAAAATAGTATAAGTACCTTATCATTATATTGTTGGTTACTTAATTCTCAAATCTTTCTTAATCAATTAAGTTTTTAGTGCAGTAATTCTTTGTAATTCAAGTTTTTAGTATTAAGTTATTTTATTTGCGTAACTTCTGCATAAATAAACATTTTTAAAATCATAATAAGCATTTTTATACCTCAATAATACCAATATCAATGAACTTTCCTTCATATTTCTACTAGGCTTAGGACTGATAATATATGTAGATAATAGTTGATGTTCAAAATTTACTTTTTAAATCAAAATATAATGCATATTTGAATATTGCTAATTCACTCACTCACAAATCCGAACTCCTGCAATGGTTCAAGTATATTGCGATGCGATACGATTGATATCCTATATCTATAAATATCGGATATCGGGCGAAATACCGAATTCAACGTATCGCATCGATGCAGCAATATAGTGTTTCAGAAAATATATAGCTTCTGTGCGCGTCGATATCGGATATTATGATATTGATACAATATACGTTTCAATATCTATATGATTTATATTGCCCACCCTACGCTATAGATTGCCATGCATTTTTAACCACAGCTCGGCTGTTTTTTATAATAGACGGAGATCTTGTGACAAAAATGTGCAAGAGGTTTCTAAATCTTTTTTCGTATGTTAAAATAGATACTCAGGATACATCACTCAGTAGTACCTAGCCAGTGCGGAAGACAGGTGCTAGAACACCCGAAGGCAGATTAATAATTGTCTACTATGGGTTAATGGATTTAATACCAAGTTTGAAACTGTTTGTGGCCCAAACAGAGGTACAATCAGCAGCACGTCAGGTTATTCAAATATGTACATTTTCTCCCACTTGAATTTAAATCTTCGTAAGAAGAGTTTAAAATCAACTACAGAAACTTAACATATTGTGGTAATCTGACTGCAGTCATGTGTACCAGAAATAACGGTAGGTACCTACCCACCCACGAAATAGTTTGTCAATAATTAAATTGAAAATATTTTCTGAAACTTGGGCGAGTAAGAGATATCCCTTTCAATTATTAATTTATGGTGGCAATGAAATAGGTAAGTATAATTTACAACAGAAGACGATGATTCAACCGCGGCCCCAAATATTTTTTGTAAAAAAAATTAGCAGGCATATTTTTTTGCTTTGTTAAAGTAGGTAAATATAGTTTCATATCTATCGGGGCTTTTTATGACTCACAATATACTAACGTTCTTGGTTCTTCCCCGTTGCTGACACTCGGTGCGTCATTTGACCTTCCAATATAGGTGTTGTCACATTATTTAGTATTACCCGTCTAATGGGTAAATTTGAGTTTTTTAGAGAATCCTCTTAAGGTCGTTGTTGTTTAGTCTAAATTACTGTTCTAATTTGATTATATTTGGCAGTCTCCATTTATTTTTAGTTGCCCGCTTTTTATGTAGGTATTATTGATGAATCCAATGATTATGTTGCATCTTAAGGTGCTGCTGCATTGAAGCGGAGACATTTTAATAAATCATTAGAATTTCATTCTTGCAACGTTTCTACTCTGCTTCACTGAAATAGACGATGCGATAAGCAAAGCCATGTCACGTTTTGTATAAACACTATCATTCTCTAGGAAGCTGTTCGTGTTTCTTATAATATCGGAGTAAATTTTTTTTTTAATAAGTCACGTTTAAAGAAAAGACAAATTACTGTATTTGATCTATTTTGATGTGATTTCATTATGCTATGGATTGAGATTTATGTGTGGAACATAGCATAACATTTCCATCTAGTGACATTTATTTTGGTAAAATCCTTTTTTAAGTATCTTCTCTAAGAACGATTGAAGTACGATATGAATTAACATGATAGATATCTGGTTCGAAGCTCCATACTCCCCACTACTCTGCACAACACCCCACTGTCGTTATGCGAGCTCAGTAGCGTTAGTATAAATGCTACATGTCTTTGGGTTTTTAGTTGTTATTATTATCGGATATTTGTTATGTATTGAAGTTTTTGTTGAGTTTAATAAAATTAAATATGAAAAAGTTCGATAATTTTTGATGCAACGGAAACAGAACATGGCACGGCCTCTAATAAATTAACAGTCTTCACGTATGTGATTTTAACAAAATTACAAGCCTTCGAAATTTTCTATTTTTTCGTTCGTGAACAAACGGAATTTGCACGAGTAGTATAGGTTAGTTTTAAAGAAAAGTTGACAACACCGTAATGGTTGGCATACGTCAAATAAACAAACTTAGTTCAGTTTGTTTTACTTCGAGCAAAAACAGATCGTGTTTTGCCATCGTTCGAGTGTTATCTTCCAAATTTCTTTTTAAGCATAATAATTACCTTTAAGCAGGAAGTGCCTTTGTGAGCTCTGATTTATGGAACTATGTGATTTGTGGTGTGGTGAGAGTGATTTTGACACTATCATTGGATTTTAGAGAGGTTATTGAAGTTCAGCAATGTCAGCAAGTGACGATACGGAGTCTTATTATATTGAGTCTCCACTGTCTCAATCCGATTCCCCGTATAGTTCTCCTTCGCAGCAAGTGCCACAGCTAGCTACATCAATGATTGGCTTAAGTTGTACTGATGGTTTGTTATTTTTTTTTAAGATTATTAGATATTAAAGTATCGGCACAGCTAATGTATTATCATGTAACACATTTTATTTATAGTCAAACTAATACAAAAAATATTTTCCTGGTCTTCTAGCTATTGTTATAAATTATCTAAATAGTTAGCTGGGTTAAAACATATTTGTAAGGTTCCTATTTTATTAATTTGGCACAAGTTCTTCAAAACATTCTTTATTATGTTATATTTATATCTATTTATATTATGATTAAAAATTATAAACTAAATGAATAAATGACTAGCTGTTTGTTAGCATGTTTGTATTATGTAGATTCCTGAATTACTGTACATTATGTCATACAAATAAAGCCAGAAACTACCTCTTTATATTATTAGTACATTGGCAGTTTATGAAAGTTGCTTAACAACAACTATTGCGAACCGAGGCGCTTATGCACTAAGTCACTACTCAGGCAGTTTATTTAGATATACATATTAAAAGACCTCATGAGAAGAATTAAGGAAATGACCTTCAATATCCAAGTAATAGTATAATAACAACAGTTACAATATTAATTTTGTTCTAAAAAAGAATGCCGTAACTAGGTCTAAGACCTAGCTATTTGCAGAATGAATCAAACTAAAATAGATTTATTATATTTGAACAATTTTGCATTCATAATGCTATACTGAAAAATATTCTTAAAGAAAAATGCTTTAAAAATCTATTTTATCCCTGGCACTCTGATATGAGACCTGAACCCATGATATATCTACCTACCTACTACTACTATACCTTTTGTAATCCGGACAATTGCTCTTGAGATAGGTTATGGTTTCGAGTCCCATCTCAGAATGCCAGGGACAAAGTGGGTCTTTAAGCATTTTTAATAACCAAGGGAACTCAAAGGCCCGGCGGCGTGCTTGTAGCTCCTCTGGTGTTGCAGGTGTCCATGGGCGGCGGTAATCACTCACCATCGGGTGATCTGTCTGCTCGACTGATCCCTATTTCATAAAAAAAAAAAATCTTTAATTATTCTGATTTTTAGTATTTGTTGTTGAAGCAGTAACATCTGTGTAAATTTCAACTGTTTAACTTTTATGGTTCATGAATTATTGCTTGAAGACAGACAGATAGCAGTCTTAGTAATAAAGCTCCCATTTTACCCTTTGGTAATTTGGTAAAATAATACTGGAAACAATCTTATTTTATAAGACTTGATTTTTCAATAAAATACCAACTTTATTTACCAAACATTTGTGTTGTTTTGTTGTTTGAGATTTTTCCATTCATTATTCTATGGAAAATTGCACACTTTAAATTGTTTTCCATTTGGCTGTAGTGAAACGGCCGAGCCACATGTTTTAAATAATGTGTAGAGTTTGTTACAAAAATTTTACATTGATGCATTAAAATAAAGACATACTATCCCAAAATAAACAACAATTTACAATTTAAATTATGTTTTAGGCTTTTAAATTATATTTTTATGTCACCAATTTTGTAAACTATATGATTATTCAAAATGTCTATTATGATAAAAAAAAGTTTCGTATCGTTAGTTGTGATCAATTTGGGTAACTGAATTATAATCAATCACTCAAAATCCATAGTAATTTAAAATTTCATATCTACTCGCGTTCTTATACCTACGTCACGACAAACGCGCCAAAATTTCCGGCGTGTAAACTTCTCGTAGTTGTTACTTATTTCCTTCAATTATTATTATTTCTTAATTTTAGTTTTTCGGTGCCGGGTATTTTTTTTAGTTATACTAGCTGACCCGGCGAACTTCGTATCGCCTTATATCCGTTTTAAAAAATATATTATATACAAACCGTATCTAGAATCGTGGAACTCATAAAAAATAGAATCATCCAATTTGGTGCAATCGGAACTGAAATTCGGAAGTTATGCGTACATACGTTTCGGCGATTCATATTTATTCATCGATATTTAATAGCTTTAGCCCGGACATTTTTTTATTTTTCGATAACTCATAATCATAAGTTATTAATTTTTTGTAATAGTATAAAAGGCAATTTTGATCTACATTACATGCATAAATGTATCTAATTTATTTATTTATTTGAATAAGGATTAATACTGTATTGTTTAAAATAGGTTCCTAAATAACCCATCATTTTACTGTTTTAAGTATACGTCAAAAAATGGTTATTGTGGGTTATCCTTAATAATATAGACATATAGAACCGCGGAGTTTTTTGTAGATCTATTAAAGAGGTACAATTCCAACATACAATGTTTTATGTTTTGTGACAAAAGTTTTTGGCAGCGTTTTCGAGGAAAGCTTCCGATCGGCATATGATTTTCGATATATTGGAATAATATTGTTGTAATATCGCCAGTTTGTACAAAACCTAAACTTAATATAGGTACACTAAAACCTTCCTCAAGAATTACTCTATCTATTGTTGAAAACTGCATGAAAATCCGTCTAGTATTTTCGAGTTTATCGCGAACAGACAGACAGACAGAAGCGGTGGGGAACTTTGTTTTATAATATGTAGTGATAACGATGTACATTATCATCTAAACACATTTTCAAAAAATGTGCATTTCCCTATTCACGGAGATCTCGATAAACACATAAAATATATATCCGTAGAATATAAAACTTTCAATATTGAAATCGGTTAAAAAATCAGCCAAATCGGAATAGTACCAGAATGCCATTATCTATAAAGAAAATAAAAAAATCACATTTGTTGTATAGGAGCCTAACTTAAATATTTATTTTTTTCAATTAAAGAGTTTCTATTCTCATAAATAGAGTATTAAACGTAAGTTTTACGTTAACGTGTTTGCTAAAGCTCATTAAGAATTTGTACGGAAAATTCTAATTCTTGGTAGTTACTGCTAAAGAGCTATACCAGATTCCCTATGAAAATCTTAAAGTGCTCTCGATCGACGTTAAAGTTAACGTCAAAAAACTTAAATAAGCGCTCTAATTTATGAGAAGCTGTCGTATATTAGGCATAAACTAAATATATAATACGTTCATAACTATTACAACGAATATTTTTTTATTAGATTTCTTTGTTGGTAATAAAGTGTTTTTGAGCAATGTCTATTTTTTAATAGTATTAAGTACCTATGCAGACCCAAAATATAGTACACTACGGTTAGCAACCCTACTAGCATAGACGCACAAAAAACACAACTAGTAAAACGAGTAATTTAAATAAAAGATTAAACAAAGACCCTGTTGTTAATCAAAAAAATTTTATGCTGTGTCATAATAACATAACTCATAATAGTATGTAATATAACCTATTTTATGTTATCGTCGCTTCTGAGAAAGAACTCTGTTTCGTTTAATACTGACATATGAGTTCCTATCAGCATGAAAACTTATTTCGATTAATTTATATTATGGCAAAGAAATAATAATACTTTGCCTTAAATATTAATTGTAAACTTAACTAAAATATTATAAACTTAAATTAAATATTAAATATTAATGTTTAGTCCTTAATCATTCCTCTGCTTGAATAGTAAAATTAATAAAATATATTGTTCCATGTATTTTATTTATTTATACTCCATTCACTATAGCATTAGACAGAAGTTAAATAAGGTTCTTTTTATGGTATACTTTGTGACAAAATATCAATAATCATGTTACTCTTAAGAGCGACGGCTAATTTGCTACATATCCACTTAAATACCAGCTGCTATACTTAACTGTTGTCACTTAAGCTATCTATTAAACAAATTTATGAGTATTTGACTAACTTAAATGATTTAATAACATTTACAATAAAAAGTGTTCATAATAAAGAACCTAAAGAAGCAGGGTTGGATAGTTTCGGTACGATTCTCATGTCACTATAATTCTACCAAATTTAAAACGTTGCCTAATCCCTTCAAACGTTTCGGCAGTACAACTTTTTAATTTTGTCAGGCTATGATGTATTCATAATTGTCAAAATACGTAATCGCGGATCTTTTTCTTTCTTGTTGTTTTGCCGTTTTCCGTTATAAAGTTGTTATTGTTTTATTTCTGTTTTGATTATAGTTTTGTTTTTGTTGTCAAGTTAAGTTTTGTTAAATATGGACGATGCCGGCGCAGGCCCGAGTGGACTATAACAATTACGCTTTAAGTCCCCATACCTACCCTCAACCTTTGACATTTCAGGAAGTTTTTCCAATTTCTTCATCAATAGTCTAATATCTGAGAAATTTTATAAAGGTAATAATAAAAAAATCCTTTTGTTTACCTTTCTTTCCTGGGCATAGATATAACTTAATTCTATTCTCATTATATAGGTACACTTACTTAAAATGCTGGCCTCATCTCAGCCCCGAGGTATCATAAAAAATGGAAAATTGCCCAGCTCTATCAGACTACAAAAACGTTCAAAGTTTCAACAAAACTATAATATTTATTTTTAAATTTATCTTGAAAATAAAATGTTCTGCACTGCTGCTTCTATGACCCTCTTTTTTTCTAATGTTATATATATCATCCACTCCATTCATTATAATGAATGGAGTGTAGGTAACAAACAGTCACATACAAACAATTTTGAAGCTATTGTTTACAAAGAGACCTATTTTTTTCTCCTCATAACTATTGTTACTTGCACCAATAACATTATTTTTATACATTTTGAATATTTTTACCACTAATAACCATACTTATTACAACAAAACCCACATTTTTTTGTTTAAAAATTGGCGGAATATCTGTACTACTGTCCTACTACTGTACTGTGTATTGAGAATGGTCTGTAACGGGTTCGATGCTTAGGCAAATGAGTAAAAGGCTGACTAAACTTGAAAACTTGATTTATTAAAGTGTAACACAAAAAACTGTAACAAACAAAAAAATAATTTAAATTCGTTTCTTCTGATTTCCTAAATAATATAATTAAAATATTTAAATAGAATAATTACATACCCCTTTTCTGAGTTTTCCGTAATAGGTAGAACTTAGTAGATATTTCACGAAGATGTTCTTTACGTGTTTGTTATTTAATAATAATAATTTATATGATAATATGATTAAACTATCATGTTCTCGCCGGATGATTTTTTTAAGAACCTACATTCACAAAGAGCATATTGTATTACTCAAAAATTCAAATTACGAAAAGTGAGTAATAAAAATGAATGATGTTGAAGATCAAAGGCAAAAAGTTTGCATGCGGAAACCTAGAACGAAATAAACGGTGGTACGACGCACCGTTACAGGTCGAACCAAATATCACCATATCAGACAGATAAAAACTTGATAATGATAATTATTACCTAGTATTTGTAAAAAGTTACGAATTTAGTCGATCTACAATAAAAAACTAAATATAAAAGTTTTCAAAACACGTATACATAGTAAATTTCTTTAAACATACTTTTAACTTCAAACATTCCATCTAGTGTTTTTATTGTTGAAGTGTAACACTTTGACAGCTGATAAAGTTGCTGGCTTATCTATTAAAATGATGATCGCAGATATTTTGGGTCTGGGTAATATTTTTCTTCGCTTTCATATTACGAGTGTTTTTGTAAAATTCGTTGGCTTATCTAGTGAAATAATGATTACAGAGATTTAGAGTCTAGGTATTGTTTTTTCTTCATATACCGACAATGTTTATATCCGTTTCTTGTTGCAGGAAGGCCCTACCTTCGGATTGTGGAGCAACCTCAGAGCCACTTTAGGTTCCGATACAAAAGTGAGATGGTCGGTACACATGGCTGTCTTCTCGGCGAATCTTACGCCAACAGCAAAACAAAAACTCATCCCACAGTAGAGGTAAAATATTTGTTTTGTTATTTTATTATGCATCGTGCACTAAATAATGTTGGTAAAATTTTCCGCAAGAAAATGCTAATAATAATATTACTAATATAATTATTAATAATAATAAGTATATACTTTAACAAAATTTTTCATAATAGTAATATTACGACTTAGGGTTCCACGATTCGACTTTAACAAAACGCTGTATGTAAAACTCACTTTTTTAACACCAAATTTATTTATTAAGAGTTTTTTTGCTACGAAAGTGGACGTCTATTCTAATAAAATATTACATATTAGTTCCAAAAATAACATAAATTGCAAGAAGATTGTTGCTTGCTGGTTAAATGCATTAACATACGCGGAAACTGAAAATTTGTTGAAATAATTATAGTATAAAGTAAAGTTAGACGAGTTATCAGCCGATTGGGTGACACGCTGGTTTCAAGGTGATGCATTAGTGTACATTAGTTAATATATTTTATAAATTACTACGTACACACATATTTTAATTTATTTTACATACATATTCTATAATTTCAAATATTTACGTACTATTACTTGGTGAAATTAATCATGATTATCTTGTTAATTTCAATTTAAATAAAGCACGCATTAGAAAAATTGCAATATCGGAGGAGAAGCCTGGTAACTTGAAAACATCAAGCCTTATTTAAGGCTTAGTTTCTGGCTCCAGTCTGTCACATGATTGTTTACTTTGGCACTTGTCAACGTAATTTTTAAGATAATAAAATATAATAAATATAAATGCCACATGTATGTAATGAATTATCTGAATTGAACCGATTTTTATTGTTGCTAATCTAGCAGTGTAACTGCGATTTCAGTAAGTTTAATCAGAAGTTGGCTGCCACAGATTTAGAAAATCAAAGAGTAGGCAGCGGTGTCAGTCTAGTTATAAATAGCTTTTGTTTACTTATAATTCCCTTTGTATAATAAGAAATACCGCATATAAACGTCACCGCCTATTATATTTCTAAAAATCTTTTCTTAGTGCTCACTAACGTTATATAAAGAACCTACATGCAAAATTTCAGGCTTCCAGATTCAGCGGTTAGGGCTGTACGTATGTCGCAGCAAACTGTTAACCCTTAACACCACTCGGTATTTTCAGCCTACATATCTACACTCGTGGGGGAGCTACGTCCCCACTTTTTATGGTTATTATTCAAGTAATAAAATATAGGATATTTTAGGATTTATATTTATAACATAAATAAAAAACATATATTCTATGAAAATAAACACTTTTATTTAGGTTTCATAATCATAATTAATATTTCTAGTGTGAAATAAAAAAACTACGAAAAATCTCGTCACATTCATGGGGTCTATTTCACTGACTCATTATAAATAAATAAAAAATGCTTTGGAACAAAAAAATTTATTTTCTAATAACCTATATTACTTTTTAACCAAAACAGTCATAAAATCTTGAATAAATTTTAAAACATGCAAAATCACAAGGAGAATATTCGACTTAGTTTACCAAAAAAAATTTACCTTAATCTGTTAACATATTATCAGTCTCATTAAATTACTCCCAAAAATTAGATTATAACGTACTTAAAACTTATGACTCACATTTAGTACATATTTTTACATCAACAGAGTGGTTCCGACAAACATTTTTCACACATTTCAAACACACCCTTGGAGTATTACTGTCTTTGCTTCGTGGACACAAATGACACCTAGATTTTTTAGCCCCTTGCTTTGGCTCGGGTCTTGTTTTGGTTGATCTTCAGCTACATCAACACCAACCTCTTGTAGGAACCTGTCCATCATATCTTTCAGCTCCCTCGAAAGGTTAGAAGAGCGTCTTCTTTCCAGAACATGAGGAGTTACTAAAGTATACCCAAGTTCTTCTAAAAACATAACGACTCTTGCTTCTGTGAGGATTAGATGCGCCGTAAAGGACATAACTGTTTACTCCGGAAATACTGGGCAAAATATTGTGGTCGGCCATGTTTGACTTCTCTGGTTCACAGAGTAAGCAGCACACTTCTGGTCTAAAGCATCTACGCCACCTTTGGTAGAATTGTAACAATCTCGGGTTTTTTGGTTTTGGTTTGGTCCATTGCAGATACTAGAGTTATACTGACGTCATTTAATAGCCTTTCTATCTGCTGGGCATTTAAATTCTTACTCATACTGCACCAAAAACCCAAAAATGTAGATATAAAAGATTATTATCAATATTAAATACTTACGTAACTACACTCATGGGGGACCTAGGTCCCGCAACAACACGTGCCTCACAAACTTCCAACGCTAGCACGACGTACGTTTGCACACCAACAGCTTTCGGGAGTCACTGGGAATACTCGAAACCGCGACCGCGTCGCGTTTAAAATATTTGTATAATTTGCAAAACACAGAGCGCTGGGGGACTGCGAACCCCCACGAGTGGTGCTAAGGGTTAAAAAAGCCGTTCAATTGGGCGGCTAGCTATTTAATTGGATGGCGCCATTCAATTGCACGCCTAGTTTTCTAGTTGAATCATTACGATATTTGGATCATTCAACAAGACAGCTGATTTAAAAGCCGCCATAATATTTATTTAGTTTTGTTACCTTTAAAAAAATGCTTTGTAATTTAAGACGATCGCTACGCTATACGCTTCGCGGTAAATCTAACCTATCACGTGACCTACAAGACCAAAATAACTACGTTGTTTATCATTTTATGTTGTTATTAACTATTGTAATACCGAACTTCGAAATTGTAATAAATATTCTAAAACAATCGCAGTCAAATACATTGCTTACTCTCCTATCGATAGATAGCGTTGTTGTCGTCTGAATCGCGGTATATCTTGTCTTTGTACGTTAAGATTTTATATGAAAGTTTAAACTTAACCCACTTGCGTTATAGGTGTGAACGTTAAAACTCAGTCGCGAATAAACAGTTTGTTATTATCTTATTGGTCAGTCCTCACAATGAGTTTTTGAGTTTTATATAAAAACACCCACACAATATATATATTTTGTTTTGCTTCTAATGGAAGATTACATTCTTCTAGTAGCCTGATCGAAAGTCAGCCTGTTAAATGAATGGCCTCATTTAAATGAAGGTCTAGCCGCCCAACTGGTCGGGCTTTTTATACCACTTGGCTGCGACATATGAATAGATTATTATAATTTGTTAAACAAATTGTAGTCGAGGGCGTTGAATCAAAAACCTGGTATTTCAAGTGCAATGATATGGATATCAAATGAAAAGGTTTTAAGAAAAATACAAAAATAATGATATAATTCTAAATTCAATATGGCGGACTAACTTAGATGGGAAATTTATATCGGTGCCAAATAAAGGGTTTGCTTAGAAGATTACGATTTTTAGAAGAGTTTGTCGCTCTTATTTTTATAAAGATGTCAAACTTATATCAAATTATGTATGTAAAGTTGCAGTAATACGTCCTATTTGCTTATTTTAAATAAAGCACCAATTTCCATACTATATTGAATATAACATATATATAATATATTATATTACATATATAATAAAATAACATATATAATAACATACATTGAATATATATATTCAGTTTTTTTTGTAGTAAATATCTGTATCTAATAATAATTCAAATTGCAGTTGGTGAACTATAGCGGGCGCGCGGTGATCAGATGCCGATTGTCTCAGCATAAGACACCTGATGAGCATCCACACAAGCTCTTAGAAGAGGAACAGGACAGGGACGTAAGTTACGGTGTCCCTGAGCATGGATCTTATAAAGTCGGGTAAGTTGCTCCACCCTTCAACCAGAGATATATTAAATAGAAGTGATACTATATCTTCAAATCAGATCCGTTGCGGAGTAGGTAGAAAGAACTTATAAAAGTTGTACTAAAGAACTTAAATCCAGTTTACTTTTCATCAAGATCAACAATACAACTGGTTTTATTTATATTTCGGTTTGACAGTCGTGTTTTTTAATTATTAATTCTGTTCGTAGGTTTGCTGGTATGGGTATCATACATACTGCGAAAAAAGATGTACCCGCGTTACTATATAAAAAATATTCAGAAGCAGTCGGCAATGCCAGAGTAAACCCAAAGGAAGTAAGTGTCTTATAATTTTATTTTGTTCATTACTTTGTATATACGAGGGTCAAACTGAAAGTTCTTAGAAAATCAAAAACTGATTACATTAGCCAGTTATTAGTTTTATTATATCTTTTCAAAATATTGTCCATTCACGTCAATACACCGCTGCATGCGATGGAACCACTGGGAAAAGCACTTTGCCCACTCGTCCTTAGGGGTCTCTTCAATGGCATCGCGATACGCAGCCACCGCTTCTTCAGCATTCATAAACCGCTTTCCTTTAAGTTTTTCTTTAATTTTTGGAAATAAATAAAAATCACAAGGCGCGAGGTCGGGGCTATACGGCGGGTGACCCAGTAATTCAACGTTTGATGTCGCCAAATAGTCGATCGTTCGCTTGGCGGTGTGCGACGAGGCGTTGTCGTGGTGAAGGAGGATCCTACTGCGAGGTCGTTTCTCTCGAACTTTTTCCAAGACAAGTGGCAAACAATTGGTAGTGTACCATTCTGCAGAAACTGTTTTTTGATCCTCTAACACAATTGTTGCAAAATGACCTATCCTTCCAAAGAACGAGGCCACCATTTTTTTTCCCGCACTTCGATCTCTCTTCACTTTAGTTGGCAACTCCTCGAAAGGAAACACCCACTGAGCAGATTGTCTTTTGGTTTTAGGATCATAACAGTAAATCCAGCTTTCGTCACCTGTTAGTATGTCGAACACAGCATTTGAGTCACCTCCGTTAAATCTTTCAATCATTTTACGACACCAATCCACACGATGGAGTTTTTGAGCCTCAGTCAAATTATGAGGTATCCACCGGGCGCAAAGCTTCCTGACCGCTAAATGTTCGTGGAGGATTTTGTGCACTTGACTCATACCGATGCCTAAGCTTGTCCGAATCTGTTGATAGGTCACTCTTTTGTCAGTCTCTATCATACGCCGCACAACACAGATGTTATCTTCAGTCGTCGCCGTAGAAGGCCGTCCCTCACGTAAATCATCAGTGAGATTAGTGCGACCACGTTTAAACTCATTAAACCAGTTGTAAACAGTCGCACGAGATGGGGCTTCATCGTGAAAGGCCAATCGTAGTCTATCATAACTTTCTTGTTGACTTAAATGACATCGAAAGTCATAAAAAATCATTGCACGAAAATTTTCTCGTGTTAAATTCATGATGACGTGACACAGACAATTTTCAATTTGCCGCCAAATCGTAAAACAAATGACAAATGAATGAAATATATACTCAGTAATATTGGCAAAGAGTTATATTTTCAAATTTTAGAATTATTTTTTTATTATATTGTTTATAAGTGGCCAGTTCTAAGAACTTTCAGTTTGACCCTCGTACTTAAGCTGTTTTAAGAAAAGGTTGTTGTTTTGCTAAACAATTATTTCGCGAGAACAATAACGATAAAATTATGGAGTCAGATTTCGCCATTCTTCTTTGACATATTGTGGTGTCGTGCAGCCGTGTGTAGGTACTCTAATGGTGAGATCAGCAGTAACTCTGGATGGCGCAATGAAATCCTGGTATAATTCTTAGAATTTAGTAAACCTACCTTTAGTCACAGGCACAATTAACAGCCCACAATCCGCAGAAATCGCCAAATTTAGACCATATTTATGAAAGGAATGTTTAAAATATACTAAAGAAACAAAAAAAAAATTGGTATAAAGTCTTTTATTAAAGGATGCTTACCAAAGATCGATTTTTTTGAAAATCATCAATTAGAATTAAAAAAATTTGCATTTGAAAATAATGAAGAATGGAGAATGGTATGGAAAAAATGGTGTGTGTTGCCACCTATGGCCCTTATGACGATTTGTCAATTCATCTATGATCTCTTCATTATCCGATTGGGGGATATTGTGCCACTCCTCTACTGCAGCCGTTTTTAGCTCTATTATTGTTGTAGGGACTGGTACTCTTATTCGGACACGGTTTTTAAGGTTGTCCCAAATGTGCTCTATTGAGTTAACATCGGGACTGCATACGGGCCATGATAAAATTCAAATCCCGACCTTATTAAGGTACTCACTGACGGATCTTGCGATACGGCAACATGCGTTGTCACGCATTAATCTAAAGTTGTCACCAATGAACGGAGCGAAAGGTATGACATGGTCTTGAAGAACTTCTTCCATGTATCTTTGAGCGTTTACACTTCCTCTATCGAACACAATATCGGTACGAGCCTCATAAGAGATACCTCCCTATACCATTATGGATCCTCTCTGGTAACCTACTGTTTCAGTTATAGCGCATTGAGCAAACCTCACACGCTGACGTCCATTTGGACCTCTTAAGACTATTATGCTCTCATCTGTGAACAGTACGTTCTTCCATTCCTCTACAGTCCAGTCAGCATATTGTCGCGCTAAACCAAGTCTAGCTCTACGAAGTTGTTTGAGCAGTTGCGAAGCGCGAGCTGGACGAAAAGCCCTCAAATTACTTTCTGCTAGTCTTCTTCTAATGGTACGTTCACTGACACTGACATTTCTCACCTCAAAAAGATGCGTACGAGCTTCAGTAGCGGTCGTAAAGCAATTTCAGTCATCTCGAATCGAAGTGCATCGACGTCTGCCTTGACCTGGTCTGTAGGTGTAATAAGCCTGTCTCCCAAAATCGTCTGATAGCATCTTATATCGAGGTACACAGAGTTTGCGAGCGATGCGACGCTGGCTATACCCCGCATCAGCTAAAGCCACTGCCTAGCTACATTAGTTGCATCGAGTGCATTTTTTGCAATCACAAACAATGAACAAACACTATAATTTCAAATTAAACAATATTCAACTACTCGGTAACACAACAGCAATAATGTATAACAACGACTAAATTCCGAAAACTCTTCTGTAAAATAAATTTAGAAAAGAAAGTAATGGTATATGTGTTTTATTTATTGCTAGAGTACCTACTTAACAAAAAACAAAACAGTTGATAAGCCATAGTTGACGGAACCATCTTCAGTCAGATTTCACCGACCCTAATTGTCCTTATAAAAGAACTGTAGTATAGATAGTCTGTGATTACTAATAGCGTCTCACTCAAAAAAGCTTGATACAATCTGTCTTCTCTATTGTGTTAGATACTGTCTCTGTTTTCCAAATTCGCTTCGGAGGTATTATATACCTAAATTTTTGTACACTATCCTAGCTAAAGTTATTGCATACCATTTGTAGTTTTTATTCTTGATTACAATATATTTGAAAAAAGAGAAAGAATCAATACGTAACATCCATATTAAAACATAGTTTTATTAAATTTATAGTAAAATAGACGTCCAAAACAAAAATTTAATAAAATCAATCGGTCAATAATAGTATTTGCTGTCAGACTATCATTATACATTATCCAAATCATACGAATGTCAAACAGTTGGTATAAATATAATATATATATATGTATATATTATGGCAAAATTCTCTGTAAAATTTGAACGTGCCTGTGAGCACGTATTGTATAGGTTTACGATCTATTGTTTTGAAAGGTTCTTTAACTCACTGCTTAATTATTTCTTGCTAAGTCTGAACGAATTGGTAGCAGTAGTTACTTATTAATGATAACTATACCATTTTTACCTCGCAAATTTGTAGTAAATTGAATTTATTATGTGATCCTCGAACTACAAAAAGGTCCACCTCAGTCCACGCAATATGTCCTTTTCCATTCTTTTTTCTGTTGTTATTCCATTGTTCATTCCCTTTAATTTCGTACCGTTATTATTATATATATTATATTATTTAATTATTTCATATTTTTATTACAACAATTGTGGTATGTAAATATTAAGAATCACGTGATTTGGATCGAAATTCGAATGCACTAATATACAAATAATTCACGTTCAATAAATGAGCTTTATTAGCATTTACTTATCACGTACCCTAATATCCCCCTCTTAGTTTTAAGTAGTATATAAGACGAATATTGTTTAGTTAAATAGAGATCTACAACTGGAAGTTAGTATCATTTCTCCCTACCGCACTGACACTATTTCACAATATCCAGTGCTTTCGTGGATTATGATCTTCAATAATTATTTTGGCGAATGTAGCAATTAATTATAGTAATTTTGGATTTCGATTCGATCTCTGATTTTGAAGGAAGCTACAAACATGAGAAAAATATATTATGGGAATAATGGACTCGTTGGGATACCTGTGATGTAAACGTACTATTTACTTACAAATAGTGCGCGAGTTGGTCGTTCTATTTTTACTATGGTGTGCCTTAGTCACGCCTACACGCCCCTCCCCATTCATTTCGTCACTGATGTTGCCTTTAGTAGTAAACGATTACAACCATGACGGCAGCGATGGTTGGTTAAAACAATAATCACTTGCTTTAGATGGCCAAACGACGCGGTAGCTTTAAAAGTGACTGATCGACGTGGGCTCTAGGGAGGCGTGTTCCATACATTTGCCATATTACGAGAACAACAATAATTAGAGTACTATGTTCTACTGTAAAGAATGTGGTATGTGTCTATTAAAATATTAATTGTTTCATTTTAGCTTAGTGTATTTTGTGAAAATGAAGCGAAGGCAATAAATTTGAACATAGTGCGGTTGAGGTTCAGCGCGCACGATATAATCACTGACAAGGAAATTTGTCCTCCTGTCTTTTCAAGACCAATATACAATATGAGTAAGTATACGTTGATATTGAATTTTTTGAATATACTTACAATTACTTGTAAGCTGCGGATAACAGTTAGTGACAGAAATTACTATTATGTCCCTTAACCAGCATCCTGTTCAACGTTTGTAAACAAAGCAAAACTAGCGCCTTGGTGGAATAATGAAAATTAAGGATACGGTACCTTTTAAATCAACCGTCCTGTTAAATGCCATAATTATATAACTAGAAAAGTAGCCATGCAAGTGGATGGCGCTAATCAGTTTAATGTTGGCTGCGATATATACAGTGGTGGCCATATAATTAAGATTTGTAGTTATAGAATGTTATAATGGAACTTGCCTAATTCTTTTTTTTTTAATTACTTTTAGTAAGTATTTACTTACGTATTCAGGGAGCGTTCTTAGACAGTATACAGGAAAAGTTTGTAGACAGTACGCAAAAATTTTAATTTATTCTTTACGATGTATTCCCTTAACATCGGAGAAAAAATAAGTGTATAAACACGATTAACATTATGTACACGTAGGTCGATGACCGGCTCCTGCCAATCTATGTGTACCTACACTTTATTTAAACATGGCCATTATAACAAATAAAAAAAAATTGGTTGGAATATACCACCGGCTTGGGATCTGGTAATTAGTAAAATAAAAAAAATGTACTGATAACAACATGAAAAAGTCGTCTACATCCTTATTACTAGTTGATAGGTATCAACTAGTTAACTAATTTATAATCAACTAATTCATAACACTTAAAAGTTAATGTTATTTGTCATGATATAATCAAAATCAAAGTCAAAGTTAAAACGTATACTATGGAATAAGTTAATTTGCTTAAGAGCAATGTATATAATTATACAAAATCATTCTCTTGCCGAAAGTTTTTGTTTTATATGTATGCGTGTCTTATCATGTAGATACTCATGCTTATTTAATTAAGAAAAATGTTAACTTTTAGGTACTATTGGTCTGTAATTTAAATCACTTTTAATCATACACAATTTTTTAACTTAAATGACTATTTTATACCAAAATAAATGGAAAAAAAATCTTATGTGTCAGTACACTATAATAGGGATAATAGGGACAATTGTCACTGTTTGAATATACAAAAGTGGAGATTTTAATTAAGTTTACTGTTTCAGAATGCGCTGCTACAAATGATTTAAAAATATGCCGTATTAGTCGAATATGCGGTCGCGCCAGTGGAGGCGACGATGTATTCCTTCTTGTGGAAAAAGTCAACAAAAGTGAGTATAAAGCAAATTAATTCACAATTTTGATGTAGGTACATATTACTAGGCGAACCTGAAGCACAGCCAAGATTGACTGCTTTGTCATAGGGGCTCATGTAATCTGTCACTGAGCCGCCATTTTTATTTATATTTTCAAAATTTGGCTAGTCGAAACTTGCCTTAATTGGTGATATCGTTTAAAATAATTGATTATTACTGTCGATTGAAGTAACTTTGTCTTTTTGATAGGGTAAAAAAAATCTGATACAGATAAGCCATCCTTTGCTGTTAACAATTAATCTGTGACTAGAGTTTTATTTATCAGTTAATGTTTATACTTAAAAATATGAGTTTAGTCAGAAGCGTGGCTTATTTTATTTCTTGCATTTTTAACACTGGCCTTAACGAGGCTCCAATTGCGCGGGACCCCGAAACGCGCGGAGTCCGGAGTATTTGCTACTTTTGCTACGTGGCTAATCCGGCCCCGCATCCGGTTTCTTAATGAATTCAAAATACGCAATCTTTTGTTTTTTTTTGGCTGAAATGGGCTATGTCATATCATAACATATCAACTAAATAATTTATGATATCTGGTGAAAAGCATATTTTGGTATGTTATAAAAGGAATACTCATTCGATTTCAATAAAATTCAAATGGGACCACCTCGGTCCATTAAGCTGTCGGATAAAAGAATATTGAAAATCGGTCAATAATTGGCGGAAATATCGGTGAAATTCCAAACCCGAATTCGAATTCACTCAGGTGTCTGAATACACTTCAAAGAGCGGCATCCGCTGAACCTTGAATTGTTAATAACGTTTCGTGGCATAACTGAAGTGAATTTCGAAATGACACAGGAATAGAATATCTGAGACACCTACATTCAATCAATATTGTTTTGTATTTTTATATAAAAAATGGAATTAATAGAATTTCTTCACTAAATGATGTGAATTTGGACACATGAATTAATTCGAATTCCGGGTCTGGGTTTTTGCAGAATCGCAGGGCCGGCTGGGGAAAAGTCTTTTTGCATATACTATGCATAAACTTGTAATAAAATCTTTCTGGCCATACCATTTGACTCTGGCTAGTATCAGTATCATTAAAAAGTTTAAATTTTAAAGAAGTCCTAATTCAAATTTGGAAAATGTGTGTTTTCATAGTATCAAAATGAGTGAATCTAATTAAGAAATTCGATACATTTTAACATTTTATTACAAGAAAGGTAAAAATGCAACTAAGGCCGCGAAAAAAATGTGGTGTTTATGGACTTAGTGCAGTTTCTGTGAGCGTAGCACTAATTATGTATAAGCGTTTTTAATTCGGAAAATTTTGATGTCAAAGATGCACGTCGCCCCAATTGATAGTAGTTTTATTACGCATAAAATGGATACCATTTTTGAGAAAATGTTGAATCATTTTTTATAACAAAATACTTAAGTCAAGTGTAAAAAAAAAAACAAAAATGTTATTAATTTGAAAAAACTTGAGAAGAAACTTTTTCCCCAATTATTATAAAAAACCATACATTGCCTACGAACATAAAACCTCCTCTTTTTCGATTCATAATGTTGGAGTTACTTACCGTATCTTACTTTATTTATCAATAATCAGGAAGTTAAATTTGCAATTTTCCCTGTTAATTTTTATGCGTTTATCATGCGTGGCGTCAATGTGCGACTACTCTTTATCATTTATCTCGTGTAGCAAGGGCATGTAAAGATTATTTGGTCAGCTGTTGACAAAACTGACTATCCGATTACGTTCTAGATTCTGGGAAGTATGCGGACAACTAAATAAATACATCAAAATGTTACTTGACAGTCATAACAATAAATTATTAAAATATTAGAAATGGCAACTTATTATATTAACTATATACTATTTCGTGTTGTAAAATAAATTACATAAACTATAATACATAAACAGGAAAATAGCTGCTAGATTTTTCTGTGGCTTCGCCTGTGTAAAGTCAAACGCATATGATGTAGCTTTAAAGAGTTTTTAAAGTCGGTCCAGTAGTTTCCGAGCCTATTCCATGCAAACAAACAAACAATAAAATTTTTCCCCTTTATAACTAGTATGATAAGTAATCAAAATTATTTATAACCCACACAGGCGACAATGTTTTTGTTGTGAATTCAACCATTACTCGTGTCTATTGAAATATGACATCACGGCTCTAAATGATACGAGACTGATTGTTTAAGCGGGAAAGTTTTTTTTTCTTTTATTTAGTATAAATATTTTTGGAAAAAAGGAGATCTCATAGTGTTTTACTATGATCATATTAAAGTTTTAATACTTTTCCCAAAACATTCAAGTATTCAATTTTCAATTCCATTAGCTAATCTTAACACATACACGTGTCGAATTGATAACCTTTTTTTCACGTCAATGAAGATTTAATGACTCGTATATGCCTATATTGTCTTCGTGTACAATTTTATATAATAATTTTTATTCGAAAATTATACCACGTCCGCTCTAGTATTTTAATCGCTCAACGATTAGCAAAGTAGAAATGTTGACTTTTCCGTTTTTAATTTAATAATGTTGTTTCGTTTATGTTTCCTATTGAATGAAAGAGAAAGTCCTATATCATCTATTACGAGCACTGCTTAATAAAGGTGCGGTGGAATGACTCCGCCCATGCGCCTCGTAGGTGTTAAAAGGCCACGCCTACTCCACAAAACGCTTATAGATAAAGGTCTCTCATGATTCCACTTAAATAGATAGTAGGTTTTTCTTGGAATCATGCCATAAATCAGATATCGTTTTATAATCCTACAGTAAATAAGTACTTAATTTTGAAATAACTTACTCGTCAAATTATTTTTGTTATGAAAAATTTTGAATAGTGTTTTAGTTAATATATCTATCTATACAGAAAAAAAATGTTATCGCTGCACAATTTATTGTAAGTTTTTTAATAATGCATTTTTAACGCAATAAGTAGGTGAAAAGGTTTTTGCAAATCGTATTTATTGTAGTATTATATAAAATTTTGCGCCTATTGTTAACAGAGAATATAACAGTTCGCTTGTACGAGTTGAACGAGAATGGTGAAGAAGTATGGTCAGCGCCGGGAAATTTTCTCCAAAACGACGTCCACCACCAATATGCCATTGTGTTTAGGTTTGTTTAAACTCAGTTTCTTTATATAAATAATAAAATATTAGATATACTTATAACTTAGATTGTTTTATGAGGTGTATTTAAAAAATATGTTACCCTTCGTTTCGGATCCTTTACGGCAGTAGTTTCTAACCTTTTTTATCTATGCTCTATTAGAATTATTGATTTTACTCACTATCCAAAAACTCACGCCCTTTGATAGATATCTCTAGATGCGGCCATATTATTGTTTTATTTTCGTTTAAAGCACTTCTTTAACTCGTATCCCATATTAAGACGATTTAATTAATCTTAATTATTAGGTTCTTTATTTTTGTAGTTCACTTAAGTTAACGAAAAGCAACATGGTTTTCTTTATAATTCAAATTACCAAGCTTTAACAGTTTTGTGTTTTCACCCAGGACTCCACCTTATCAGGACAAGAACACGCCAGTGGACAAAAAAGTCTTTATAGAATTAGTCCGTCCGTCAGACGGACGGACGAGTGAACCGAAAGACTTTTGTTACAAGGCTGCGCCTGCTTACAAATTCAACAAGAAGAGAAAAGTTAACTCGGCATTTTCATCTTATAACTCCACTGGTAAGTATACGAGTACGCTTATATCAAAGACAACTTTTGATAAATCTCTAAGTAGCTCGGTGGTGTGGTGTATAAGTGCCGCGGCCCGTTATCGTGGTTGTTAAACAACTTTCGCAAGGATCGGTCATGGGATGGATTGCCAAAAAAAATATTATCTCAAGCTATTCCGTACTTTGGAAGGCACGTTAAGCCGTTCGTAACCTTTATTTTATTCTTGACTACATTTTTATTTCAATGAGCCGAAAAGAAAGAGCTCCAAAGTTTTAAGATGTCAAGTTTTAAGTTTCAATAATACATATTGTTTAGTTTCGAAATTGATTGCGATCTACTTGAATATTCTGACATATTTATGTTTTTAACCCTCTTGTAAACTGTCACAAATCATTCTTATAGCCATAACGGTATCCTTGAAGTACTACAAAATGCGCTGAAAGAATTACAACGTCCCGTTTTTGTCCGTGATTTCTTAAGTGCGGTTTTGGTACTCCAGTCTAAGCGTAAGATATTATTATTGTTTCCATATTCTGTTATGTATGTAGTTCCAAAAAATGTTTCTCTTTGGTAGGTACTGTAAACATTGCGATCTAAAACTATTATTGTGAGTTGCCTATTATTAATAACTACTTATACATTAAAAAAGAATACAGGAGTATATAACTCATTCAAAATGATATTCATTGTTTTTGTGGACGTTTCTTAAAATTTTCAGGAGTTCGCAGTATTTCAATACTTATATTATTTATTACATTATTAATATAATTATTGGGTTAAAATATATATGCCTACTCTCAATTTTTGTATTTTTTATTAAAAATGCTTTAAAAATCTACCTAACTGCAGCCACTACAATTTAAATTGATCAAATGTAAAATTACAACGTGATTTATCAATAACATTTATATTAGACCCAAAAATGCGGCAATTTGATCTGTGATGCTATTGTTTAAAATGACAGTTAATAGGGCATGTCGTAAGGCGTGTGAATACATTGGAAAAATCGATTCGAATTGAACCGAATTCGGTTATATAAAGTGTTATTTTTGACTCCACCGTTCTAAAAAGATTTGAAGCGTAGATATTTTTAGTTTATACGTATATGATTTATTATTCAGATATGTAATAGCACTCACTTTGAATTTTTATTCTAAAAAGATGAACAAAACTGGGATGACGATTAAAGTTTTTTTTTGCTGTCAGGTATATTAATAACATATTTTTTATTTTTTGCGTAATCAATAAATTATTGCAATACGTTGAGTTCAAATGTCAGAGGACGTCACACCTTTGTATATTTTTTACATATTTGTGACACATCTCAACTATAATTCCAGTTATCTTAATAATTTCTTGTTAACTTGAAGCAAAAAGAAATAAGTATAAATATTTTCTTATGGTAACTGACAGACTAAATAGAATTTATTTTTTTTCACCCAGACATCATCCCTAATGTTACCATTTACTTCCATGAAGTGAATATTGTCATTAAATACCTATATTCTAATTTTATTTAAGAATCCATTTATTTTGTTGTAGAAAGTTCTTTGAAGAGCACTAGTGATATTCCAGCGACAGTGTTGTTGTTGGATGTAAGTATTTAGATTTATCACTATTTATGTTGATCAAATATAATTAATTCGTTTTTTGAGGCTCGTATTACGTTTCCATCAGTTATTATTTTTAATATGTCCTTATTAATTACAATATATTACATTTTTAAGTAATAAGACTCGTAATATTCTGAGAAAAATGAATAGTGGGCATAAATAAATAAATGGAGTGGGTGTATAGCTGACTGAGGATGTGAATATGATGTGATATTCGACCTTGACACTCGACGGATGATCCGTTGTAATCTATACTTTCGTGATATTTTCCGTCAGATTAGAGAAACATACTAAATCTATATTTCATTATTTAGCAGAAAAACGAACAACACGAAGAAGACTTGAAAAATGTCAACATTTTTAATATTCCTCAAGTAAGTAATACATATATATTTTATATAATAATTAGAAAGGGAATCGATTCACTTACACTATGTAATAATAGTTAAACATATATTTTTTTATTAATAGGTATTTTTGTCTTCCATTTATAACTTGACGGTTCTCGGCGTCTCTATTAGGGTTGCCAAAATTTCTTCAGTGAAATACATATAGTATTGTGAGAAATAAGCTTATAAAATATAGAACACTTTAAAAAATATAACATGCCTATGCGGTAGGATATACATGCTATAAAATGAAATTATCTTTTAAGTAACTTTTGAATCATTCATTTTTTCTACGTTCAGAGCCTGTTTTAGTGGACAAGATGAGTAAGAGAATGAAACTTATCAGCTCATAACAGATTTTTGTACTATGTATGTTTTGTATTTGGTGTTAAATATAAAGTGTTATCTATCTACATACGCTATCTACTGGGAAGTCTGATTGATCAAGAATCAATGTAATAGGCACCTATATATTTGTTAGATTTTGGTACTGAAAATATCGTATTTTTACGTACTACATATTTCTCAAACAATATATAGAACGCAGGCTCAAAACACAGTACAATACTATATATTATGGTACGGTTGGCAACCCTAGTATTATTTGAGTATTTAACGAAATTTATAAAGTCTGTAGTTTTGTAAGTTGAAGAATAAAATTGATTTACACAAATGTGGCATGTAAAAAAGGTTCAAGAAAGGGTTCAAGGCATAAAACACTCCTTTCTTTCGATAGCGAATGCCAGAGAAAAAAAAACAATGGTTATTCTTACAGGATACAAGTGTTTTACACATGTTGTGCAAACGATAGAAAAGTTTTATTCCTTATTGAAAACAGAAATAAGAGAAAGCGACCTTTGTATAAACAAACGTGCTGCAAAAGTAAACTTACATAGTTATTTGTTGGCTTTAAGTTTTTGAGTATACTAATAGATGCTAAATTACAATATAGTTATTTACCGTTAATAGTCACTCTGTGTTAGTAATCGAGGTTTGTAAAAAAATTACAAATTTGCCTCCAAAATGCATATTTTTTTTTACTTTATCTCACAGTTCTACCCTTATTTATATAGAGATTTTAGAGCTACTCTATAGCTGAAAGCCTTATGTGTTTTACAATAATCGTAATCGTTTCAGAGTAATCATTTGAATATACGCGTTTATGCAAAATTCATTATCCTCTGTCCCTGTTTCAAGGTATTTTTTATATCAAAATAGGTTTGCAATACTATAAAAATTTTCAGATTCCGCAAATACCCATGTCATCCCCTTTAAGTTCGAGTGACTTGGGCGAAGCACTGTATGGGATCCAAACTGAAGGTAGTCCTTCCGAGAGTACCTTCTATGACAGTCCGATGTTACCTCAATCCATGGTTGAGCCGCCTGATTTACAACTAAACTCTACAGAACTAGAAAGAATACTTAAGGACAATGCTAGCATTCCAGCCGAGGAAAAAGAACAATTTTGTAATACAGATTGGTCAGGTAATAAAATATATTGGTAACCCATTAGACATTCCACTGGATACAATACTAGAACTCGTACGTATACATGACAGCTGATGGCCTATTCTATTTGTTCTCGATCGAAAATTTTGGAAAGTTTCCAATTATTATAATTATCGAAAAATGTGTTTCTTTGGAGGCGTATTGAATTTAATCAAAGTTACACCCAAACAGCATTTTAAAATTATCATAAATTTAGTTTTTTAACTGAATAATAGAGTATAGAAACAACAATATATTGTTTGTGTGGTTAGCTGCAGTTTAATTGAATATAAAAGTGGATGGTTAATATAATAAGCCCTTTATTCTAATATAATTTCTACATATTCCATATTTTTATTTCAGAGTATTTGAAGTCATATACAGATAGTCTGAGTGAGGAGGTTGGTATAAATTTGTAATGACTAGGAGTTGAAATATTTTTAGATCACAGTATAAATAATTGTGTTTTTAAAATTAGAATATAGTTAACAAGTATTTTTTTTTTCATAACACATTTCGAATTACATAATTAAAAGCAATCATTCAATTATCTAATTGTGTCTAAAAATTACTACAAATCATACTAACATTATTTAATTAATTGCATTTGCACATTTTAAAATTATATTCTTTGTTGTAGAATAATTCCTTTAGAATGGACATAATTCGATCTATGTTGACAACGGATTCTGGGCGGCCAATGGTAAATATGTATACTCTTTTACTAAATTCCTTCTTGAGATTCTTCGTAATCCTCCGTACCTCCGTAGCCGAGGTTTCTTCCTCTCTTAAGTCCCGGGTTCGATTCCCAGTCAGGTCAACGTAGAATACAGACTTTTTCATATTGTCTCAACCTCTCGTGCCTGGCTGTTGTGATACCTTTGATGTTTTAAAAACTCCATAATAGGGCTTTAGCTACTGATTTTGAAATCTGATCAATGTATATATATTTATTATTATTTATTTAATGTTTACAAAATTAAGTGTATATTTTTGTTTTCAGAAAACTGAAGCAAGCCCATCGAAGCCAAACAAATTTGAAGTGAAACAGGAAAATTCTGATTCAACCCCGACGAAGTCAAATATAGATAAAATAAAAAATAGTACAGAATATTCAGCGTTTTACACAGCAGAAGATGGAATGGAAGTCAAGAAGGTAATCCATACCATCACACACAGACAATACCATACAAAGATATCTCGTTGAGTATTTTCTTATAAAAGCTTTTTTTATTTATTGATTTCATTCATTAATCATTTTGTTATATCATATTAGTTCCTCATTAAATGTTTTGTTTATAACTTTCACAACACTTAATACATATTTATCTGTTAACTAATATTCAACTTTTTTAAAATTAAATTTGCGCTATTGAAAGGCTTTTCATTTGATATCCTTTGATTCAATTCAATAAAATTCAAGTGAAACGAAAATCTCGTAGATTATACCAACAACACTAGAAGTAATAAAAGTTATAAACAGTGGTCGGAATTAGGTAGAGTTATTCATGTACTTACACTGATTTCATACAGCGAAAGAATAAAGTGGATATGCCTCAAATCCCGAAATTAATTTTAAAGAGCAGAAAATACCCCGTGATTTTTTAAATAAAAAGTTATTTACTTTTACACAATTTAAACTACTGCACGCACGACGTTGCCAAACTGACATCAATGAAAGAAAGAAATAAAGAAATCCCGGGAAGGTCCACATTAATATCAACATTTCGATGCAAGTACATAAATAACTACCTAATTCCGACCTCTGGTTATAAAATAAAATTTATTTTAGACGCAGTTATTTAAAATATCTATTGAAGTCGGCAGTAAATATTAATTAAATAAACACACAAAACCTCTGCCCGATATCAATAGTTTCTTGAATATATGAACCATATTAATTTATACCCTTTTTAAGTCTTTATGAAGACAGTTTATTTTTTTCTCTGATTTTAGTCGATTTAAACGTTTTATTTGCAGGACCCAAACATTTCCATTTAGTACTAATATTATCCGTATACTAGCATGTCATACTAAGTTGGCTGCGCAACATTGACAACTAGATCATAGCGTCAAATTCAATTTCTCCCCAAATCATATTTATTTGTTTGTTTTTTTTTGTAACTTTATACAATATTATTAATGAAAAATGCTTAAAAAATCCACTTCGTCCCTGACATTCTGAGATGGGACTCGAATCCATGACCTCTCGTAATCTGGGCGACTACTCTAACCACTGAGATACCTAGAACCTAACAGGACTGACGAATTTTTCAAACAAATGTTACTTTTTCGCTAGTACTATTTCAAAATATTTAAAAGTAACTTCTTAAGAAACACAAAATGTGCAAAGAATTTTTGCTATTCGTTTTATTATTGTGTTGGCTAAATAAACACAAGTACTGTAAAAGTGTAATTTCGCCTTTTAACCCCCCGGACTCTTATTAATTCGCTCTGCCGCACTTAGAATAAATAGTTTTTATTCTCGAGTGCAATCTCGATAAACTCGCTAGATCTAGCCTATTTTTCAACCGAGATCAATCTCGTTAAATAAGGCCGAGATCTCGCGAGAACGAAATTTATGCAATCTACTTATTGGACGATTTAAATTTGTGCGGTTGCATCGCGCTGTAATTCGATATTTATGTCTTCTTGGTGATTACCTTTATTGTAATCACCAAGAAGAATACAACTTACAAAGAACAACTTGTAGCATAGTTTACTAATGCTTGTTGTCTGGGTGTTTATTCCTAAACATTTTTTTTTTTTCATTTTCATTTCATATAGCTGACAAAAATATTTTCGTTTCATTAGATAATAAGCATAATAACATAAAATCTTCAATTAATTCATCCATTGGAGGGGTTTAGGCCTTCCTTGTGAATAGTTAAGGAGGATTGGCCATGACCACCCACACTAGCTCTATTCATTCAGTTAATCGCTATCTATATGATAATAATAATAAATTTATTGTCAAACTGTGTACAGTAGATGTCACATAAACAAGTCGGATCCAAAAGCGCAGAGAGCTATCTTAGTAACCGCCGTCAATGTTTTAAAATGGATATCATCGTTAGCCATGATGAGAATCTCAATTTCGTTGTCCACCAGGGAAGCGTCTTAGGACCTACCCTTTTCAATATATGTATTAATGTACTTTGTAAACTCACTACCAAACTGTAGAATTTTAATTTATGCAGATGATACTGCTTTACGGTACAGATTGGGTAAATGTCCACGCTAATGTGAAATTCGCTCTGCATATTGTTATGAAATGGCTTTCCCTAAAAATATTAACATTAAATCTAACGAAAACCAACTTCATATGTTTTTCCCCTGCTACAGTGTGTTTACCATCCTTCCCGTTTCATGTCTTTGCTCATAAATCTCCTCCTTAAACTTGTATAAATTGTGAATGTTCTCAAATTACGCATGTAATCCAGATTAGATATTTGGAAATACATGTAGATAGTCTGTTGTCATGGAAGGTACAAATATAAAACACGGCTGGTGATATCAGAAAACTGATTTATCTCTTAAAAACCTCAGAACTGTAGCTGATTATGATACATCTACTATGCATTGGGACAGTCTATTCTTTACAAATCAGCTTATCTCCCCAAAATTGAGTTATATGCTTGCAACTTATTTTACGGAAACACGTTCAACTCGCATTTCCAACTACATATAAGTGATACGTAGCAGACGTAGATCAGTCTTGCCATGTAAAATCGAGATGTGTAGGTTATCTGTATGTGCTAAACATTTTAACTTCTTAGCTCCAAAATTATACAATAAAATTAATAACTTAATAAATTACATCCTTCTACTTCTCGAGAATGCAAAACTCTATTGGTACAGTGCCTAAAAACATTGTCCTACAGTGATACTGAGGACTTGTTAAAGAGTTGTATGTCAGCAGACGTATAGTGATGCATTGTGGTTTGTATAAAAGGGATGCACATAAACATAATATATAATACAAACAGACACAAACGTAGACTCATATATACATACTCATACTAACATTATGCACATACAGTACTAATGATAAGAATGCATACTATATGATTATAAATTTGAATTATCTGACTTTGTGAAGTGGAACGTTGTTGTATTGTTGGAACGCAATGGAGGTGGACGTTTGTGGCTGCACCGCCGAAATATATACTTCGAAAATTTTAAATCTCTATAGAAATCCAATTCATAATCAGCACCCATTAACCACTTCGTACTAATTAATGACTAACAAAAAAAAAAAAACAATAAAAATTACCCTGTTAGAGTATTTTCCGTCATCATCATCACTGTTCTATTAATGTCCCCACTGCTTGAGGAAAAGTTTTCTAAATGGAGCCATCCATAGGAGAATAGGAGAACGAGCCGTAACCTACCACGCAGGTCGAGTTGTGATTGGCGAGTGTTAACAACTGTGGCTGCACATGGGATCAGTGGCTTAACGTCCCATCTGAAGCACGGAATGCTCGATAGAATACATTATTCTGTCACTCTTCCTATGACTGCCCGTTGCGAAATTAGAGAATAAAATACGTGGCTATTCTTAAATTGTCACCATTATGTTCTAATTACTACCCATTGCTACAAAATCCAAATATTTACTTAATTTTTTGGTATTAAAATGAAAAATAATTTGTTTGTAGTTGGTAAAGGAGTTATGCGAGATGATTCGAATGAAAACTGGTATACAAAAGAAACAAATAGTCAGATCTAAATTGGATAAACTTTTCGAAATGCGACTATCGAATGGAGACACGTAAGTAATAAATAGCTGTGCTGTAACCTTGTGCTTTGACTTTGAAAATGACAGTGACCATACAAAAATACATTTAACGATTTTTAATCGAACCATAAGTCATTATTGCTTAGGCTAGAGAAAATCAAATCTACATATGAATATGTGTTTTTCTTCATTGTTTGATTTTTAATGATTCCATTGACAATGTTTTAACAAAATTATTGAGACTTTGGTGAAGCTTTATGATAATGCCGAAATTAGATACTTTTTTTGTATTGACCACTTGCATTTTAAAGGTGCAAATTTATAAATAAGATTGAATATTATTATAAGTAATTTCTTATATTGCAACATTGTGTGCGGTGTCTATCTCTCTTTACGTTGTATAATATAAAAGAGAGAGGAGAATGGAACAATGATTCACATATAAAAAGGTATAATTACAACAATAAAACAATTTGGAAGCATTTTTTTACACAAACATCCATTTTTTGGGATTCTTTTGTATTGTAATAAATTACATTTAAATACCTGACATGGATCTGATTTTCTATATAATATTTGCTTGTACTCAGAATTTGACCGTAACAAGGAACGAGTACACAAACCTCGCACATAATGTAATTAATTTGAAAGTCAAAGATGTATCCTCACAATAGCGGTTCGGCCTTTGGTTCGAACCATTGCTTTGACGAAAGTATGTGGCGCTAATTACACCTATTTATTTTACGGCCTTCTCATACTTTTCTTTCACTATCAATCATCATTCTCAGCACACGTCCGAGTACACTAACGAGTTTTATAACCATTGATTTTTGCTATTTTTCAATTGAGACGTCAAACCGGCCAACCAAATATAATACCTCCACGCCTTTCCACATTCACATAGGGTATCTAGAGACATTTTCATGGGCCAGCACCGCGTAACCTTACCTAACTGCGGCACAAAAATTTTTGCTACCGAAAAAATCGGGAGTGCCCTCCACTTGCCCTAATAGTGTTTACAGTAATCACATTCACATGCTCTGGTCGTCTTCAATCTTCAAAACATGGTCCAGTAATTCACAAGACCAGTTTTAAGATGTGGCTATGTCTGAGGTGCTGAGTTAGATTCCTGGCTGAGTCTCCATAATTTTAGATTTTCCATGATACCTATATTTTAGTCTTGTCAAATATTTAATATAACTAATTTAATCATGCTCTCTATGCAGAAACACATTTACAGTTTATTTGTTTTCAGATTTTTGCACATGACTTTATGCAGCAAAGAACCAAGCCTGGAATATATTGTTAAACTTATACATAGCATGAAAATGACAAATTTGCTCAATCTCACCAACAACCAGTCACAAACTATTCTTCATTTGGCGGTCATACATGATATGCCAAATGTCATACCTTTACTCGTGGAAAAAGGTCAGTAAATATTTTTATCCTATAATTTTTATATCATTGTATATATATGTTATATGTTGTGACGTTGTATATACAAAACTGTCGAATTCTCCCACTCAATTTAAAATTTATTATTAAAGGTAGAGGTCAAGATCCATTGCCGTTTGACATATTGTGGCAAGCTGACGTCTTCCTCATTGAGGAAGTATTAAAAAAAAGAAAGCACTAAAAAAGCACCTCACTAGATGGCGACTCTAGCAAAGTTGATTTTTGCAGGAAACGAATGGACCAAAGATAGTAGTTTCCGATCCTTTTAACTAACATATAAAACTGAAATTTGCAGTCCGAAACTTAAATATCAATATCGTTAAATACGAAAAAGTACAAATAGAATATGAGTTGTTTATTGAGTTTTGAAAATTAATTTACTTTTACACATGAAAGAAAACCGATTTTTCATGGAGAAATGAAGAAAGTACCGTAGCGACATCTAGTTTGATTTCGGGAACTAATGTTTTTTTTTATATACTTCCTCATTCAAATTAAGTATGTTATCGGCCTCGGCCTCATGCACATTAAATAAGTATGTATTTAACATACTGAGGTAGGTAGGTCGACGCACGCCTCTTAGAAGTGATGAAGCACGATCTGCTATTACAACTGAACTACGAAATTTCCCAAAAACTTTTCCTGTCAAATTTCATATCAATAACATGTATCTCATATGAGCCCTTGTTAGCTCGGTAGATATATTAAATTGCCTTTCTTGAAATGAAAGACGGAACAACTGCTTGAAAAACTTCTCGTGTTGTTAACCCGTTAAACCGTTTTTGATGGATATTCAGATTCGACAATACACTCGTCATGTCCAGATTTCAAATGTCTCTGTCTCTGGTGCCCATTCATTGTAAATGTAAAACTTATCAAGGTATTTAAAAATTATATTTGTAGGTTGCGACCCCATGATAGAAGATGCCGAGGGTAACAACGTGATACACAACGCTGTGATATACCAATCCTGTTTGGAGCCTCTACTGACTGCTCTCAAACGTAGTAGTGTACCCTTCAACATAAACGCGTATAACAACGGTAAGAAAAAAATATTTCATAGATTATATACCTGTTAGGTTTCATATTTCAATTAAAAATTTATCAGAATGTTTTTGCACTGAATGGAGAAAAAATATTTCCGAGCAGGTGAACTACAATATATTGTTATTAGTATTATCAGCCGTTTTATATAGAAAATAGATTATATAAGGTGTAATATTATTATATGCCTGGAGTTCGTGGGGTGTATGAGTTAAATATACTGAATAACAATTGCTATGGGAGCAACACTGAATGCACGAAAAAATAGTCAGCTATTTCATACAAAATTGCAATACCTTTAGTCGTCAACTGGTCATCCATCCCACATCCAGTCCTGGCACATAATAATATTACACCTCATATATTGAAATGTTTTATAGGTATATATATAATTCTAGATTAAATCACTATAAAGTGCACTGTCTTGACGGTCAACATTAATGAAACCCTTATCTTGAGATTTCCTGCCTTTTTCACAGATGGTCCTTCCATAATTTGATATTAAATTTTAAATTCTATTTTTTAAATTCTTAAATTCTACCTCTAATACATTAAAATTTAAGTGAGGTACATAGATTAGATGCTATTCTTTATTACGATTTCTATTTAATTGGAAAATTTGCAACTGTTTGTTAAAACTTTGTAGATTCCTTGTGCCTACACAATAGAAACGCTAATTTAAGTTTTATTTGCATTAGCGCCTTTTAATTAGTATAATAGGTACACAACAACACCTTTGTGTAATTGAAATAGATTAGCGTAGTCAAACAAAAACATCTTCTCTATCTATGCGATATTAAAAAGTATATTAAATTATGTCTATAAATTATCAAACAGAAAAACAAACAGCCTTACACTTAGCTGTTATTCATAAAAGCGCTGCGAGCGTAAGACAACTGATGAGGAACGGTGCGAGCAATAACGTGAGAGACAGTGGTGGCAGAACACCTCTGCATCTGGCCGCTTATGACGACTGCGTGGATGTCGCAAGGGAATTATTAGAATACGTAGCGCCCGTGAGTAAGAGTTTTATGTATCTGTAACGAGCCCTAATAGGGGTATAGACAACTCTTTTGATATTTTTATTTTATAGAAATACATAAAATATGTTTTAAAAAGAAGTATCTTTCATATAATAAATTAAAATTAATTTAATTTTCAAATATTCCCGCAAAAACGCCACTTCTGTTATGGCGTCACTATGACGTCACGGCCCTCTGATACCAATATCGTTATGTGTTTGCATAAGGTTGAATTCTCTAAGCTCTGATATGTATGAGTTAGAGGGGCGCGACGTCACGTTGTTTGCGGTCACGTGACAACGACTATATAATACGCTTAAAAGTGTAACTATAGGTGATAGAATATTAAACACTACTAGAAAAAAAATGTATTAATTTACGTTTACTGTCTACACCTGTATTCTGCTGATAGAAGCACTTGTTTTTATTTTAATTTGAATAAGCCACAAAACAAATATTTCGGAAAAAGTAACATGTTTCCTTTTTCCTTGCTTTAAATTAAAAATTTCACTTTGTAAACGCTGTCCACCATATCCATGATGTCATTTTGGATATGTACCAACATCTTCATCAAAGAGACATCTTATTCTGGCGGGTCGTGTTTCACATTTCAAGTCACGGCATTCACAGTAATATTTGAACATAATAAGAAAATATTCAAATTCAGAAAAAAATGTGACCTGCGGCTGGTTTCTGAATTGAGAAAAGTATAAAATCTCAATAACTGAAGTTTTTTACGGTTGCTATCAACTGTTCTGTTAAAAATTGAAATCGGAATCAAAAACCTGTTCAAGTCATGTTTGAGATTGTTTAGGTACGGTTTGAGACGTGCTTAACTTTAAATTCTCAATTCAGAAACTGGGTGTTAGTTTACACTACCGAAACTACCTTATCATGACGAGTAAATTACACATCAATAATAAATCTTTTTTGACACTATTATTGTTGTTACTGGATCACAAAACAATAAACAAATCTGGCACAATTCATATGCGAATAAGAAATTGCTCGAATAATATTGAACCTCAGGTAGAAATGGCAAAATAAAATTCATGAGAAGCTATTATTATGTTCACAATTCACATCAGCAGAAAGAATTAAGGCCTCGTCCATTATGCCTAGAGCACTGTTTCCTAACCACCCCATATCGTTGTACATAATATAAAAAAAAAATTTTCTTCTACTGCTACATAAAACACAATCGCTAGTCAAGATACGAAAGATTATATTGATTTTATTTTGATGATTTAGTCAAACATTATATCATTCACAGAGCGAGATCAATGCATTAGATGAAAGGGGATATACCGCACTTCAAGTGGCTTGTGATGGCGTTGTCAAGGAAAATACGTTGGATATTGTCAAACTATTGTTATTGAAAAAAGTAAGTTGGACTTGAATTATAGCTTTGAAAAAATATTTATTTCTAATCAACCTACCCAAAAAAAATTTATTACTTCGATCACAAGTTACTCTTGATCGATCAAATATTAATTTTATAAATTGATACGTTCAAATAAATGATACTGCATTTCAAATAATCTTTTGGCAATAATTAATTTTGATTTGTTAAGGCGGACCCTCAAAAGTGCGAAGACGGCAAATACTCGGCTTGGCATCTCGCCAAAGACAAGCCGTCCATTAGGGAGGTTATGATGACATATTTACCCGGTGGTGTCAATCCCGAAGATGATGACATCAAATCGGAACCAGAGGACGAATTCGAGTCCGCGGATGAAAATGTAAGTTTTTGCTTTTTTTTCATCCATTAATTGAACCCTTTTAAATTGTCATGTCTGTCTATCCGTCCTTATGTCAGCCACTTTAAACCGAAACTATTTGGACTGCACAGTGCAAGCTTGGTTGGTTGTCAAGTAAATAGAAATATAAAAAAATACAAAAAATAAATGGAATTGAAATAGAAAAATAAATCTTCGAACCTATATTGCAGGATGTTTATACAAAGTGCTTCAAAATGATATATCAAACCATTTTTTCTCAAGTTTGGAAAATGTTTTTAATAAAATAGTTTTATTTAATGAATATCCATGTAAAATTATGTATTTTAATAATTTGATTACATGATGTAAAGAATTTTCGAGATAATAACATTTTTTTTAATTTTCGGACTTTTAATAAATTGGCCGTGCCAACTTGGGTGCTCGTGTAAATACGAGACCACATATATTTTTTCATTATATTAAAATATATATGTACCTTGTAATTTTCTCTTTATATGTAAAAGCCACTAACGTGACATTGGCTGAATCGTGTAAACGCAAATATGTCGTATATTAAAAAAAAGAAGATGAACTGAAGTATATAAAGCATAGACAAATATTGCCTAACTAAGCAAGTACTTAGTAAGGCATTACCTAACGTTACTGGTTAGGTGAAACGACAAAGCTATTCTTAATATTAAGTGATTTCTAGTTTAATAAATACAATAACTGAGCGATCAAAAAAGACACAAAATTATCGCATTTCACAATATGTTTTACTTTTTGAGATTATTTGTTTTTCTAAATTTGTATCTATCATATAAATTGATTGAGTAAGTGATAGGTAAATAAGTATTACTAAAAAAATTTTTTAAAGTAAATAATAAAAATGGATATTCAGGAAATGCCTGAAGGCGGATTGACTGAGCTCTCGCAGTACGTCAGCGAGTTGTGTCCGATATTGGACGCTAGCGAGAGTTGGCGGCGACTCGCGACCCGTTTTCAGCTGCAACATCTGTATTCCTGGTACGCGAACACTAGCAGCCCGACGCGAACTCTACTTAATTATTTAAAGGTAAATTAATATTACACAAGATCACCAACACGTGTTACTGAAATCTAAAACTACGAGTATCACGACCTCTGACGCGAAACAATGTAGAAAATCATCATCCCCAACTAGCAAATTAGTCATATAAGGTAAAGTTTATTCAGCTTTTCGGTGTTATAAAAGTCGAGTAAGTGTGAATTATTCAGCACGTATCGTATAAAAGCATCTTATATAGCTTTTGAGTTATTCAGCATTTCGGTCACATAATGATGCTGAGTAAACGTTTAGTCAGCATCCTTATATGACTTAAGTGTCATATAATATTTTGCTGAATAAGTCGCTAGTATACGACGCTTATGTTACTATTTTGTCGAGTAAAAGCATATTATATAGCTTTCTTATGGCAAGGTTGACTCAGTCGAGTAAAAGCAACATTGTTGCTTTTATACTTCTATTATGTAGTATACGTCGCATTTATACGACTATTACAAGCCTAAAATGTCGTATAATTGTATCCATTACACCGATCAGATTGTTTTGTGTAAAATGCTTTTTTAGAAAACTTTTTAGGAAGTTCGAAGGAACCCTAAACTATAATCAAAGTGGTATCATGGCGCTCATACTGCTAATTTGCTGTATAAGAAGCTATTATACCGCCTGTCAGCAGTAAAAATGGTATACAAAAATAATATTGATATAAAAATATTTGTTATTATATTCATATTACTAAGAATTAAAGGGGGGCGTTAAATATTTATGATATAACCTAGTATATTTCCTCAGAAAACTTACCTTCGCAATACTTTACAACCCTATGCGTGAGTTTACGAACCTACAAATTAACATGTCTGCTAAATAAATTGTACTTATCGATGAATTATAATTTTTAAAACACAACACTTCGAAGCACTTGCTTATTTTATTTACTATAAATGTTTTCAGCTGTTTTGTATCCCAGGTCGCTTCAATAAGACAAACATGTCATATAAAAGTCATATAAGTTACAGTTATAGCGCAACATAAGCTTGTAACAGTCACTCCGGCGATAATTACGTGACGATTTACCTGAATAAGTTACCTTTATACGATGTCTATGTGACTGAATTGCTGAATAAAATGGGCCCAAATCGCGTTGTATAAACGTTTTCATTACGTTTATACGACTTCTATTAGGAGCCAAAATGCTGAATAATTTTCGTTGCCGCGACTACTATACGACATATTTTTGCTAGTTGGGTCTACCTTGACACTACCGGAAATCAGACTTGCGATCTTATAGATACTGGCACCATGACATACGAGCCCCTCAAAATCGGAGGTCGTAAAATATTTTTTTAAATCTCACCATTTAGACTCACTGCGTGGGCCCAGTGTGGTTTGGTGGGTGCTAACAACTGAAGATAGTATTTCTTTTCACAATAATTGTATGTTTGTTGTATCACATAGTAAATTCCTATATTGGATATAGAATCTGTTCTCTACGTTTCTGTTGCACGTCCAGTCAGACCCTTTTGCGTACCGTTAGCAAAACAGTCCGGGCCATTCGCTATTATAGATTCTATTATTTTAAGAATTTTTGTAATTGTTATGTTGGGTTGGTTTATCTTTTTGTAACTTGTGAAAAGTGTTAACTCAGCTTACTGAGTTAAAATATAACTATTGTTTTATTGTGGACGGTACCAGTTGATGTTGTCTATTATGATATTAAGTAAAGTTAGTATAAAACATACTTACTTTATAATAGTCGCTTCCCGCTTACAAACGTACGCTGAGATATTGACTAATACACGACGGATTTAATGTGGTTACATCTATATATTGAGCATGGACGTAGTATTTTAGAATAGGACAGAGCACTCCCAGCTGAAAAGCGAGCCGAGTGAGATATCAAGTACAGAGGCTTTTTGTCTCTTTCAAATAGGGTGACAATAATATATCTTTGACTTTTCATATGGTTCACTTTTTAACTACCGCGGCTATTATCGTACACAAAAGTCTTGTAAAACTTTTTGTTGCGATAAATATATTTTTATTATTTATTTTACATACTCCTCTCAGGCTCTTCATGTAATTCGATCTCGTTGAGAGATATCGCTCGAATCGCGTGTCCATTCAAATTGGATGGAGAATCGCAAGTGTTTGTTTACTAATAAGAATCTGTCAATATCGGTAACAAATCTCCTCGACATCGAATTGAAAACTCGTGGTCTGCGATATCGTTTCAATTGTGTGACTGCTCGATCTACTCTCGATTTTCTGTTCAAGGAGCGATGTTGTGCAATCTCAAATGCACGGGTACTAATATAACCAATTATGGAAATATCCCTATAAACAAGCGAACATCTCGGTGGTGTAGTGGTTTTTGATCTGCGATTGCGGAGATTAAGCCACGATCGCAATGGACTGAACTGGGTAGATCGATTTTATCCATTAAGAATGCCGGTGCTTTAGCACCACTAATCTGAACTGAGACCTTTACGTGAGCCCAGTTAGCAATGCTAGGTGGATTGGTTTCATCCATTAAGTATATCTATGTTTTAACACCACCAACCCGCATTGGGACCTACACACGGGCCCGGTTGGCTTGATGTGGAAGTAGTTAGCGGGTTTGATCTGCGAATTAGACCATTTTGTTTATAAGAGAAGAAAAGAGAGTAAAAACCCGCTAGATGCTGCGCCTCGCACCACCATGCCACATCCCGCAACGCCTGCCATGCTCCTTCACGCTCAGCCAAATAAAAAAAATTGTTGCCTATCCCATTACTAGCCTTTACGAACGTCGCTTTAATTTCGCAATCGCAGAACAAACACGTTAACCAGTTCTACACAAAACCGTAACACACAGAACTTATCTCATAAATAAAAATATATTGAATTTAGAAAATGTACTATATTACGGATCTCCAATAAGTCTGTATTGCCTCGCGCTCCATTGGTACGATGCAATTTAATTCGACAAACGATTCGTTATCGAGCCATGAGTAAAGAACCTTGGGATGAGGAGGTCTCATACCATTAAATTTATATACAAAATCTCAAAAGAGTCCAGGCCAACGTCATATCATATCAGAATATATATATATATATATATTTCTTGATGTTTTTATATATATATATATATAAAAACATCAAGAAATACGATCATACCGCGATTCAAAATGACAGTACGTCATCTGTTATGCAAAATTAAAACTAATTTATATATGAATATTTATGTACTAATTATCTTTTAAGGTATATGTAACTCTATTTATTGTTTATTATTATGGAATACATTTTTTTATCTGTTTATATTTTATTTATGTAGCACATGAACACAGCACATGAATATTCTAATAAACAGTACAAATATTAAAAATACAAAAAAAATGTTTTATGAGGTTTTATAGTCCAATTTTACCGTCGAAATTTCGTAACGAATTAAATTTGTTTTCGTTTGTTGAAATATTTTTAAACCCTTTCACAATGAGACATTTTTGTCGCATTTCTTCATTTTTCAGAAAACTAATAATACTTTGCTATGATCACATATACATCATCCACATATTACAAGATTTCATCGTAAACATAGTTGTTAGATTTACAATGTTATCGTTTTTATCTTGATCGTGAAAAAACGTATTGCAACCAGTACAACATTCACTTGGACAAACAATAATGAACGCAACACTTTTCTCTAATTTAACATTCGGAATGTATTAGAAACTACTGAATTAAAAATACCAATTACTATGCGTAAATTATATATAATATGGCACCGTCATGACACTCCAAAGGGATACCAGTAGAACAAATAGCCTTGATAATAATTAGTATTATCTTTTTGTATTAATATTAACGAAATAAACGTGACTATATAATTAAAGTCTTAAAATAATTTATAATAGCAAAATGAAAGAACAAGACACACGGCCTTCGTTATGACTTATGACTATCTTTCTCGGCTCGGATTAGCTTCCGTACAGAGAGCAATGAAAAGTATACTAACAATAAGATAGTGATAAAGTTTACTTTTGTATTGAGGAAGTATTTAAAAATAAACATTAGTTCCCAAATCAAACTAGATGTCGCTATGGTACGTTCTTGATATCTCCATGACAACCTTTCCGGTTTTCTTTCAAGTTTAAAAGTAAAGTTTGAAACTTAGATATCAATACTACAAAAGTTTTAATTGTAGTATTGATATCTAAGTTTCAAACTTTTCAAATTTCAATTTTTTATATGTTAGTTAAAATGAACGGAAACGTCTGTCTTTGGTCCATTCGTTTCCTGCAAAAATCAACTTTTGCTAGAGTCGCCATCTAGTGAAGGTACTTTGTTAATCCTTTGGTTTTGATATAGTACTAAGTCCATGATATAAAGTGACTCAAGAGGAAGGTTTTAATGTATAGTACAGGATTACGTGGGTGACGCTAGCTAGCGTAAATGCGATAACATTGTGTTTTCGTTTCAGGAATGTGGCAACAATATAACTTCAAAGACTTTAGCGACAATTTTGGATGAGATTGGAGAACGTGAGGCTGCAAATATTATTCGACGATATATTGATTAAGTGTTAATTTTTTGTTTCATGAAATCAACCTTTTTTATTAATGAATATGAATTTACATGTGTAGTGTTCTGCAAATGGAATTTATTCTATAATCTATTTTTATACATTTAAAAACTGTTGTATTTTATAAATGATTATTAGAAATTAATAAAAACAACCGCTTTGACACTGAAGTTTTCATTTTATATGGTAAAATCATTCGCATAATTTTATTCATACAAAGCATCTTTGTATTACGAGCGGGAAATTTTGGTTGAGAATTCATTATACTCCATTCATTATAGCATTAGACAGAATGAAAATAAGGTTCTTTTTATGGTACACATTTTGACAAAATATCAACAATCATGTTACTCTTAAGACTAACGGCTAATTTGCTACATATCCACTTAATTACCAGCTGCTAAACTTAACCGTTGTCTTTTAAGCTATATATTAAACAAATTTATGAGTATTTGAAAAGTGTTCATCTAAAAGAACCTAAAGAAGCAGGGTTAGATAGTTTCGGCACGATTCTCATGTCACTATAACTCTACCAAATTTAAAACGTTGCCTAATTCCTACAAACGTTTCGGCAGTGCATTTTTTTAATTTTTTCAGATTATGATTTATTCATAATAGTCAAAATACGTAATCTGGGATTGTCATTAATTGTGAATGCTATGCCTTTCTTGTTGTTTTGCCATTTTCGGTGATTGAGTTATTACTGTTTTATTGTTGTTTTCAGTTTTAGTTGTTATCTTTTTGTTGTAAAGTTTTGCTAAATATGGACGATTCCGGTGAAGGCCCGAGTGGTCTACAACAATTACCTTTGACATTTCAGGAAGTTTTTCCAATGTCTTAATCAATAGTCTAATAATATCTGAATAAATGTTATAACACTAATAATAAAAATTTCATTTTGTTTACCTTTATTTTCTGGGCATAGATATAACTAAATTATATACACCTACAATTAGAATTTATCAAAACAACAGAAAGATAGTTATATTTCCATGTTGGCTCTCAGTAAAAGATGAATTTAGAACATTCTAGTCTCATCTCAACCCCGAGAAAATGTAAAATTGCCCAACTCTGTCAGACTGCCTAACGTTACAAATTTCAAGAAAACTATAATAAATATTTTTTAAATTTATCTTGTAAATTAAATGTTCTGCACTGCTACTTCTGAGATCCACTTTTTTCTAATGTTATAATTAATGGAGTATAAGTGATTTCAAAATCCAAAAAGAGGAGGTTATATGTTCAACGGTGATGTATTTTTTTTGTGTATGTTACCGATATTTCCGTCAATTGTTAGACTATTATCAAAATTCATTTTCATTCGATAGCATAACTAAATATTGAGATCATATGTATTGAATTTCATCTCAGCTAAAAATAAGATTGTGTATTATGAATTTGTTCATGTATATATTTAAAAAAATAGAAATGTCAATCGATTTCTTCTAGAATTGTGAACCAATTTCTATGAAACTAGCTGTCTTCCCGTGACTTCGCCTGCGTAAATATAACCTATGTCCAATGCGTATTATGTAGCTTCCCGTAGATGGACTTTTATAAATCGGTACGAGTTTCGCAGCCTATCGAATGCAAACAAACAAGCAATCAAATCCTTCCTCATTATAATATGAGTATAGAATTATTGGAAAAATTATGTCCAGCAAATAAACAAAATCTCTTTTCTAAGATTTAGCATGCTGATTATTTTTATTTATATAGACAATTTTAATATTACCTATTATTTAAAAAAAAATACTTAATCAAAATCACTAAAAAGCATGACATAAAAACTTTTTACCAAAAATAGAACTGTCTCCAAGATTTTTATTTTTTTTTGTATTTTTTGAGTCCAATGAGGAAGTTTTAAAAAAAATAGTCCCTGAAATCAAACTAGACGTTTCTACGGTAATTTCTTGATTTCTCTATGACAACCCTTTCGGTTTTCTTTCATGTATAAAAGTAAATTAGTTTTCAAAACTTAATAAACAACTCATATTCTATTTGTAATTTTTCGTATTTGTATTGGTATCTAAGTTTCGAACATTTCTAATTTCGATTTTTTAATATGTTAGTTAAAAGGAACGGCAATGACTGGCTTTGGTCCATTCGTTTCCTGCAAAAATCAACTTTTGCTAGAGTCGCCATCTAGTGGAGGTGCTTTTTTAGTGCTTTCGTTTTTTTTAATACTTCCTCATTATCAAATGAAATCTTAAGAGTGAAACGTTCATTAAATTTATTATTAATTTAAAGCGACATTACCCATATAAATTTGACATTCATTAGAGCTTAAAGGAGTCTTTAAACCTTGATGGAAGTTTATGCAACTTGCCGAAAAAAGTGTGTCAGTTGACCAAATTTTAACATCTCAAGCTAATCTTCACATGTGACCTTTGTAACATTAAGTACATTGTGTTCAGATTATTATCGAATTATTTTGTAATTTAGGAAGGGTTACATCCCTTTAAATAAACGTTCTCGGGATATGGTTAGAGATGCCTGGTGTATAACTTGGTGTATATGGTGTGAAATATTCTGCCATTGTGGCCATGAACGTGCCCTCTGAGTGCAATTTTAGATTTTCATACCCAAAAGGTAAAAGCGGGCCCCTATTACTCCACTATCCATCCATTTGTCCATCTACCAGACGTTCTTTCATGAACCGTGATAGTAATTCAGTTAAAATTTTCACAAAAATGTATTTCTGTTGTTGCTATAACAACAAATAAAATAAAAACAGAATAAAATAAATATTTAAGAGACTCTCGTACATTCAACCAACGTATTTTCTGCGTTTTTCATAGATTGTACGGAACGAGGTTTTTTCTAAGGCTTTTCGGGTGTAAGCTTTCCAAGCTGCGGTACCCAAAGTCAAAAATAGCCGACAGTAACTGACAGTTATTAAAAAAAATATATCGATCCTATCAGTCGATATTGATGTCTATAGAACTCGATATCAATATTTTATAACCCCATACATCTCTAGTGACAGAGTATTATTGTTCTGTGCTAGTGACTTAATGACATTGACATTTTTTGCATTTGCGAAAATCGTGGAAAATAATAGATACGAAAAATACGTATTAATACTAGTATTTTGTAATGAAATAAAACTACAAGTGTCCAAGAATCTTAGAAAAAAAAATTGAATTATTTATCTTATTCAATTTTATTAGGAAATTATTGATGTATGGAATGAAAATGTCGAGCACTTTTTCAAAAACAGTAAAAGTTAATGTAAATGTGCCCCGGATTGCTAGCTTGTCCTCGCGCCCAACAGCTTCAGAGGTACTAACTGCATATCTAATACAGTGTAACGAACCACCTTGGACTTCCTACTTTGTAAAGGTATAGTTCTTAATTTCTTTTCTATTAAAATAACTATTTCTGTTCATGTTTTATTTACCCAGTATGTAAATTGTTACAACTTACAAACTTATTTTGAAAAACTAAATAGTCTTTTTACAAACCTATTTTGAAAAACCAAATAGTTTTATTACTATATCTTATTTTTTCCAGTACAGTAGTGTGAAAGATGATCAGTTTGGGATGTCAAACTTTAACTGGATGGTTGGTAGATCTAATTATCAAATATTACGAACTGGATGCTTCCCTTACATTAAATACCATTGCTCAAAGAAAGAAAAGGAAGATCTTCAGGTGTCAGATAAATTCATGAGAGCTGTGAAAGTTGTGAATTTAGGTTGGTATTATAGTTTTATCTTTAAAATTGTTCATAACTTTATATATGTTCATCAAAATTTTACAGTTTTAAAGTTATACAAAATTTTGAAATGCATCAGGAGGACCCAAATTTTTTAATAAGATGCTGTGGAATGTTTAGTCAGCCTGCAGAAAGGTTGGCTACTTAAATTTGCACAATTTGTATAGTTGGCAACTAGACAACCCCTATTTATCACAAGAAGACAGGTCTCAGCACCAATTTAAAATAAATTTATGGTGTGGAATTATTAATGGTGCAATTGTTGATCCTGTTGAGCTTCCACTGACATCAACCAACACAAATTTAAAGGCACCCTACCCAGACTCCTTGAAAATGTCCCAAGTGAGCTGAGAGAAGAGATTTGGCTGCAGAATGATGGGTGCCCTGCTCATCATGGCTGGCAAGTGACAGTCAACATAGAAGAGGTTCATCCAGGCAGATGGATTGGGTGTTTGGGACCAATACTGTGGCCACTTAGGTCTCCAGACCTAAACTCCCTTATTTTTTTTTATTGGGGCTGTATCAAAGATAAAGTTTCCAAAAATACATGCTTAGCATCTTGTTCTTAAAAAGAGGCTAAGCGTGTATTAGGGCACAAATTTATTTTTATTTGAATACATTTTTATAAAAGTGAAGTCTGTCATTTTTTACGTCACTATGTCCCTTGAGGTTTAAATTAGACACCCTTTTTTGCATTTTATTGTTGCATATTACTTTCCCAAACTTGTTTTATATTAATTTGCGTAAATAAAGCAGCTATTACTTACTCTTCTCAAAATTTTTTTTTTTTTTTTTTTTTTTTTTTTTAATATTGCTATTTGCGATCGGTCGCAAGACCATAAGCGAATATGTTGATGTAGATGGAGATTGGTTTAGTGAAGTGGTCAACACCGCTTCTACTAATTAAGTATGTGGTCTCTTTTCAACCTCTTCACCACTTTCGATGGGTCCAACAACTCTGCTATAAGAGGATTTGGGTGATTTTTTAGACGATCCTTGTGTCTTTTTCGATACAATTCGATTTCAGCGGCCACTGTTGGCATGTTCAAATATGCATGGATTTCATCGTTCTTGGTAAACCAGGGAGCATTTACAATATCCCTCAGTATGCTGTTTTGTACTCGTTGGAGACATAGGACATTCGACTTGCAAGCCACACTCCATATTTGAATCCCATATGTCCAGATCGGTTTTAAAACTGAATTATATATCAGCAGCTTGTTGTCGACGGACAGTACTGAGTTCCTTCCCATCAGCCAGAGTAAGCTTCGATGCTTTGTGTTAATTTCGTTCCTTTTATTCTTTATGTGATTCTTCCAGGTCAAACGTCGGTCAAGATGGAATCCTAAGTATTTCACGTTGTCAGAATGTGGTAGGATATCATTTCCAAGTTTGACTGGGGCGCAATTGCCTTTCCTCAAAGCGAATGTGACATGTTGAGACTTACTAGCACTTGCGCGTATCCGCCATTTTGAAAGCCACCTATGTGTCGCATCAAGCTGCTTTTGCAAGTTATAGCTGGCTACCCCAGGGTCAGTGTCGGTTGATAAGAAGGCAGTGTCGTCAGCGTAGGTTGCAACAGTGATGTTATTCAATACCGGTAGGTCATGGGTAAATATAGTATATAGTACTGGTCCAAGGACCGACCCTTGAGGAACACCAGCCTCGATTTTGTAAAGGCTTGACCTAGCTTCGCCTTGTTTGACCTGATATGAGCGCCCTGTTATGTACGATTTAATGAGAAGGAACATTGAGTGTGGCAAGTTATTCTTTACTTTGGCCAAGAGTCCCTTGTGCCAAACTCTATCAAAAGCCTGCTGTACGTCCAGAAAAGCCGCCGAGCAATAAAGCTTATTTTCGAAACCTTGTCGTATAGTGTGATAAATTCTGTGGACTTGTTCGATCGTTGAGTGTGCCTTTCTGAAGCCAAACTGATGAACTGGAGTAACACTACATTCATTCATGGCCGGTAGAAGTCGCGAAAGGAATGTTCTTTCCCAAAGTTTTGAGAGCACAGGCGTCAAACTTATAGGCCTATATGACGACGTTTCATGTTCAGGCTTTCCTACTTTGTGTATCATCACTACTTGTGATACCTTCCAGAGTGATGGAAAGTGGGATGTTCTTAAGATGGCATTAAATAAACAAGTAAGGAAAGTGACAGTTTTTTTGGGTAGCTGTTTAAGTATCGTTGGCGTTATAAGATCAAAACCTGGAGCTTTTTTAGCGTCAAGGTTTCTTATCTCTCGTGCTACCTCTCTCGGCGATACTGGCTTGATTGGTAGGTGCATCTGTAGGTCTCTACTCAGGACTTCGTCTACTTCTGTTTCATCCGATAGCTGCTCATTGGGTTTGAACACTCTAGACAAGTAATCTGCAAATGTCTCAGCTTTTTCCAGGTCTGTTCTTGCCCATAAAGTCGTCGTTAAAGGGGATTTTATAGGAGGACATGGAAGTTGAGGTCTCTCTAAGTTTGAAGCAGCTTTCCAAAGCGAATGCTGACTGCAGCCTGTCGGTGATAATCTGCAAATGTTTTCGGTGATGGTTTTGTTCACAGAGCTCTTTATGGCTATTTTTAATTCTTTAGCAGCTTTGTTGAGGATTGATTTGTCAGCCGGTAAGCGAGATAAGTGCCAGTTTCTTCTGAGACGTCTTTTCTCCATGATCAGTTGCTTTATGTCAGATGAACAAGCAGAACTTTTCAAGTTGAAATTTCTTTGTGACGTATTAGCCCAGGCAGCCACTTGAATGAGGTTGGTTATGTATTTACATGCCTCTTCGACCTCGTCTGCATCTTTTAACGATATCTTAAGATTCATGTTTTCGTCAAGATAGTTTTTAAAGCTTTCCCAATCTGTTTGGTGGTTGGTAAGAAATTCTGACTTCTCTCGAAAAATCACATTTGTACTTAGCGTTAGAATTGCCGGTGTGTGATCTGAAGACCCGTCTAAACAAGTCTCTGTATTTGTGTGCGAGCTAGCTACACCGTGGGTCACAAAGAAGTCCAAGAGGTCAGGCAATTTTCTAGGATCGCTAGGCCAATATGTTGGTTCACCTGTGGAAAGTATTTTTAGGTGCTTATTGTCTGCGCAGCGTTTGAGTTCGCGCCCTCTTGTAGTCACAACACGGGAGCCCCAGAAATGGTGCTTCTCAAAATTATGTTAGTTTAATTCTTTCACAAAATAAGCTTCTATGGGACTAGTTAGAAAATTTCAACAAAACATTTTTTTTCTTGAAAACATTCTTGTTTTTCATAGAAAAAAAATGGGTAAAGTAACTTTCGCATAATTTAATGTAAAAAAATACTAGAAAAAAATTGTTTCAATGTAGAGATTTTTCAATATTTTGGAAAATTTTGATAACTTTAAAACCATAAAATTACGCTGAACATATATTGAGTTATTTTGGTAGGTATTAATGAAAGCTATCACTCCCTGCGGTCTTACTATTTCCTGGACACCATGTATATATATTTGAAACAAAATTAAATAGTTAAAATGATGCAGCCACCCAGTAAATAATTTGCAACTCCCAAAACCAATATGCAAGCCACTCCACTATGCAAACTTTATAATAGGTATATTACAATAAGATTATGTTACTGAATATATTTCACCTTGTACTTCCTAAAGCTGAACATGGATTTAATTGACTGCGTTATATTATCCAGGTATACCCTGTCTGCTCTATGGTCTGGCTGCTACACAACTTATAAGGCATACAGAAATAGTTCACACTACCAAAGGCCCAGTCAAAATATACTTTCTTTTACCAGAGCATAAAGGTTCCCGTTACTAATGGAAACTGACACTGTAAAAATAACTGTCAAGTTTGATGGGTATATCTTTTACAAAATAAAATACTACTGAATGAATGTGTTTAACCAACTCATGTATTATACCAATTTTTCAAGTCTTTACGGTTTGTTGTAAGTAGCATTAGTAAGGTGAGAGTAAAGAGTGTATCTAGTAAGTTTATAATTAAAGTCTTTTTACTGTTAACATTTTCATTATCATTGATAAATTAAGATTCATAATTCTAGTTTCGGTTCTAAATTTTGTAATTCGATCGTATAGATCAGGCGTGGCATTGTATATATTATTATTAAATCACAAATATTAGTTTTTGTCCAACATAAATAGTGCATAAAAAAGTTTAGATAAAATATTAAGCAATATTATATACACATTATATATAATATACACATTATCAGGGTCGGTGGGAGTCAAAATTTTCTCCTGGACAACCGCTCTTTTCAGCGCTCTCTATTCGAAAATATAATTATGATAATTGAACAATTACAGTATGCACAATAATTGCACAATTTGATTAGTTATTGATATATATACTTGATAAATAAATATTTTAATTCAAAAATGTTGGTTTTAAAAATCCTTAGCAAAAAGTAAACTTAAAATTAGAAAAAAAAAAACTGTTTGGCCCAAGGTCAAATTTTCATCTTCGATGTGGCCCGACTATCAAAATATTTGCCCACACCTGCACGCGTAACATGACAAACTCGAGAAATGCTTTGTCTACACTTTGTCAGTTTCTCGGGTCGAGAGTGAAATATGGTATAGGCGCATCCATGATTTGCTACCATCAAAAGTTCCACGTCCAACAAATATAAAATGTATCTTGAGTATGGAGAATCCCAGCCCATTCAAAATTTTAGCTAAATTCTTTGCAATCAATAATAGTCTTAATTTATAAATATATTTGTTTTCTATATACAGTCTATTTGTATTATCTTTAACAATGTAATCAGATAGACGCGCTCAGAGCTATTTTTTTTTATTTTATTTAAATTCAAAATTTTACATATTTTATTATTGTTTCTATACGTGTAAAGACCACAAACGTGACATTGGCGGAATTGTGTAAATGCAAATAGGCCATGAATTAAAAAAGAAGAAGAAGAAGAAGAGAAAAGTGACATTTGAGTGTAGACAAAACGTTCTCGAGTTCGTCATGCTACGCGTGCTGATATAGATTTATCAGTCTACAATTTGTATGAAGAGATTGTAAAGCATTTCTTTTTTTTATCTATAAAAAGGGATTATATAATCGTGATTTTAACACCTCCTCGACACTAACGCCCGCAGCGGAGTCCCCTGAGGGTCTTTAAAACAATGCTGGCAACCTAAAATATAAAATAATGAGATGATAATTAATTATATTCAACCCAACCAGAATACAATAGAGTATTCGACACTTTTCTGAAAACTATTTTAAATCGTTGCTTGCTCTATTATTTGTTTATTTATTGTTATTTATTTATTGTTATTGTTATTTATTGTTATTTGTTGTTTATTTATTCTCCTCACAAAAAACTTTCGTGGATTTCGTGGATTTTTTAAAAAGCTTAGTAAATGATTCTTACTTTCTGTATTTCTTTTTGGCAGTTCTTATCAGCAGAAGAGCAAGGTATGCTGTTATCAATAAATTATTATAAAGTACTCGATAACCTACAGGCATCGATATTTTATGTATCTTTCTATCACTACTTTGACATGACATCTAATGACGTCACAGGCCAGTAAACAGAATCGAGATTGGTTGTGACGACGACCAATTATATGACGTTTTCGTCGTTCAATAAATTCCTAAAAATATTGCATTTTCTTTACGTTATTTTACTAAATCTAAACATGTTTTTTTTGCAGATGTTAAGAAATAAGCTTTATTAGATTATTATCTATTAGGATGACCACAAAATGAAACTTATTTTCGATAGTATCAAATACCCTATTCGTTCCGTTTTTTTAATTTTGGCAATCATGTTCTTTATTTTGAGGATTCCGTACCCAAAGGATAAATCGGGAACCCTAATCGGGAATATTACTAAGACTGCTCTCTGTGTGTCTGTTACCAGGCTGTATCTCATGAAACATGAAAGTAAGACAGTTGAAATTTTCACATATGATGTATTTCTGTTGCCGCTTCAATAACAAATACTAAAAACAAAAATATAATAAATATTTAAGGGCGTACCATACAGCAAATGTGTCTTTTTAAAACTTGTTTATCAATATCAAGCAAAAACAAGTAAAAAAAGAGACGACAACAGGTAGACACTTGATATATTTTCAGAACAGTTAATTTCGCATTTATAAGTATGAATATGGATGTACGGAACCCTTTGTGCTCAAGTGCGACTCTTACTTTGCAAGTTTTATAAAATGATTTATTTTATTCCTTTTAGTAGGCAGTCAATTATGTATGCATAATATTTATATTTGGAATGAACTCATTGAAACCTTTAATTTGATACCAATATTGTTTTTCAATGTAATGTAATTAAATAAAATGTTATTTATCAATTTCACTTACAAAAAGACAAATGCATTGCGTTTATTATTATATATTTTCTGAACATTAATAATTATACCTATTTCGCATTACCGCGCATACGTTCCCCGCACAAGCACGCTATCGCCCGCATCTCTTGCACGAACCAGTAGGTACTGTGGTGAATATAAATAAAATAGAGTAGAGTTTATACACTACGTAAATTGATAATTTTATAGAAGTGATGTATAGTATAGGTATGGCGGGCTTATTTTAATTTGTTTGATTCAATTCCATGTATATTTCTTCCCACAACCTTGTTTTTAATTGCCTATCATGTTAGTTTCCCTGAAATTTGTCCCTTACCCCTAAGGGACAAATTTCAGGGAAACAAATTTTTAATTAGCGTTATTAAAAATTTGTTTCCCTGAAATTTCAATATCAATTTCGTCATTTTCAACAGCCGCCGAGTAAACGGAAGACGAACCACGTGACATCTTTTTCCACCGCTAGTGCTGAGTGGTGCTGAGGCACGATTGAGCAATCGTAAAAATCTGTAGTAAACGCGATTTTTTCTCCCAAGTGCGGATATATGATTGAATGTGTTGCATAATTGCGATTTTAATACGCGCGAAATAAAATCGCGATGCGGACAGCCTCTTATCTAGGAGGCGGCTACGCAGAGTATTATTGTTCTGTGGCTACGCAGCAATATGAAATCAACAGGGTTGCCAGATCAAAGATTGGATATCAAATTCGTAAAATTTAGTTATCATCATATTCTATTTGTATGATTATCTTGTATTATTATGTAGGAGTAGCTCGGTGGCATAGTGGATAAGCGCCGCGACCCGCGACCGTTGTTGTTAAACAACTTCCGCAAAGATTGGACACGGGATGGATAACAAGGAAAAAATATTATCTCGTTTCTTTTCCTTTTTTTAACGTTGGGGAAATGCAGCCTTAAGCCTCAAACCAGGGCTCTCCGACATCGACTCGCATCCGTTCTGAAAAGGACAAGCTTGAGCGAGGCTGGCTTCTTGATAAAATCCGCTGCTAGTACTTTACGGGGAGGGAAGGACCCTGGATCCGGCCAAGAAGCCCGCTGGGCCAAGGCTTGAGACTATGCAATAGGGATGTAAAAGGACTGATGATGATAATGATTATTATGTAGGATACGAAACAAATTTTTGAATATATAGAATCCTGTTCAATTTTGTCCTAAAATGTACTAACGCGTATAGTGTTGTGTTATTTCACAAAGTAGCTTTACATTGTTCATATCAGGAAATTAAATCTTAAAATAAAGTCAGGATAAAAATTGCAAGACTGATAATTATTTTTAAACTATCCGAATACGATTTAGATCCTAAAATTACAGTTGCCTCATTAAGATACTTTTAGGTCAATAGTAGTCATAAGCCTAAGTTGGTCATAACGTAAAAAAAATTGCAGTGCATATTTTTCAAGCAAGCCTTCATTGCTTTGCAAATCCGAATTGCATTCGGGTAGTTATCATAGTACTATTAAAAATAATTATAAGCCTCACTATTTTTATCCTGACTTTAGTTTAAGATTTAATTTCCTGATATAAAATAAGTACAAAATAAGTTTCTGTTTTATATATCTCATCTGTAGACGCGTTAGTAAATTTTTAGGTCGAAATTGGACATGTTTCCTCTAACATAAAATGACTAGGGCAATTTAAAAAAATCGATTATTACACTTAATTAAAAAATCGACAGTTGAATTACATAGTTTATTATAAATCAGTTGTATTGTCTTAACATATTAAAATAAGAATATGCTGAGCTCATGATCTGAAAAGAGACACATTTTAAAATCGATTAATGACTGTTCGAAATTTTCGTATTAAATACTACTAATAAGGTCGACTAGTACTCGGAAACTAATAAATCCAAATCCGGCGTAGTTATTTTCCTTTTTACTTCGTTATTATACTTAAGTATTACTGCGGTGACGTTTGATACAACAACCGTTTAGTTGGTAGATGGGGAGAGACTTGTCTACTGAAAATTGCCACTTGGCTTAATAAGTCACGAACGATTGACGAAACCGAAAAACGGTTTTTTTGTGCCCTAAATATTTTTGTAAGACTACACTCCACATATGGGGAAGATGAAATTTTAATTTCCCATTTATGTGTGGGGGGGGGGTAGCCTAAAAAAATAGGTTTAATTTTCCCATTGTCCGCATAATTAACATGTGTACTCATACCAAATTACAACTTTCTTCTACCGATAGGTTTTGAGCTAAACCTTGCACGACGGACATGGTAAAACTATAAAGTCTTTGTTGACTACGGAAACTTAAAAAGTAGGTATAAGGTGCGTGCCATAACAATGGTTCGGGGAATATTAATTTTAATCTTATTTCGTGTGTAGATTTTTGCGTGCAATAAGTATTAACGGTAGAAACAAGATATATTACGAGCAAACGGAAAATTTTATAGGGATCAAATACTTGCCGATGAAAATGTTTCAAGAGACAAGTTCGGTAAACCTATGAATTGGATTGAGAGCGGTTTCTGTGATCGCATCATCACGATA